TTTTTGTCTTGTTCCCTCTGGCAATTCCACTGCAAGTTTAGAAAAAGATTAAGAATTCACTTGCGCCGGGCGGTGGTGGCGCACGCCTTTAATCCCAGCACTCGGGAGGCAGAGCCAGGTGGATCTCTGTGAGTTCGAGGCCAGCCTGGTCTCCAAAGCGAGTACCAGGAAAGGCGCAAAGCTACACAGAGAAACCCTGTCTCGAAAAACCAAAAAAAAAAAAAAAAAAAAAGAATTCACTTGCATCATCCCTTCCTATCTACCCCATATGTAACAACCTGCTGCAGATGGTTCCTAAATAATTGGGGGGGGGGGGGGGAGGGTATGTCGACCTCACAAGGGTCTTTTAGTATAAATAGGTACGCTTATTGAAAAGTGTGAGAGAAAGATCTGTTGTTGCCATAGCTACCCATTTTCCTTATATGAAAACCAGAGGCAGTGAGGGAAAGTGGGGTCACATACACGTACTCTTTGTTCCCGCAGAGGGTTAAAGGCAAGCTTTGCCCGGAGTAGTCAGCCAATGGGGGCTTATCCTGATGAGGTAATGCTTTCAGCCTTGGCAGCCCTTCTCACTGCCTGGTTTTCTATGGGAGGATGGGAAGGGATGTTTTCTGGAGCTTGCAAGTTGTCCTGCAACTTCCCTGACGCGGGCTCCCTGACGCGGGCTCTGGCAGAGCCGGTGTGCCGGAAGCAGGGGACCGCTCAGAAGTGGCCTCGCATCCCTTCAAGGACTGGAGTTCTTCTCAGCAGTGAGAACAGGGTTGCCAGGACAGGGTAGCCTTCTCCGGGCTGAGTCAGAGGCCTCCAAAGTCACCCCCACCCCCAGCCCCGACCCCGAGGGGCTTTTCTCCAGCTGTCTTTTCTCTGTGGGTTTCACTTTGCCCCCCTCCCTCCCCTGAAACTGTGTGGTGTCCTAGATGCAAGAATAGACGTTCTGGTGGTTGTTTTCTGTTGCTGTTGTCTCGTGCTGGGGCCTGAACCTTCATGCCTATCACAACGTGCTCAACCTGAGCTAATTTTTGTCAGTAAACTTCGGCCACTTTCCTTCCACTTAGACAAAGGAGCGAGTGGGCATATTCAGTATGGGTGAGCTGTTGGGAGTTTTTGGGGGAGAGCGGAGTGCTAACTTTGGTTAAGATCCCCCTTTCCTATCTGAAACCTGTAATGTTATGTTTTTCTTTTCTTTTCTTTCTTTCTTTTTTTTCTGAGACAGGGTTTCTCTGTGTAGTTTTGCGCCTTTCCTGGATCTCGCTCTGTAGACCAGGCTGGCTTCGAACTCACAGAGATCCACCTGGCTCTGCCTCCCGAGTGCTGGGATTAAAGGTGTGCGCCACCACCGCCCGGCTTTTTTTTTTGGTTTTTCGAGACAGGGTTTCTCTGTGCAGCTTTGCGCCTTTCCTGGGTCTCGCGCTGTAGACCAGGCTGGCCTCAAACTCACAGTGATCCGCCTGCCTCTGCCTCCCGAGTGCTGGGATTAAAGGTGAGCTTCGCCGGGCGGTGGTGGCGCACGCCTTTAATCCCAGCACTCGGGAGGCAGAGCCAGGCGGATCTCTGTGAGTTCGAGGCCAGCCTGGGCTACCAAGTGAGTTCCAGGAAAGGCGCAAAGCTACACAGAGAAACCCTGTCTCGAAAACCAAAAAAAAAAAAAAAAAAAAAAAAAAAAGGTGAGCTTCACCACCGCCCGGCTGACGTTTTTCTTATTTCCCTCACCAGCACTGCTGGCAGTTTACATGTTTTCATTATTATTGTGTGTGTGTATATGTGGGCATGTGTGCACATGAATGGAAGTGGCTGCTTCCTGAAGCCGGTGATAAAACGATTTGAAACAAGGTTGCTGTAAACATCTGTCCGCCTTTCACAAAATGAGATTCTGGGAGCTGAAGGGAATGAAAGTCTGTCTACTCCTGGGAAATTGGTTCTTTTTTTGTGACTTGGTTTGACTGCTTTAAGGTAGGAGAATCACCACGTTCTCACACATCCATCCATCCATCCATCCATCCATCCATCCATCCATGCATACATACATACACTATAGCACACATGCATCACATACAAATATACATACACCACAGACCCACACCACACATACACATACGCTACACCGCATACCACACATATATACAACACACACACACACACACACACACACACACACACACACACACACACACACACGGCCTCCTTTGCCATCCTGGTTTCTTTCCAACTCACCCCACCCACCAACTGGCAGATATCTCGCCCCTCCTAGATTAGATTATCACAGGAAAACAAAAGACCAGGAAGAAAGGAATGATAAAAGTCATGAATGCTGCTGGAGTTTTCCCAGGGCTCCGGGCTGGATACACAATCCTACCACCCTTTACTGGATGAGCTGGATAGCACGATTGGGAACAGGAACGTACTTTGGAAGCTGGAGTATGGTAAATGGTGGTTGTGAGATACCTGGATCTCCAGAGCCTAGCCCAGGGCCTAACACTCTTTTATAATTATTGGAAAGTTTTAATTAGATAGAGGTGGAAAGCATAGTTTAGTGTGCTTTCATGTATCCATCAATCAGTTTCAAACAATTTTCAAATTTCTCACACGGCTATCTCTCTAATGTTCCTGGAGGGAGAGAATTTAGCAGTTTCTCAGATGTGAGTCATATGAGCCTTCTCTGTGAAAGACAATGATTAATATGGCAGGTTTTTTGTATTTTATAGATTACTAAGATTTCAAGAAACCACAGCAAAGAAACAAAAACCAAACCAAACCCATGTGCTTTTTTTTTTTTCTTTTAGAGGCAGTTTTGCTATGTATCACTGGCTCACTGGCTAGTCTGGCCCAGGGTGACCTTGAACTCACAGCAATTCTTCTGCCTCAGCATCCTGATTGTTGGGATTACAGGTGTGAACCACACACTCAGAGGAGATAAGAACAGTCCTTTCATCCTGAGCTATTTAACGAGAGGATTATACAATAATTACTCTGATTGCCTAAGAAAGAAGAGGCGGAGACTGTGTATTTGTTCTTTACACCTGTGACTGAAAGTTCACCAAGGGGCCGGAGAGGTTGACCTCCATGGTTAAGAACACATACTGCTCTTGCAGAGGACCCTAGTTCAGTTCCCAGAACCCACAGCAGGCAGCTCACAGCCACTGGAACTCCAGCTCCAAGAGGGCTCCAGCACACCCCACTACCACATACACATAATTTAAGATAAAATAAATCCTAAAAACATGTCTCCAAAGACCATAATTCCAGCTACTTGAGAGGTTAAAGTAGGAGGATTGAAAGTTCAAGGCCAGCTTAGGCAAACAGTAAGATCCTGTCTCAAAAATAAAAAATAAAGCATGTAGGGCGGGGTGGGGTGGGGGCGGCGCTGGATGAAACTCAGTGAACAGTAGTTGTCTAGCATTTGAAAAAAAAAATCAAAATAGCCCAGGACTCCGTCTTAAAGGATTATAACACAGTTGGGGGAGGAGGTTAGACATCTGAAGCTTATTTGTCAGGCTCTGGGTCCCCTGCTCTGACTCTGATGCTGACTGAATGGAGCCAAGGTCTCTATGTTTCTCGGTGTTCCCATTTTATTTATCTTTGACCCTTGTCCTGTGGGCTGGTTCTTTATCTTCTGAGGACAGAGATAAAATAGCCAGCTAAGGCTAAGTCTGCCTGAACAGCCTTTTGGGCCGCGTTCAGCTTTGTTCCGGAGAAAGGACCGGATGATGGAAAGTCTTCCATTGATATGGATTGAAATGCCAAGCTGCTGGGCTGAGCTGGGTGAGTGCCTTCCCTCTGAGGTCTCCCTGTGCGTAAAAGGAAGTTTTGGGAAATGGCAGAGAAAGTGGAACTTTTAGAGTAAAATGACTAGGGTTTGATTAGGCTAGAGGTGGCAGTGCATGTCCATGCTCTTAGCACTTGGGAGGCTGAGGCAGGAGGATTGCCGAGTTCCAGTGCAGCCTGTGCTACACTGCAAGACCCTGTTTTAAAACAGAAAACCTCGTCTAAGGTGGTGGCTGGCTCACTGCCAAGTGCTCTGTGTTCATGATCAAAATGAGGAAACTGAAAGCAGAAAAACAGGCAGCAAGGACGGACGGACGGATGGACGGAGGGAGAATTCACTGGGCCACACTGCTGACCCAGGAGCAGATTTGCCCTCACTACAGAAACTCGGTACAATGCACGAAGAAGCTATTGCTTCTGTTCCTCAGCCTAACTAGACGACTGTATGCCAGGTGTGGTGACTGGGAGACTAACGCAGGAGAGTGACCGTCAGTTTGATGCCAGCCTGGGCTACATAGTAAGTTCCAGGCCAACCTGACAGGGTGAGATTGTGTCTCAAAAGAAAACAAAGAAAGAAACCCTATACAGTATCCGCGGTTGGTCAAAGTTCAAGCAAATTTTAAGTGTTCATTTGTTATTGTCTTGATCTCCTTTTCTTTTTAAGATGTATTTTATTTTGAGACAAAGTCTCCTATAGCTCAAGCTGGCCTTAAACTTGCTATATAGCTTAGGATGACCTTGAATTCCTGATCCTCCTGCCTCCTCCTGAGTGTTGGAATTACAGGTGTGTGCTGCCACACCCAGGCTAAGTGCCTGACTTTTCTACCTTGTTTTACTTGGTTGTTAGGGATTTGCTCTATGTATATCTTGTATATGCATGAATATACAAGCACATCACAGCACTTTCTTCATGGAAAAAACCCGAAGCAACTGTAATAGTTGGACACATTTCTGTGGAATATATGTAAGAAGTAGATGGAAGCCCTGGAGGCAAGCACCTTTAATCCCAGCACTTCAGAGGCAGAGGCCGGCAGATCTCCGAGGATTTGAGCCCAGTCTGGTTCCAGATTAGCCAGGGCTATGTACGTGCATACATACATTGTACGATCTCACAATAACCTTCACAAGGGTTACTTTTGTAGGAAAGGGAATAAAATTCAGAGATGAAAGCCTTTTGGTGTGTAAAAACTTCCTTCGTTTTTTTTTTTTTTCCCAAGACAGGGTTTCTCTGTATAGCTTTGTGCCTTTTCCTGGAACTCGCTTTGGAGACCAGGCTGGCCTCGAACTCACAGAGATCCGCCTGGTTCTGCCTCCCGAGTGCTGGGATTAAAGGCGCGCGCCACCACCGCCCGGCGTAAAAACTTAGTTTTGTATATATGTACATCACATGTGTGCAGGAGCCTGTGGAAGTCAGATGAGGCATCAGATCTCCTGAAAGTGGAGTTATAGATGGCTGTGAGCTGCCTTGTGGATGCTGGGAACTGAACCTGGGTTCTCTGGAAGGGCAGTTAGTACACACTCTTAACCACTGAGCCATCTGGTCAGCTGTCTTCCTTTGGCTTTTTCAGACAGGGTCTTATTCTGTAACTCAGGCTGACCTCAAACTCATGGCAATTCTCCTGCCTCAGCCTTCCAAATGCTGGTATTCCAGACATGAACTGTAATACAGGGCATCCTTACATAGCCCAGGCTAGTCTGGAACTTACTATGTAGACCAGGCAGCCCTCAGATTTGCAGTGACCCTCCCACTTCTACCTGAGCGTTGAGAGTACATGTGTGTGCTAATATTCTTGAGTCATGAGAATTTCGTTTTTTGTATGTTGTTATTGTGGGGGGGGGGGCACGCGCCCATGGGCAAGCTAGATACTGTGAACCTAGGGCCTTGCATATACTAAGCAAGTACTTTATATCACTGAGCTACACCCCCACCTCTCATTGCCCATTTTTAATTGTTCTGAATTCCCAATTACTATAACATGGTCATTGTTTTGTACCTAAACACAGGAATATGTATTACTTAAAACTTCACTCCATTTATTTATTTATTTAGTGTGTGTATGGGAACATTTGTGCCACTGTGTTTGTATAGAGAACAGAGAACCACTTTTCTCCTGCCATGTGGGTACTGGGATGGGTTGTCAGCCTTGATGGGCAGGCACCTTTACCCGCTGAGCCATCTTTCGGGGCCCGTACATTATTTTTGTACTTGAAAAATAATGATGAAGATGGGTCTGGAGGTACACACCTTTAATCCCAGAACTTGGGAGGCAGAGGCAGGCAGATCTCTGAGTTTGAGGTCAGCCTGGTTTTCAAAGTGAGTTCCAGGAAAGCCAGGGCTACACAGAGAAACCATGTCTTGAAAAGAAGAAAAGGGGCTGGAGAGATGGCTCAGAGGTTAAGAGCACTGGCTGCTCTTCCAGAGGTCCTGAGTTCAATTCCCAGCAACCACATGGTGGCTCACAACCATCTGTAATGAGATCTGGTGCCCTCTTCTGGCGGGCAGGGATACATGCAGGCAGAATACTGTATGCATAACAAATCTAAAAAAGAAGAGGAGGAGGAGAAAAACAGTGATGGTGTGAACTGGACTGTCTCTCTAAGACCCTCTTTAAATTCTTGCCTAGATCTAGCTTTACAGTTGGGTGAAGCTTGGCATTTCTTCATCCCAGACGCATGAGAAGAACTCAGATTTAAGAAGGAAAACTTAAACCACAAAGAACCAGATAACTAGAAGAAGAAAGAAAGAGCAGGGGGAAGCAGGGCACAGTGGTACAGTTCTTACGGCTCTTGGAAGGCAGAGACAGAAGGGTCAGAGTCCAAGTTGCTCAAGGCCCGCTTGGGCTAAATGAAAACCTGCCAATAAAATGTAAAGGAAAATGTCCTTCTTATGGTTGTTGGGGCTTGCCTTATAGGGCCACTACATTCAGATGAGGTGTGCTAAAGATGACAGATTTGCCCCCCACCTTTAATGTTACCCCAGGCTCCTGAGGACTTGGAGGAGTGGAGCTCTGGCCCTGTCAGTTCTGGCCTCTTCCAATTTGGGCATTCATTTTCCTGGTGTTCCTTTTGCACGCAATAAGCACATTGGTCCTTCTCTAGCCTCTTCTTTTGCAGGAGATTCTGGCTTCCCCCTCTGGGGTCTCTCTTATCCGTCTCCCTGAGAGCTGCCCCTGCTGCTCAGGTCTATCTTTTATTCTGCTTTTCTTCTAGCGTCAAGGTTATCATGAAGCTTCTGAACACGCTCCAATAGCTGGGACCTATTCATACCCTCAAACCCTCCTAACCTCTGAAGTTTCTTCCTACTATCTTGGGAGACTACGTAACAAAAGCAATATTTGGTTGCTCACTGTTTTTTTTTGGCACATCTGGGTCTACAGGCATGAACACCCGGGAAGCCTCAAAGAGGCTCTCAGGAACCACAGACATTCCTGGGGCTCTTGTATTACCTCACTCACCTAAGACAGATCGGTAGCTTTTCTAGCAGCTGCCTCCATTCATCCTAAAAGGTCCTGGCAAAAATTGCCCAGAGCATCCTTAATGGGTCAGTGTTGGGGTCCTAGTCAGGCTGGGCAGAAGTTCCCCTCTGTAGGCGGACTTTTTTGTACCATCAGCTAGCTTCTAAATAACCACACAGAGACTTATTAATTATAAATGCTCAGCCAATAGCTTAGGCTTGTTTCTAACTAGCTCTTATAACTTAAATTAACCCCTATTTTTTTTGTCTATGTACTACTATGTGGCTTGGTACCTTTTATCAGCACAGCAAATTCATCTTGCTTCTCTCCACATCTCCTCTCACTAAGCCCCTCTCCATCCAAGAGAGCTCTCTCCCTACTCACAAGTCCTGCCTAACCTCTTCTTGCCTAGCTATTGGCCATTTAGCTATTTATTAAACCAATGAGAGCAACACATCTTCACAGTGTACAAAAAGATTGTTTCACAACACCCCTCTATCTGGCAGTGATTCCAAATGGCCTGACCAGACTCTCTAGCCAGATTCTGTCTGCTCCTCAGCTATGAAGAGGATGGTCAGGAGCTGTTGGCAATCATCCTAGGTTGGCTGGTGGGTGTAAAAGTGTGTCTTGAGGAGGCTAATGAGAGCCTGAGGTTTTTTAGAGAATGGTGGGTTCTGAGTTTTCCAATTATACAGATCATTGATTGAAAAGGAGATATAAACTATCAAAGAAGGTACAAACTATGAAAGGAAAAGAATGAGAACTACAGGGCTTGGATCCACAGGGGTGTGTGTGTGTGTGTGTGTGTGTGTGTGTGTGTGTGTGTGTGTGTTTTCCCCTAGAGGCAGAATGGGGGAACTAACCCTGTCCCAGGGAAATTTGTCCCAGAGCTCTTAGCCAGAGCCATTCCATCTGTGTGTAGGGGAGAGGGGCCCGAGATACTATCTGCCCTTCAGTGTAGCCATGGGAATGATTTCCTTGGGGGGGGGGCAGCTTCCTCCAGTGGGACAAAGAGAACAGGCAGAGGTTTAGGTTTCTCTTGGTAACCTGGCCAAAACAAGAGGATTCAGGTCCCCAGGGAGAGGGCATTGGTTTTAAGTCAAGGGGGTGGATCTTGCACCAGAGAAAGCCATTGGCCACTGTATGAACATTGGTCAGGGTGGCCAGAGTCTCCAGTCACCACGTTCCAGACAGCCTGAACTAGCTGGGGATCCAGAGATACATCACTGGGCCACCCAACTGCCAAAGAGGCTAATCTATTTCACAGAAGGTCCGGAGTTTCCCAGACGAGATACAGAGACCATGCCAACTTCCTTGCAGTGTTTTAACATATACTTCAATGGTGTCTTGGGACTACCACTTCCCCTCCTCGTCTTAGTTAGGGTTTTACTGCTGTGAAGAGACACCGTGACCACAGCAACTCTTATAAAGGAAAACATTTAATTGGAGCTGGCTTACAGTTTCAGAGGTTTAGTCCATTAGTGTTATGGTGGGAAGCATGGCAGTGTGCAGGCAGACACGGTGCCGGAGAGGTAGCTGAGAGTTCTACATCTTGATCCACAGGCAGCAGGAAGAGATACACTGGCCAAACTTGAGGATCTAAGACCTCAAAGCCCACCCCCAGTGACACACTTCCTCCAACAAGGCCACTCCTCCCAATAGTGCCACTCCTTAGTGACCAAACATTCAAACACATGAGTCTATGGGGGCCACTTCTATTCAGACCACCACACCCTCCCATCGCAACTCCCTTCCAGCCAACAGAATTGACAAACACACAGAGACACAGAGACAGGCAACAAGAAAGACAAGCAGGGGTGGTCACCACACAGACTGAAACCAGGGCTTCCAGGGACATCTCACACATACCTGGACACCGTGTTCAGCCTTTCCTAAGTGTACTTTCCAGGAGGTGCCATAAACACACTCATCTCTGAAGGAGACAGAGCCAGGTGACTTTCTGTAAGTTCCCTTAGGGTAGCGGCTCGGGAGCTCAGGAGTAGAGGTCGAGAAATTCCTGGGGCCCTGGAATGTCTCAGGGTGCACACTCCTAGGAACTGTCCCTTTTCCATGCTGTTGGCCCTGAGGTGGTCTGAGACTCCCCAGTGTCTCAGTGTGTTAGTCTCTGGGGATCTTGCTGGCACCTCCAGAATATTGCGAGGTCATCTCAACTGGAGAACACACACTCTTTTTTTTTTTTTTTTCTTGACATGGTTTTTCTGTGTAGCTTTGGATCCTGTCCTGGATCTCGCTCTGTAGACCAGGCTGGCCTCGAACTCACAGAGATCTACATGCTTCTGCCTCCTGAGTGCTGGGATTAAAGTCATGCACCACCACCACTTCGGGCCAGAACACACACTCCTAAAGAAAAACAAAAAGTCTTTATCGCTGGCTAGCAGCTGCATGAAAATCTTGCCAAAATCATAAAATGCTAGTCCTTACAAAGGTCTTTTATGCACAAAACTCACATCCTGGTTGACACACTTCAGTAAGCAAGAACAATTAGCAAGAAGCAGAACTACAGAACCAAAAAGCAAGGTTAGTACATTAAGGGGCTTTCCTGGATCCTGGAACTATGGATGGGGCCTTTAATTGATTAGGTCTTTGTTCCATTTTGGCAGGTGTTGGCATACCTGACGTGCTGCTGGGTTTTAAGGTCAGAATGGTGCCTCTAACATGATGTCAGTTGTGCTAAGGTCTGAGGACCTGTTACAAATCCACAGAACTGTAAGATACCAGGACATTCTGCCACTTGGTGAGGTCACCTCTTCCTATAGGTTGTACTTCAGCATCACAGCACCCATCTAGCAAACAGGGATGCTGGGCAAAGCGAATGGGAATGAGGCTTTATTTTCTTGTTTGTGAGCAGCAGCTCTGTGAATTAAATGGAGTTGGATTTCGGGTGAAGCAACTCCCAGGTGTGGACAAAGGACTTTCCCCATCCCCTCGATTCTCTTGGCAGCTTCTGGGAACGTGTCTAACAATTAGAGGTACATAATTCTGATCTCCAGTACAGGTGAGCAAAGTCAGGTTAGAGAGGGAGCTGTGTAGGGACACAAAGCCAGCTCCGTGAATGTAGGTTACTCAAGAGGAAGTCAAAGTCTTAGGCATAGTCACAATGCATTCACAACAGGCAAGAACCATGTCCTGAAGGTTAGAGTTCAAATGCAGAGTTTACCGCTGTTCCCAGCACTTAGCAGCAGGCCTGGCATATTGTAAGTGCTCAGTAAATATTGTTTACTGCATGGATACTCCAGGAGAAAGGAACAATAAAGAAAACAAGAAACAAAGAGCAAAACCTTCCCATAAAGGCCCAGCTGGTAGCAAACCCCTTTAATCCCAGAACTCTGGCAGTAGAGGCAGGTGGTTCTCTAAATTCTGGGCCAGCCAGGGCTACACACTGAGACCCTGTCTGAAAACATATACACACACAAACACACATTAAAACAAATAAATATAAAAATACAGCCGGGCGGTGGTGGCGCATGCCTTTAATCCCAGCACTCGGGAGGCAGAGCCAGGCGGATCTCTGTGAGTTTGGGGCCAGCCTGGTCTACAGAGTGAGATCCAGGACAGGCACCAAAGCTACACAGAGAAACCCTGTCTCGAAAAACCAAAAAGAAAAAAAAAGAAAAAAACCAAAAAACCCCAAACCAATACCCCCCTACTATAAAGCAACACTATATATGGGTGCACTCTCTTCCTTTTAGTTTTTTCTTTTCTTTTGGCTTGAAGCAGGGTCTCATGTCGCCCAGGTTGGCTCTGAACTTGCTGTGTATCAAAGGCTGTCCTTGAACTCCTGATCCTCTTTGCTCTATTCTCAAATGCCTGTATTACAGGCCTGGGCCCCCACACTAGACTCTTTCTTTCTCTGAGACAGGGCCTCACCATGTAGACTTGATGGCCTAGAACTCACTGTGTAGATCAGTTGGCCTTGAACTCAGAGTTCCACCCGCCTCTGTCTCCTGAGTACTGAGATCAAAACCATGAGCCACCACACCTGGCTGACACTCTTAGGCGTTGGACGAGCGTTTCCACAGTGGTTGTCCTCATTCTACCCTTGCAGCGGGACTGTAGTAAGCACTTGCCTATCAGTTTGCTACAGGCAGGGCTCGGATGAGAGATGGATGAAAAGGAGTCCAGATGGTCACATTCCAGACCTCAGGGCCTCCGAGGAAGAGATGGGCTCTGCAGAACGGTAAGACCATTTCAGGCGAAGAAGGCAGACAAAGTTTTATTGTTTTGTGAAGGTCACAATCTGAGCCTCTATAAACTTTGTTTCCCCTCCATGGATACAAGGAGAGGGAGAAAAAGAAAGGAACATCTATTCACTGGTATTCATTTAACTTATTTATTTCTGACAATGTTGTTAGATTGTAGAAAATAGATGATCATAGGCATTTCATCAAGAAGCCAAAACAAATTTGTCTACAGCAAATGCTCACATTATTGTCATACAAAGAATTCCAAATTATTAGGCCCAAACTGTGGACTTGGCAAAGATGAGCATTACTGTTGATTGTTCCAGCTCCTCCAACTTGATGTGGCTGGCACCAGGGGCTCTAGGAGTGAATGTAGCAGCTGGAATCCACTTTGTGTTGGCTTTGGTCCTATTCCAAAGCCTTTCTATTTCAGAGGGATGTATGATGAAGCCTTTTCAGGGCAGAGATCACTAATACTACTCCCCAGCACTTCATAATTAGTTGCTCAGGAAATATGTATTAGGACACAAATGACACAAAGGTTACCTTGGGTTGCTAAGGGCCAAACAGTGTCTGCCTTTATTTGGGGTGCTGGCGTGGGATTTGGACACTCCGGAACAGTCCCTTCTCTTTGCAGCTAGTAATGTTGTTTTGTGTTTATGAGGAACACACATTCTTGCACTGGTACAATGGTCCTGGGCCAAGTGGCACAGACAGACTTCTTGTGCATCCCTCAGAAGAGGCAGCAATGCTACTCTCTAATGGTGAGTGCCCCTCCTTTATTGGAAGACTAGTTTTGATGGGTTCTTAGTCTTGCGAGCTAAGTTTGATGGACTGGGATAGCATTCCACTGCTCTTGGAGAATCAGAGCTGACAATCTCCTTCCCCATTTGGTAACACCTCCATCCTTTCCCCAGACAGCTTGTTTTCACATCCGGATCTAGAGCCTTGCCTTGTTCTACAAGCAGGCAGTGTAACCACTATTCTAATTAGGGAAGATCTTTTTTTTTCTTTTTCCCTTCTTTCTTTTCCTCCCTTTCCTTCTCTTGCCTCCCCCTCCTCCCCGCATCCCCAGACAGGGTCTTTCTAGGTAGGAAGGCTAGGTTTGAACTCACTTTGGATCCCAGGCTTGCAGTGATTCTCCTTTCTCAGGCTCCTGAGCACTGGGATCAAAAGTGTCTATCACGATGTCTAGCAAGAAGAAAAAATGCCTTTGAGGTTCAGTGGATTTTAAAAATAGTACCAAGAAGCCAAGTGTGGTCCAAGAGTTTGGGGGTTCTTGGTTTTTCATTTGAAAGCAAATTGACTAGGGATAGGGTATACAGGATACAGTTCTGGGTTGATCCCCAGAATAAAATAGGGCCAGGTATGGTGATGAACACCTTTAACCCCAGCACGGCATAGAGAGAGAGACAGAGGGGCAGAGGGGTGGGGGTGGGGTAGAGGGAGAGAGAGAGAGAGAGAGAGAGAGAGAGAGAGAGAGAGAGAGAGAGAGAGAAAGAGAGGCAGAGGGGTAGAGAGAGAGGGGCAGAGAGGCAGAGAGACAGAGCACGAGAGGGAGAGACAGAGAGAGAGAGAGAGGCGCAGAGGGAGAGAGAGACAGAGAGAGACAGAGAGGCAGAGAGACAAAAGGATCTCTGTGAGTTCAAGGCCAGCCTGGTCTACATAGCGAGCTCCAGGACAGCCCTGACTACATAGAGAAACACTGCACAAAAAGTAAAGCAAAACCAAACCACAAAGCACATAGCCAGACAGATGGACACACGTTTGGTGACTTCTGGGAAGAGTTTTCACACAGGGACCAATCCCTAGCAATAAAGATCTACAGAAGCAAAGTACTTCCAGAAATGTTTTCTGGCCCCAGAGCAGGAGAGGAAAAATACTACAGCATACTGTTCACTGAACACCATCTGATATACCAATTCACATTAGCTTTCCTATTTTGCCAAGAGAGACCCTCGGGACTTAACCAGAGCCATAAGGCTACTAACAGGGTCTAGAACTCAAATGCAAGTTTTCTTATGCTAAGTTCAGTATGTCTATGTACTAAATGGTTGTGTATTTAACTTTTTAAGTTATAGAATTGGGGATAGAAATGTCTTTTTGTGCTTGATAACTCCTATGGCTCATTTCTTATTAACATGGCTCTGAAGATATCAATGGCAATCTTGACTGAGCAAAACTAAACCCACTCTAGCACTCAAACAGCTTTGGGGCTGGATGAGATCAGTAGGGACCAGGGGGACAATCAGTTCTGAGTTTCCTCTTAGCAGGCACAAGCCTGTTCCATCGTGAAGGACTCAATTCTACCAAATGAATGGAAGGAGTCAAGAGGTCTATTTTCATTCTCTGCATGGGTTGTAGGTGACAGGAGACACTGAGGTCCCGGGCATATGTATGACCCTAGGAGGCAGATGCCTGGCATCCAGGACATGCTCTCAGCTGCAGCAATTATTCATCCCCCTCCAATGATCTGATGCCCAGCCTTACCTCTGAGATACACATTACTTGAGTTCAGGGAAGTTGGACGGAATACTTGTTTTACTGGGTGAAAAGTAATCTCAAAAAGAAAAGGTGAAAGATAGTCCCTTTCTAAGAATAACTTTCCTCATCTGGATTTACTTGAGGGCTCCTTAGAAACACACAGGTTGCTCACTTCTCATCCTGACTAAATAGTTATAGTTTCGACACTAGAAATGTATCAAAATATGAGTTCTAGCCCAGCATGACAGCATACACTTGTAACCCCAACACTCAGGAGGTGGTGAAGGCAGGAAGATCAGGAGTTCAGGGCTAGCCTGGTCTACAAGAGACTGTCTCAAAAACAAAAGACAAAAAACAAAAACAAAAAGACCCCAAACCGAGCCATGACTTCTACAGCTATATATAGGTTAAGCATTCATAAGAAAAAAATCTATGTAATTTTGGGACATGACTGTCAAGCTTATAGAAATGTATTATATCAGAAGCTATAATCTCAGCCAAGGGAGGTGGCTTACCTGGCAAAACTACTCGGGGCCAAGTGTGTGAACCCCACGACCCATAGTTTAGAAGAAGTGACTCCCCCAAGTTGTCTCTGACCTCCACACAGGTGTGTGCCTCCACGCCCAAGTAAATCAGTGTAAAAGAAGTTACGGTCTCCACTGTGGAGCAGCCTGTGCTGTGTACGAGATTCAGCAGCGTCCTTGGTAGTTACTACTGGGTCTGCTCCATGTTTACCTCCCAACTACATGTCTATACACTGCCTCCAAACGTCCTGGTTGAGAACTGTTGTTTAACTAAAGCATTTATGTATTATGCATGTGCTTAGGAAGGGGGTCAGTGTGCTGTGGCGTGAGCGTGGAGGTCAGAGGACAACCTCGTAAGGTCAGTTCTCTCCTTCCACCTTTACATGGCTTCTGGGGATTGAACTCGGGTCACAAGGCTTGTATGGAAGCATCTTGACAGCTGGTGAACTACTGTTTTAAGGGAAGTACCAAGACATTACAACTCTCCCAGATTACCTGCCTTCCCATCACCTCATTAAAGTGAGTTTTGAGGGGCATCCTTTTTAGAAATTCTAGACAACAGCAGGACTACGACACCAACTATAGTTTAGTTAAAAGGTTAAGTAAGAACTACTGAGGATTTCTTTGGGGACTGCGGCTGTATGCCGCCATCTTATCAGAGGCAGGCATCTATCTGCCTCTCACCTCCAGCAGGTGACAGGGGCCCTCAGGGGACCACTCAGTACTTGCCATGTTTTTCTTGAAGTTAGTGGGCATAGTGGGCTTGTGACTGACTCCCAGGGCTGACAGCTATTCTGACAGCAGAGCAGAGGAATGCTGAGTCCCAGCTAAGGTGGGACTGCCCTCCCACGTTTGGGTAAGTTCATGTGAGCTTCCTGTGGTCTCAGTGAAGGCTGGACAGAGATACCGCGGTCCGACACATTTGCAGCATTAGCAAGTTCTTCAAGACACTGCACAGCTGTCATACTAATGTCAGTCAGTCATATTAACTCGTACACTTTACTGCCACCTGCAGGAAAACCAAAGTAACACACACACACACACACACACACACACACACACACACTCAGAGGACTGATTTTGTACAATGATAAGGGTTGGTCCAGGACCTTACATCTTATCCAATAGGGCAGGCCCCCACAAAGATGAACAGTCTTCAACAAGTGGCTGAATGAGAAAGTAAAACTTTTGCTAATACAGTGATTCTGCTCAGATCAAGGGAATTGTGGGTGAGAAACGATGGGAAAGACAGGTGGTGCTGGCCTCTGAAGTTATAAAAATGTCCATCAGGAAAAGTCAGCTTTAAAGGTCTAAGCCCAGGGAGTATTAACTGATCACATGAAGAAAGAAAGACCTTTTTCTGCTCCTTTCTTCCTTCTCTCCCCTCCCTGTGGCTCTTGCTAGTGAGGTGCAGGAGGAGGAGGACTCGGAGGCTTAGAGGCTGTGTTGTTGGGAATCAGCAAGCCTGCTGTCCCCAGCGGGAGACATGGGAAAAGCTTCACCTTTCGTGATTCAGCCATCACAGGACCTTCTATTCGTAAGGGAATCACAAAGCTCATGGATCTTCCGTGGGTTTTCAATTAGGTGGGTGATCTATTGCCACTGTACAAATTCAAAGGGATGGCAAAAGGAAGTTTTTTTTAAATGAAAGAAAAATGTCATCGTGTGTGCATTTGGGGAGTCAGTTCTTTCTTGTCTCTTCCACTTTGTGGAGTCAGGGCCTCTTGTTTCTGCTGCTCTGCCATACTAGGTTAGCTGGCCCCTGAGCTTCTAGGCAATTCTCTGTCTCCATCTCTCATCTTGATATAGCAGTGTTGGGATTACAGATGTACCCAGCTGTCTGTGGGTTCTGGGGACCGACCCAGGGTCTCAGGCTTATGCAGCACATGCTTTTACCTGCAGAGGCGTTTCCATGGCTAGTCTTTTTGCTTTTTGTTTGGTTTAGTTCTGTGAGACAAGGTGCCCTAAGTAGTTCCAGGTTGTCTGTGAACTCACAGTGGTCCTCAGGTCTCTGCCTCCCATTTTGAGATTATAGGCCTGTGCTACTACTTCTGATCAAATTTTTAGTTTAAAAATTATAGCCCACAAGCTCTGCATACTGAACACTCTATATTACTAAGATCCAGAATTCAGCTGGGCAGTGGTGGCACACCCCTTTAATCCCAGCACTCAGGAGGCAGAGGCAGGTGGATCTCTCTGAGTTCGAGGCCAGCCTGGTCTACAGAGCAAGTTCCAGGACAGCTAGGGCTGTTACACAGAGAAACCCTGTCTTGAAAAAACCAAAACCAAACAAAACCAAAGCAAAACCAAGATCCAGGACTTGTTTTCTTAGGCAGGTTCTTGAATATCCCGAGGGAAGATGTTCAGTGAATCAAGTCATAGGTATTTGAAAACCTGTACTTTAATACTAGGATACCTAGAGGTAAGAGGGGGGCTCCCATCTTGGGCTTCACACAAAGCACCTACTATAGCAATTGTGCCAAGAAGGGCCTGTGGAAGTGGGGGCAGGAGGACTTTTTGTTCTCTTAGGCGTTACTCATGACTTTGCTGGCTTATGATTAAGCGTCTGAAGCAGTTGTACTGCCCGTTTTCCAACCATGGACTCACAAAAAAAGAAAATAAGGTAGAGGCTTTATTTAGAATGTTTAAGCTGGTGGAATTCTTTTCTTAAAAACAGCTTTACATTTATTTATGTATCTACTTCACGTGTGGGTCTGTACCACAGTGTGGACAGAGGTCAGAGGACAGGCTGGGGAGCTTTCTCTCTCCTGTGTGGGCCTTGGGTATCAGACTCAGGCCTGGAAGCAAGAGCCTTTACCTGCTGGGCCATCTCATTAGCCTAGCCCGCTGGGATCTTCAATTTTAACAGTTTCATAGGCTTGTGAAATTTCCCACTGTTTTCAAATTCTCTAACTCTAAGAATTAGGAAATGTCTCACAGAAATTAACATGGGTATATTCCCGGAAACCATTATTTGAAGAAAATGTTGTAAAAGCTGAAAATGTTGCCTTTATCAATAGCTCCTTTAAACAATTATTAGTTCCTTTAAGAATTTCATACACTGTATTTTGATCTTATTTACCCTTGCCTCCATTCCATCCAGGTCCCAACTCCTTCCCTACCCACCTAACCTTGTGTCCTCTTTTTTTCTCCACCTTTTTTTTGGTTTTTCAAGACAGGGTTTCTCTATGTAGCCCTGGCTATCCTGAACTCACTCTGTAGACCAGGCTGGCCTTGAACTCACAGATCCACCTGCCTCTGCCTCTCCAGTGCAGGGATAAAAGGTGTGCACCACCACCACCACCACCCAGTGTGTCCTCTTTTTAAAAATTTAACATATATAACATATTTAATTTAAAATGTAAAAGTTTTATATATATAAAATATATATAATTTTTTTCATATATATATGTATATATATATTATATATATTTTTTTTGAGATGGGGTTTCTCTATATACCCCTAGCTGCCCTGGAACTCACTATGCAGACAGACCAGGCTGTCCTAGAATTCAAGAGATTGCCTGCCTCTGCCTCTAGCAAAGCCTAAAGTACCCTGTATTCCAAAGCAGTCTCTCATTCAAGACCAGGCCCGACCCTGCTTCTGAGATGGGATGAGATCTGTCAAGTTCAGGGTGGTATGGTCACAGACTTGCTGGCCTTTTTTGACTCTGGCTCTCATGTTGTCCAGGCTAGCCTCAAAATCACAATACAGCTGAGGATGATCTTGAACTTCTGATCCCCCAGCCTCCACCTAATGAGTGAATCATCATGCATGGGCTCTCTTAAGTCTGTTAGTAAAACTTCTTTCTCATTTCCAAAATGAGACAAACCACATTTAAAGAAAGATACAAGGTTAAATGTAAACTTCATCTTGATTGGGCTACTATGAAAAAGGCTTTAGTCATCAGTTTGGCAGAATCATTTTTTACATTTGTGTGTGTGTGTGTATGAGTGTGTGTGTGTGTGTGTGTGTGTACAGAAGCACACGCGTGGAAGTCAGAGAACAGTTTGTACGAGTCAGTGCTCTCCTTCCTTGGCAGTGGCACCTCCCCTGCTGCGCCCGCCATCTTTGCTGGCCTAGTTTGGCAGATTTGGAAACTAAAATTTCACTTGCTCAGGTTTAATTAGGCTCTGAGGAACTAAAGTGGATAGAACAACTTCAGAATTCAATGGAACCTAATTTATTTATAAATCACACTGAGAATGGACTGAGACCGCACAGCTGGCTGACCAGTCTTCACAGTGTACCTTGGACAATCCCATTTCACTGGGGATGCTGAGACAGGCAGACCCCCAAGAGTTCCAGGTCAGCCTGGGCTACAGAGTGACACTCTGCCTCACAAACAAAACCGTTTTGGTTTTTTTTTTTTTTTTTTTGGTGATGGCGGGGGTACTGAGGATTAAGCTGCTAAAGTGCTTGTCCACTGACCTATACCCCAAAGCTTTGAATCAGGGTTTGGGCCCTGATATTGGGTATATGATCCTGTCATCAGAACCAGTTAACCCTTTTCTGGACAGAGTGGGAGTTCCACTGCATATATGTACATTCGTGTGCATGCACTCACACAAATACTTTAAAGAGTTTGTTTTCAGTTATATGTGTGTTTCTGTGTTTGGTTATGTACCTGTGAGTGTAGGTGCCTAAGAAGAGGGGGCCAGATCCCTTGGAGCTGGAGTTACAGGCAGTTGTGAGCTCCCTAACATGGGCGCTGTGAACCAAACTCGGTTCTTCTAGAAGAGCAGAAAAAACTTTAGAGCAGTGGTTCCCAACATGTGGGTTGTGACCCCTTTGGGGTTGAATGACCCTTTCACAGGGGTTGCATATCAGATATTTACATTGTGATTCATAACAGTAGCAAAATTACAGCTATGAAGTAGCAACAAAGATAATTTTATGGTTGGCAATCACCACACAAGGAACTGTATTAAGGGATCACACATTAGGAAGGTTGAGAACCACTGCTCTAGGGCTCTCTCTTCAGCTCCCACGGTATATTCTTACTCAGATTCTGTGGTTCTAGACTTCTTGTGGACCCCGCCCTTCAGTTATGACAGCATCACCTGGGCATGAGACCTTTAGGTCACAGGTGATTTCAGTCTCTCTGATGAAGTTGGGGAGCCACTTTGGTCTCTGTAACATTTACAGAGAGATCGTTGCATAGGGTGACTTTTTATTTTTATCTTTGTGGGTTTTTGAGACAAGGTAGTCCAGGTTACCTTAAACTCATTAAGTAGCCTAGGTTGGCCTTGAACTCCCAATCCTCCAGCCTTTACCCCGAAAATGCTGGGATCGCAGGCCTGGGGTACCACATCTGGCTGATTACTTTTCATAAATCTTGTGCCAAGGTCTGTGAAATTTTTTTAAAAACGTTTTCCAGGTTACTGACTTCTGACAAAGGCAGGTAGGTAGGGGATTGCGGTGGTTTGTTTATATTATTTTTGCTGTCTTTTGAGGTAGCTCAGGGTGGTTTTGCTCTTGTTGTATAGTCCAGGCTGGTCTCCAAATTGGAGGTGACCCTCCGGCCTCAGCTTCCAGAGTGCTGAGATTATAGAGGGATGCCACCACACCCGTGCAGTGTGGCTTATATTTTATAGAAACGACTATAGTTCACCTGGCCAAACAGTACGTTTTTCTCAATGTAAGTCGTCAAAGCCCTTAACAGAGATGACCTAGTCACATTATTAAGGGTGTGAGGGAGCTGCAAGCTTGGTCTACGTGGGCACATAAGCAAGGTGCCGAGCAAGGTCATAATGCTTGGCTCGTGTAACTCCTGTCTTCCTGCCCTGTAGCTCTGGTATTAGTACCACAAGTTCTCTGCGAGCAAGTGGCCTATTGACTTCCATATCCCGAGCCCTCCCGGCACCAGGCTCGGTTTTCTCTCTGGAGTCTAGGTCAGGTACTTAGGTAGAGCGGGGTAGGGGTGGGATGGGGAGGAAGGGGCGAGGCCGAGCCCCAGGAATCCCTCCTCTGGCCCAGATCGCAGGCAGTAAGTGCTCCCACTTGGGCCGGACGGGCAGCTTCCCGGGGAGGTTTTGGAAATGCTCACCGTCGGGGCTTCCCGAACCTTCCGCGGGGCTTGCTTGGGACACAGCCCCGCAGAGCCCGGGCGCCCTTCAGTTTCCCCTCCGTGCCTCCGATGTCCTCCGGGCCGAGGACAAACCCCCGCGACACCCGCCACCGGGCCCCCTCCCTGCGGCTCGCGCCTGGCCGCCGACCAAGGCACCCACCGGTGGGCGGGCCAGCGGCGCCGCAGTCCGGCGCCGAATCCGGGTTGACCGGGGCGCCGCCAGCTCGCCCCGCCCCCCCGCGTCACTTCCGGCCCGGCCGCTCGCCCTCCACCCTGCTCCCCTCCCGCTCGCCGTTAGGGAGGCTCTGCGCCTCAGCCGCCGCCGCCGCCGCTCCCGCCCCTCTGTCTGTCTGTCTGTCTGTCTGTCTCTCTCCGCGTCCGCCGCCGCCGCCCGGGGTCTCCGGGGGTCGCTACCGGGCTGGCCCCGCGCCCCAGCCGTCGCTCCAGCCTCGCGCTCGAGGCCGCCTCGGGAGGAGACCCGCCGGCCGCCGTGCCACTTCGGGCCTCCGTCCTCGCCTTGTCGACGTCGCCAAGGGTTCTGGAGAAGCGGCCAAGGCCGGGGAACGGGGCTTCGCGGTTCCAACGGTGGGTAAACGGGCGGGTGCCCGGCCGTGCGCATGCGCGGCGGGCTGCCGCGGCGGCCCTCCCCCTCCCCCTCCCCTCCCCCTCCCTCCGCGGCCGCCCCGCCACCCCGGGTCCCACCCGGCGCTGGCCGCTGGGCGCCGCGGTTCGGGGTCGGGGAGATGGAGGCACGGCCCCGGTGGACGTTCCGTCGAGGGGGGGTGGTGGTCTCCTGGTCTGCTGGGAAGAGGAGGAGGAGGAGGAGGAAGAGGCGGTGGCCCCGGCCGTCGGGGGGTGTGGCAGCCTTGGGGTTCCAGCCGCTGCAGTGCGCGCAAGCCCGGGGTGCGCCTCGCCGCGGAGCCTCGCCTGCCCACCGTTCTGCACCACCTCTGTCTGCACCCACTTCCTTCGAGCTGGGCAGAGGAGTGGGTGCGGGGGGGGGGGGGGAGGTTGCGGAAAGTGGTTTATTCCGGGCTCCACTGCGCCCTTTTTTTTTTTTTTTTTTAAGGTCGTCACGTGAGATGAGTGGTTGCTGACTTCCTTAAGTCGCTCCGAGAATATAGCCAAAATTGGGCTGTTGGTGCACGGGGACCTCATCGAGAACGCCCTCGAGCCAGAGCCGGGCCCGAGGGGTCCCTGTGTAGGGCGTCGAGTTTCAGATGGGGCGCCTGGCTAGACAAGAAGTGGAACCACTTGGCACACTCGCCCAGTGGGAATGGTTAAACTCTTTGTTGGTAATCAGTTAAACCCAAACTGACTTCGAAAAAGTGTTGCATAATTTCATCCGGTTTCCTATTCGGCCTTCTAGTCAGCTTGGAGGAAGGCGGACGGAAAATGGCAACCACAGCTGCAGTGTATTTGGCTGTTTAACGTTAGCTGTGGCGTGCAAGTCTGCAGGAGATAGTAAAGGATAGTTTTGAATATTAACTTTCTGTGCTTGGGTTAGTGTGAAGTTGTGCCTTCAATCCCCCCTCCCCCCTTTTGTAACCCCGAAGTACATCTTTGGCCTGGGTTTTCGAAAGTACTTAGTAAATACTTGAGTCATTATTTGCCTTTTAGGTTCCTTCCCTTTATCTTTTTAAATTAGGGTATTTTCTCCCGTATCTGTAACACTGCTGGAGTTCCTGCCGAATGGAGAAGGGCCTATCTTAGTGGCGTTATTTTTCGTTGGATAAAGTAACTTCCATTTTTTTTTTAAATTAAAATGTTTTAGGATAGGAAGTGGCTGAATTAGTGATTTACCAGTATTTCCCCACCAGTAAAACTGCAGTTCTCTTTTAAGACAGGGTCTCAGGTAACCCTGATTGGCCTCCACCTCCTTGTCTAGCTGAGGAATAATGACCTCCAACTCCTGCCCCCGGCCCCTTCCCAAGTGTTGGGATCAAAGGCACACACCATACTAGGCTTCAAATGCTTAAAAAAATCGTGCGTGTGTTCTTGTATTGTGGCACACATTGCAGGGCGGGACAACTTTCGGTTCTGTCTACCGTGTGGGTGGGTTCTGGGATGAAACTCAGGTCATCAGGCTTGGTGGCAAGTGCCTTTACCCCTTAAGTCTTCTCTCCAGTTGTCAAATTATTTTTCAAAGCATCATAGTAAATATATACCTAAAATTTATCATTTCACAGTTGACATACCATTTTGTTTTTTTGAGATGGTCTCTATGTATCCCTGGCTGGCCTCACTCAAAAAATCTTACTGAAGCCTCCCAAGTGTTGGGATTACATTACAGGTGGGCACCGCTATATCCAACTGTAACAGGTAGTTTTTTCTTCATAGAACCACCTGGTTTTACCCAGAGCATGTGTACAATCCCCTCCCCCACCTTCAAAAAAATAATTTGTGCGTGTGCACTTTTTACAGGGCTACTGACAATTGACCTAGGGGTTCTCCCTGGCCTTGAACTTGTGATCTTCTTCCCTTCACCTCAGTGTTGAGATTACCAGCTTGCACCCCCAGTGTATGTGGTGTTGGGGACTGAGGAGGGCTTTGGGCATGTGAGGTGAGCACTCTGTCTACCGAGTCACATCTTTAGCCTCTCCGGTGCTTTTGATTTGCATTTCCCTAAAGACTGGTAGTAGGCAACCTAAAAAGTTTTACTTTTGTGTAGTGAGGTTTACATGCCATGGTGTGTGTGCGGGAGGCCAGATCCCCTGGAACTGGAGTTACACAGGATTGTAAACAGCTTGTTGGGTGCTACGAATCGACCCAGAGTCTCCTGGAAGAACAGCCGGTGCTCTTAAACGAAAGCTCTCAAGCCCCATTCCATCTCTGTGTAGGTTCTCGGGGTTGGACTCGGGTTTCGAGGCTTGGGGAGCAGCAAGTACCTTTACTTGCTGACCATCCTGTTGGCCCAAGAACAGCTTTTCTATGCTTAGTGTCCTAGTTAGGGTTGTCTTGCTAGGAGGAAACACCGGCACTAACAGCTTAGGAAAGGGTTTGTTCACCTTACTGGTCACAGTCTTTCATTGAGAGAAGCCAGGGCAGGATCTTGAGGCAGAACTGAAGCAGAGGCCATGGGGATGCTGCTTAACTGCCTTGCTCCTCATGGCTTGCTCAGCCTGCCTTCTTGTACAACCCAGGAGCACCTGTTGGGATGGCACTTCCCATAGTGGGCTGCATTCTCCCACATCAGTCGTTGTGAAGAAAATGCTCCCCAGACTTCCTAGGCCAGTCTGATGGAGACGTTTCCTCAGTTGAAGTGTTCTCTCTCAAATGACCCTACCTTGTGTCAAGTTGACAAAGCCGACAACTAGCACACTTACCAGTTGCACATTTTTGGGGAAGTGTTTATCTCAGATCCATACCTATTTTTGTCTTAGTTGGTTGGTTTTTTGAGACAGAGTTTCTCTTTAGCTTTGGACCCTGTCCTGGAATCCATACCTATTTTTTAACTGAGTTGTCTCCTTGTTATTGAGTTGTAGGTGTGATTTTTTAAAAAAATTTCCACATGAGTTAAATCTTTTTATTTGAAAAGCTAACATTTCTTAACATGAATGAATTACTGCAAATTAATTTAATATAATATCCTGTTTTACAGATAAACAGCAAAGAAGCTGATTTTATATTGGAACAAGGTTCTCAGCCTAAATTTAGTTCTCAACTAGGTACCTCAATACCAAGATTCTGATTCTGTCATCTCAGTACTAGAAAGGCATACCTGGTTACACACCTTTAATGCTGGTACCTTGGAGGCAGAGGCAGGCATATCTGGGAGTTCCAGGCCATCCAGAGCTCCATAGTGGCACACTGTCCCCAAAACAAAACAATAAATAGATCTCCCCATTAAATGAAGACCCCATTTTAATCAATGAATAAATATTTTTCAGAGAATATTTCTTTGTTAAGTTTTTTTGTAGTATGCCAAGAATATGGGAGGAGTTACTATTGTAAAAAAGGGAGTATGGAATGTATAGATGAACTTGTCTACAATTAGTGTTAACACAGACGAGTGAATTGGGACTTTTCCAAGAGAGAACAATAGGTTAATTTGTGATTAGCTGATTTTAACTAGAAATAGGAACAGTGAAGGATTTGGAATAGAGTGTAACACATGCCACTTTAATGCAGCAATCTCCCTGTGGCTTCATACATTTTGAGGGAACTCGAAGCAGCAGTTTCAGTGAGATCTATATTTGTTAGCCAGAAAGGACATCCACTTAAAAGCTAGTTGCAGCTTGTAGTCACAAGCTCTGGAACTTGACCAGTTTTTTCAGCTCTCAGCGGTTTTTCCTGCCCCCTTTTCTCACAGGATGGTTGGAGGATTCCGATGGGTAGTGAAGTGGAAAGTGCTGGAAATGATAGTATCGGTTCACATAATTGGATTCTAGTTGGGTAGTTCAGAAGTGTGGAAACAAAAATGAAGTAGTCTTTGGGGTGGAGATTTGCTCAAAGCTCACAAAACAAACAAGGATAGTCCCGACCTTTCTTCATTTGTGGAGTTTAGGATTGAACCCGTGGCCTTACGTGTTAGATCAGTGCTGCTTTTGTATGTGTACATCGGTCCACACTTCTGTGCACACGTGGGTGTGGATGCTAGTGTACCTGTGTGAGTTTGCATTTGAAGGCCAGAGACAGCTTGCAGTGGTGTTCTTCAGGAGCCGTCCGATTTGTTTTTCGGGGTAATCTCTCACCAGGAGCTGGGGTTTGCAGATTATCCTAGACTAGCTGGTCTACCTTTGCGCCCCAGGGACCTGCAGTCTCCGCCTCCCCAGCACTGATGACGTGGGCATGCCACCAAGCCTGGCTTTTTATACAGGTGCCAGGGATGAAACTGAGTCTTTATTCTTGTGGGGAGAGCACTTAACTCTCTTCATCCCCAAATTCTGCCCCCCCCCCTTTTTTTCTCAAAGGAACTTCTTGCCAACTCTAAAATGAAATGAGAAAAGTTTCCATCTCTGGGAACCTATTTGTTTAGAGTAAGTCAGAGAATTCCTCTAATACCCTTTTCTGATTAGAAACAAGTACATTGTAGTTTTATATTAAAAAACAATAAGCTATCCAGGCATGGTTTCACATGCCTGTAATCCCAGCACTTGGTTCCAACCAATTAGGAAGATTGAGAACCATTGTTCTAGTTTCTTAATGTGTTACATGTACTAATGTTATATTTTAGTGTATTGTTTACTACTCTGCTTTGGAAATGCAAGATGACATGTGCTCACGATTGCCCCCCTGGAATAACAGCTGTGGGCAATGGAAAACAATTGAGAAATTTTGTGTATTTGAATGATTAGATTTGGCTGGGAGGCAGAGGCGGGATGATCTCTGTAAGCTTGAGGCTAGCCAGCTCTATCTAGTGAGACCCTCAGGGGGTTTGTTTTGTTTTTGTTTTTTAAAGATTTTGTTCAGTACCTATCTAGGAATAGTTGCTAGATCCTGTAACCCCAGCATTCTGTGGTGGAGACAGGTGGATCCTGGGAGCTCATTGACTGGTCACTCTTCCTGAACTGGTAAGCTTCAGATTCAGTGAGAGATTCGATCAAAGAATAAGAGGGAGAACACTAGAGTACCACACACACAAGCACACATAAAGACAGGAGAATTGAAACAGTCGTTGTCTTTTTGTCTTGTAGATTAACTGCTGAAGTACTGATCGAGTTCTGCGTTTCTTCAATGAGGAACTACAGGCTGATCTTCTGCCATAATCTCAAACAACCGTAAATGACAGAAGGATGCTTGCTCAGTGAGGGTAGCTGGTGCAGAAGCCGTTTTTTAACCTTAGGTGTTTAAGTACTCAAAGGTAAGCTTGCTTCGTGGTAATGCTCCGTAAATCTGCGAAGAGTTTCGGAGTTTGCAGTTTATAGCTGCTGTTTAATTCTTTGCTATCAGTGATTCATGTTGTTAGCTGCTAAATTTGATTAACTTTGAGATTTTGTATTAATTAGCCGGCACCAAGTACATCAAAGAATAGATGTTGCTTGTCTAAGACTATGTAAATTTATGGTTATTTTCTTATTGGTAAGTTCATTTCTACCATTCCTGAAAATTGGTTGGATTGTTTCCTAGTCTTGCTATGGAGTCCTTGATAGAGCTAATACAGCTGATTCAGTCTTTTTCAAACTTTAGAATCTTGGGATTCACCTTTTTTTTTTATTCATTCAATAATTATTTATGATATTCATTAATTACATTAATTATATTGATTTATTACATTCATGATATTATGTCCTGATACTACTGGGATTCACCTTTTTTATCTGGAGTATCAGTACTTGAAAAAGGTTTTCCTTCTTTTAAAGATAATCTTTTTTCCTTTTGTTTAGCAATTAATTATTTGGACTGCTTGTTATCTAATGCTTCAGATACTGGAGACTCACTTTCTGAGGCATTCTCTCTTTTCCTCTTTACTGGGCTCCATCCTACAAAATGAAGACAGCTGTTTCTTCTGAACTAGCTTAGAGGGCTGGGATTTTTTTTCCTCACTGAAAGTTTAAGCTTAGAGCAGGGCGGTGGTGGCGCATGCCTTTAATCTTAGCACTCGGGAGGCAGAGGCAGTTGGATCTCTGTGAGTTTGAGGCCAGCCTGGTCTACAGAGCTAGTTCCAGGACAGGCTCTAAAGCTACACAGAGAAATCCTGTCTCAAAAAACCAAAAAACCAAAAAAAAAAAAGTTTAAGCTTAGAACTAAACATTTTTCCTTTCTGGGAAAAAAAATGTTACAGCTGCTCATATAGTAATAAATGATTATTTTTGTTCTTATCAGGCCTTAGTTTATAGAGTGATTGATAGCTCGGCATGCTATATATGGTTGTATCCTAGCAGTTAGGAAGCTGAGGCAGAAGGATTTTGAGTTTAAGGCCAACCTGAGCTTATACTGAGACCATGTCTTAAAAAGGTCCATCAGTTTATAAAGTGGTTCTTTTCCTGATTACCTGTTTGTGAATTGAGGGTTCATATTGCAGGTTCGGAGATGAATCAGGCTTGGCTTCTACCTAAAACTGCATTACCACTACACTTTCAGAGTGGAAGTCTTCTTGGGGCAAATTTGGCCCTTAATTGTCTTGGGATATTAATGTCACTTTCCAAAAAGTTTTGGATGACCTTTTGACACTGTTAAGTGTTCAGTCAGATATTACAGACCAGGTTCTGTAGTAGAGAAACCTATCTAATTACTCTGAGATTTATTTGTAGACTGTATCATGGGCCTGATAACTGGAACATATTTAAATAGATAGTGCACATTCAGGTGTAAAAGCATTTTTTCTTTAATGTATTTACTCATATTGCCACCTCTTAATCGTTATAGTCTTTTTTTTTTTTCTTTTTCTATTTTCATTTTTGTCTTTCATTTGGCAGAAAAGACAGCTTTGATTTCTGGCTGCAAAAAAGATATGAGGAAGAGCTCCTCCCCTTCCTTGAGTAACTGCAACTCCGATCTTGCTAACAAAATCTTTGGGATTCCACTTGATGAGCTGCAGCAGGGAGGCCATCCAGACAATGCGGTTCCGTTCATAGTCCGCCATGTTGTGGACTATATTGAGGAACATGGTATACATTTCCTTCCTTTGAGGGCTAGCTTTTGTCGTGAGGAACCAACTACCCCTTTTTGATTTTGGATTTAATTTTTTCTTAGTATGGGTAGTGCGAAGCAGGAAGAACAATATAAACTCTAAGGCTTTAGTATATTTTTTAAAAAAATTGATTTATCTAGAAATGGCAGTCGCCCAGCTGAGAACATTCTTCGCGGGGGTACTAGGAACTCTTTCAAGGCTATAAGGGTGGGGTGAAGTAGACTGTCCCTCAGAGATAGTGTGCTGCTAGAGGACCAGTTTGGTTTTTAGCCAAATCTGGGGAGCCAGGAAAGCCTTTCCAAAAGTAGGAGAATTTTTAGTTGAGAATGAGTATATGTGGGCAGGCAGTTGAAGGTGTAGCTTAATTCTTACTTTAACTAACTAACCTAGGAGGTCTGGAGCAACAAGGGCTGTTTCAAGTCAATGGGAACGCTGAGACAGTGGAGTGGCTTCGACAGAGATACGACAGTGGAGAAGAGGTGGATCTGGTTAAGGAAGCGGACGTCCCCTCAGCCATTAGCCTCCTTAGGTTTTTCCTGCAGGAGCTCCCTGAGCCCGTCATACCTGGCAGCTTGCACACTCACTTGATGCAGCTTTCTCAAGGTAACAGTTGGGTTTTTATCTGTCATTTATTGTTAGTGTTGGAGTCCCTACCTTTTAGAAATTGGATATGTGGTCAGTTTAGTATAGAGTTTTAGAGATTAATTTTTTTATTTTCTCCATTGCTCTTTGGTTCTATGTGATATAGTTAAGGGAATGACAACTTCTTGGACCTTTGTAGTAGTTTAAAATTTTCAAATATGTATTTTTGTGTATGCGGTGTGTCTATTTGTGTGTGAGAGTGTATGTGTAGCACTGTGTGTGTATGTATGTATGTGGGAGGACAGCATTGAGTTGTTCCTCAACTTCCCACTTTTACATGGGTTCTGGAGATCCAAATACAGCATCAGGCTTGTGTGACAAGTGTTGTATCCACTGAACCATCTCTTTAAAAAAATATCATTTATTTGGTGGTGTGGATGGGTGTGCACACTACAGTACGCCTGTGTAGGTCAAAGGACAGCTTGCCGGACTTGGTTCTCTACCATGTAGGTTCTGGGTCTTAAGAAGTTAAGGGGATACTGGGGATCTGAACTCAGGTACTTATGCTTGTGCAGTAAGACTTCTTCTGACTCGGTCCCCCAGACCCTGAAAACATTTTAGACCGCTGTTATCGTACAAAAATGGCCAACATTATCATTACCATAAGTCACCTTTTAACATTTTTTTTCTGTGAGTTAATTTTAAGAACCTGCAGAAAAATTAAAAAAAAGAAGAAAGTAATAAATTACTTCATTTTGAAGTACTTCTGAGAAATTCTCCAAAATTAGACCATCATCCATTAATGGGGTTTCTAAAGGCCCAGTTTCTGTTATAAAAACGCGTTGATAGAACAGACACAAGGCCTGCCTTCTGTGCTCACATTCACCTGGTCAAGAAGGAAGCCAGAGCCAGTGTGGTGGTTCATGCCCGTAATCCTGTGAGTTTGAGGCCAGCCTGGGCCAATCGTCCAAAAACAAAACCAGAAAATTTAGAGGAGAAACCCAAGTGAGAAACAGAAAGTTGGGTCATATTGCCTAGGTTTAATGATTATTTTCTGAACACCAAGAGAGAAAAAAATTGTCACCCCGTTCATTTCTTATTTTCTCAATTGTCCGTGTAGGAAATGGTCACTGATACTTGCCTGTTGACGGCTCCGTAGTAGTTTGGTTGACTGGCAGGTCAGTGTATTTTGACCTCTCAGCGTTGGCATTAATTTGGAAACACAAGTGTAGTCATGCCAGAGACAATATGATGAGAAAAGTTAGAGAATTGAGGCGCATGAGTAATAGGTGAGGAACACATCCTCCAGTAAGTGAGAGGCTGAGTCCTTTTTCTCCACCTCCCCTTTTCAAACTTTTCTTTCACTTAAGTGAACTGCAAAGCCCCAAGGCATTGGGCTCTCCAGAGGAAGTGAAGAGGTTTTGAATTATAGTAAAATAATAATAATAATAATAATGTGGGCGGAATAATGTGAACTTGGCAAACTATCTGAGCCTTACTTTTTACTTCATTGAGAAAACCTGTCATTATGTTTTATAGATTATAATAATGAAGATGAATTTGGAAGAAAGTTGAGGTTCCTCTTGCAACAGCTTCCACCTGTTAATTACAGTTTGTTGAAGTTTCTGTGTAGGTTTTTAGCCAATGTAGCATCACATCATGAAGAAATTTGGTCTGCAAATTCTTTGGCTGCTGTTTTTGGTCCAGATGTCTTCCAGTAAGTTATTTCACAACTTTGTTTAATTTAGAAAAATTGGATTTGTGAAATGGAATCATTATATTGTCTCCCAAGAATCATAGGATGCTTGATGAACCATGACTTTTTTTTATAGTCTATCTGATTAATTCTCACAGCATTGCTGCGTTCAGGGTACAAATTAGGTAGGTTTTACAGATAGGGAAACTGAGGTACAGAATGATGACATAAATTGCTCAGTTTCATAAAGTGACTCACTGGTTCTTGTCTCATTTTACCTGTAATGAAGAACTCAGCTCAATTTAAGCTTTTATTCTTAGCATTTATACGGATATGGAAGATATGAAAGAGCAAGAAATTGTGAGCAGGATAATGGCGGGACTTCTGGAAAATTACTATGAGTTTTTTGAAAATGAAGAAGAAGATTTTTCATCAAATGATCTGAGTTCAATTACTGAGCAGGTGAGCATCCTTAACATTCTGTTTCTTAGAAAATGCGGAGTCCTCTCTTAGTGGTTGACACAAAGAATTGACTTACTAACCTAGAGGTGCTTCTTCTGAGTGTCCTTTGTAATTAACGGTTTACAGCATATGATTGGGTCTATACCCTTATCCCCACTTCTTGATCTCAGTTTAGGTTCTAAGCAAAAGGCATTTATTATTTATTAATGTGTAGTGCTGGGCATTGGACCTCAGTCTTTGGACATGCTAGATAAACATTCTATCACTGAGATAAATGTTCAACTAGGAAAAAGTCAGAGTGCATGGTAGAAATTCTTTTGTACTTCATTCCCCAGCCCCATTATTCACTTAGAAATGGTTTATTTTGTGCAGCCCAGGTTGCCCTTGACCCCAGCTAACTCCTTTGTCTTGAGTGTTAGGATCCCTGGTATGCCCCACACCTGGGGAGTAGATAATTGTAAATCCTCTGACTGTAAGAAGTTAGTCAAACCCATTATTTATATATTGAATTTTGGATCGTTTTATTTTTTGGGTTTTATTGTTTGTGTGAAGATAATGGTATTAATTTAGCCCAGATTGGCCTGGAACTGAGTAGGTAGCCTAAGCTAGTCTTAAATTAGTCCTCTTGCATTGGCTTCCCAGTGCTGGGATTACAGGTGTGGGCTACCATGCCTGGCTTTTAAAATCTGGTGTTATTGTTACGATTTTTATTCATTCATTTATTTATTTTGAGGGATGATCTCGTGTGGCTCAGGCTTGCCTCAAACTTGTATGTAGGCGAGAATGACCTTGAACTTCCGATCCTCCTGCCTCTACCTTCCAAGTGTTGGTGGGATTATAGGCGTTCACTCCCACACTTGGTTTTATGAAGTACTGTGCACACTCTTCCAACTGACTTAGTGCTTGCATTATACTTGATTTCTTTTTCCTTTATGAAATAAGAATATTGGAACTGAATAATTATAATTTTTTAAAGCATTATTTAGACTCTTCATGTTTAGAATTTGTGAGTTAGATATCTGTTTGAAAGTTTTTCTTCTACAATTCAAGTATTTTGTCACCACTTTATTATTTATTTATTTATTTATTTATTTATTTATTTATTTATTTATTTATTTATTTATTTTGAGATAGGGTCTTACTGTGTATGTCTGACTGCCCTGGAACTAACTATGCAGACCACAGACTGGCCTCCAACACACAGATCTGTGTGCCTCTGCAGCTTGGGTGCTGGGATTAAAGGCTTGTTCCCTCATACCTGGCTAGTTTATTGAGGTAGGATCTCATGTAACACACAGTTGACCTTGCTGTGTAGCATAGATTGGCCTTGAATTACTGACACCCTACTTCAATCTTGTGAGCGCTGGGATTACACTTAGCTCCCGATGAGTATTGCTTGAGAATAAACATCAAGAGGACAGGTTGATGGCTATGTCATAAAGTTTTTTGTTTTTGTTTGAGACAGGGTCTCATGCAACCCAAGCTGACCTGAAACTCCTTATAGTGCCAAGGCTTGCCTTGAGTTTCTGATTCTGTCTTCCCTTTCTGATGTTGAGATTATGGGCATGTACCACTATGCTTGGTTAACACTTAAACTTTAATGCCTTGATGGTTATAAACCCATCTATTAAGGAATTCTCTATGTCATCCTTCTTTAAATTACATTTTAATCCAGTAGCTTTTTTCGATTCAAAATTAATGGCTGTCCAAAATGTAATAGCAGTCTCTGTGTGTGTGTCATTTTCTATGTTTCTAAGATGTTTGACTTGTTAAAAATTGATGACAGCTTGACCTACTGTTCATAGACTCCTAAAATTTGCAGTGCATGCCTTGGTTATGCTTTATATTGTTATATAATCTTGTGGTCTTCTGTCTTATAATTTCCTTACGTGTGCTGAACTTTCTGTCTATATGTCATTAGAAAAATTGGCTTTAAACTATATCGTGGTTTACATTACATAGGATGATGCTTAAATTGAGTAGGACTGAGGAGGTATGTTGAGTTCTGTCGGGTTTGCCCATAGAAAAGATATCAGTCTATTGAGCAAAATAGTGCCAAGAAGTAGGGTAGTGAGGTGTTTTTCAAGTTGTGCGTGCTTGGTGACTTCAGAGGCCAGAAGAGGGTGTTAGATCTCCTGAACTGGAGTTACATGTGATTGTCAGCCACCATATGGGAGCTGGGTCCTGGAGGAGCAGCCAGTAAGTACTCTGAACCGCTGAGCCTTCTTTCTAGCCCCTGGGGTCTATTTTCTTACCCATTTAAGTAAATAAACTTCTTGATTAAAGTGGTTACACGTAACAGAAGTACAGATTTGTGCAGCTTGTTTCCCTTAAGCAGTTTTGATAAACCTCAGTGTGATTTGTTCGTAGGATTGACGAGGTATTTGAGTGCAGGTAGAATAGTCTCCAACTCAGCCTAGTTGTGTTGAAGTTGCTTTAACCTAACTACTTCGTAAGTCTCATTTATATATTGAAGGATAGCGGCAAGTATGGCTGTCCGGCAGTGCTTTGCTTTTTATTTTATTTAATCGTGGTAATTGAAGGAAGCCAAGTTTATTCAGCACTGTTTTGGAGTTTCATCCCATTAACTCAAGTATTTAGTTGTTAAACTCTTGTGAAGGTAGTAGGCAGTCTTACGCAGCATGTGTGTTGAAATGATGAATAGGGAATGCTTGAGAAATGACTTGACAGAAGTCAGGTGGACTTTGATTGGGCTGTTCAAATGAATGATTTTCCAAGAGGGGGTTTGAAGTGATAATTACGTTCCTTTATACATTTGAGAAGGCAGGTAGCAGCATTCTCCACAGTCTGGAGTCTGGAGAGCAGCCATTTCATGAGGCCATAGTGAAGGGAATTACAGCAGTCAGAGAGAAGAGATGTAAGTATGGGTGAAGGTTTCCGCTCGGGAAGTTGAGGCAGCTACATAGTTCCAAGTGAATTATGAATAAACAGAGATTGTTGAGCAGCCGGTCAGGTGGACAGAGTAAAGATGAAGAACTTGTGAAGATTAGTGTGGAGTGAGGACATTTGATTCTGTCCTTTATGACCTCTCTTGATCTAAGTAATTGAGTTAGTTATTACTGGAGATGTCCCATTGATTGTGCTAGGAATTGTAATTGAGAAGAAGAAAATCCTACAGGTTATATATTTAGTTGTGATTATAATAGTGTTGATAAAAATATTGGAGATTGCTGGTTATGTAAGGTTTATTGACTTGAATATGATACATTCAGTATGAAGTAGTATAAGGCTTTCCTAGTTCCCAAGAGCTATTGTGCATAGAAATGTTTTTTTTTTTTTTTTTTTTTTGGTTTTTCGAGACAGGGTTTCTCTGTGTAGCTTTGCGCCTTTTCCTGGAACTCACTTGGTAGTCCAGGCTGGCCTCGAACTCACAGAGATCCGCCTGGCTCTGCCTCCCGAGTGCTGGGATTAAAGGTGTGCGCCACCACCGCCCGGCTAGAAATGATTTTTTTTAAAAATAATTATGAATTGTTTTTTAAATTTTGTGAGTATGTGTGATGTCTGTGTGTGTGTGTAGCTAGAGGACAACATTGGGCTTTTGCGCTGTTGCTCCTCACCTTACCCTAGGAGGCAGGGCCTCTCACTGAAGTGGGTGCTCAGGGACTGCTTAGATTAGCTGGTCAGTGTGTGCTGGGGATCTCCTGACTCCCCATCCTCAGTGCTAGAGTCACAGATGTACGTGACCATGTCTGACTTTTATGGGCTCTGTGGATCCACGTTGAGGTCCCAATGCTTATGTAACATGCCATTTGAGTCAGCTGAGGCATCCAAATGAGCTATCTCCCCAGCTCCTAATGACTTCATTTTAGCATGTATGTTTGGTATGCATATGTGTTCGTATGTATGTGCGTACACTTGTGCAGGGGTGCATGCACATGCGTATACCTGTGTGTGTGGAGGCTAGAGGTTGGCATTAGTGTCTTCCTTGAATACTTTCTTCCTTGTGTATTGTGGTAGGGTCTCACTTATTCCCAGAACTCACTGACTTGGGCTAGTCTAGCTGGCTGCTTGCTTTGGGATCCTGTCTCTGCTTCTTGAGCGCTGGGGTTACAGGCAGACTGCCACTCTTATCTGGCTTTGCACTGGACTCTGGGAATCTGAACTCTGTCCTCATACTTGCGTGGTAAGCACTTTACCCTCTGAGCCATCTCCTTAGTCTCCAGAATGATTTATGAAAGTGATACATGTTAAAATAGTAGCTTTTAACCAAAAGATAGGTAGACCGGATAAGTATTTATTCTGTTTAAATAAAATGATTTTAAGTTTATTTATTGTGTGTGTCATGGTACCTGTGGAGGTCAGAGGACAATCTGGAGAAGTTTTTTCCCCTCAGCTGTGTGGGTTCTGGGGAACAAACTTAAGGACATCGACTCAGGCTTGATGGCAGTGCTTTTACCTACTGAGCTGTCTACCTGGCTCACTGCCCCCTCTGAAGTTGTTTTCATCACAGTTTTATTGGTAGATGAGGCATTGCATTTATAAGCACAACAAATTGAATGGAGTCTCTCATATTTGCAAACTGAAGCCATGGACTTTTTAAAAATGTTTTTGAGATACCATATGTTGAACCCATGAGCAGTGTCCCGCCGTTGACTGTGGTCAGTGTTTTCATCTGACACATGGCAGCAGTTACTGTTGAGGAGCTCCCCCTTGGGTTTGTGTAGTCTAGTTTAGGCAGCCATGTTGGCAAGACTTGCTGGGTGCAGTTTATCATTTCTAGGAGACACAGTCTCACAGCAAACTTTCTGTCCCTCTGGCTTCCATTCCACAGTCTCCATGCCCTCTTCCTCAGTGGTCTCTGAGCTTTAGGTGCAGGAGTGGTGGTGTAGGTGATCGGTTGGAGCTGCTTCCACACAGCCACTTGTTCTCTGCAGTTTGATCAGCTGTGGTTTTCTGGAATGGTCTCTGTCTGGCTAGTTTGAGTAGTCAGAATGTGCTGCTCAGTATTTTAATGACTAATATTAACTTATAAAAGCTATTAGGTTACTTATAGATAATTTCTTCTTTGGTATAATTTATTTTTGAGACAGGGTCTTGCTGAGTAGCTCAGGTTGGCCTGGTAGTCACTCTGGAGCCCAGACAGGCTTGAACTCTTAGAGGTATGCCACCACATCTAACTGCTGCTTTTGGACAACCTTAAAATATGTTTCACTTAAAAACGTTTTATTGGCCGAGCAGTGGTGGCGCACGCCTTTAGTCCTAGCACTCTAGTCCTAGCAATTGGGAGGCAGAGGCAGGTGGATCTCTCCGAGTTTGAGGCCAGCCTGGTTTATATTTCCAGGACAGCCAAGGCTACATAAAATAACCCTGTCTTGAAAAACAAAAAATGTTTTATTGACTTTCCTTTTGTATCTTAGTTATTTGTTTTTGTTAGTGATTAGTTAGTATAGTTGGTTTGATGATGGAGACTTTTGAATAAATCCTACTAGAAAAATATAATTACAACTTTGTGCTTATTAGTTAAAATGTAAGTTCTTTGTAAGATTTGTTAGAAAATTATTAGATTATAAAAGTGGTTAGAAAATGAAGCTTTAAAATTTTTTGTGACAGGTCTTACTGTGCAGTCCTGGCCAGCTGGAACCTCCAGTGTTCCTCCTGTGCTGGAATTGTAGACAGACGTGTACTACCAGACCCAACAAAAGGGAGACAGTCTTACTGTTCAGTGCAAGCTTTTTCCTACTTATAACATTATTCTTTTTTGTCATGCATCAAAATGCTGTTTGATGTAAGCAAAATGAAAATTAAAAAGTTGCATTTGTCTTGTTTATACACTTGTTTTTTATTTAGTTTTATAGTGCTGGGGATTAAAACTGGGGCATTGTAGCCGGGCGATGGTGGCGCACGCCTTTAATCCCAGCACTCGGGAGGCAGAGCCAGGCGGATCTCTGTGAGTTCGAGGCCAGCCTGGGCTACCAAGTGAGTTCCAGGAAAGGCGCAAAGCTACACAGAGAAACCCTGTCTCGAAAAACCAAAAAAAAAAAAAAAAAAAAAAAACAAAACAAAACAAAAAACTGGGGCATTTTGCATGTTAGGTAAATGTTTTCCCTGTTCTATAATTTTATTTTGATATAAAAATGTTGACACTTTATAGGAGAGATTGGTATTAGGAAATGAAGTTTTGTTTTGTTTTTTGAGACAGGGTTTCTCTGTAACAGCTCTGACTATCCTGAGGAAATGAAATCTTAAAACAAATGACTTGATTTACAGTATTTTTAGAGTAGTGTATCTTAGATAAGTCTTAAAAGCTTTATTAAATTTAATCCTGAAATTCCTCTTTATGTAGGTTAATGAACTTTCTGAGGAAGAAGAGGAAGATGAAAAGCTGGAGCATATAGAAGAACTTCCAGAAGAAGGTGTAGAAAAGTCAGATGGCATGCCAGAGGGGTTGCAGTTAAGGATGACTGAAAACATCCTGGAACCAGACAGTGTTACAGCATCAGCCAGGTAAAGGCTTGAGTTGAGCCAGCTTTAGCTTCTGAGGGTTCCAGTCTCACTGTAGACTCCAGCACTAAACACCAAGAGAACTGCCTGTGAGGCTGAGCCGGGCATAGCCAGGCATAGCCGGGGTACAGCTAGTGTTGGAGAGTCACCTGGCATGTGCATGTTCCTGTAATCGCAGTGTTTGGAAGGCAGAGGCAGGAGAATCTCTTCCAGCAGACCAGGCCGTGCAGACTGTATTGTATATGTAAGACCCTTTTCTCGGTGGGGGCGAGGTGGGGGGAGACATTTGAGTATCAAAGAGCAAGAAAACTAAAAGCTGTTAGGAGTTTTCATTTTCCAGTGTCACACTTTTCGTCAGAAATAAAGCCTTGTGTGTATAATTCTTACAATTTGTTTTTATATTAGCTAATTAGTTGGGTTTGGTTAAAGTTTTAGCACCCTTGATTTCTAGAGATGGTAGTACTGTGATTGAATTGACTGTGTTAGTTACTTATCTGCTTGCTACTGTGACAAAACACCATGATCAGGCAACTTTTAAAGAAACAGTTTAATGGGGCTTATGGCTCGAGAGGATTAGAGTCCATGATGGTGGATCAAAGGCATGGTGACAGGACCGCTAAGAGCTCACATCTTGATCCCCAAGGGCGGGGGAGGAAGAGGAGAGAGAGACAGAGAGCGCACCCTCGTGGACAAGTGAGCATGTACACACAGGGAATGGCACTGGCCTTTTGAAACTTGAAGCCTGTCAGCAGTGACACAGCTCCCAACAGGGAACACTTCCCAGGTCTTCTCAAGCAGTTTCACTGGTGGAGGCTTACTGCGGTGGCTGTTCTCATCCAAATTACCACATTGATGTCTAAAAATAGGTTGTTTTTAAATTGTGTGTGTGTGGGGGGGTATGTATATGTGAATGCAGTGCCTGTGGAGGACAAGAGAGATCGGCTTTCCTTGAGCTGGAGTTCTGAGGCTTTTGTAAACTGCCTGGCCTGGGTGCTGGAAAGTCAGAAGAAGGCATTGGATTCCCTGGGATTGGAGTTACAGTTGGTTGTGAGCTATCATGTCAGTGCTGGGAATGAACCAAGGTCCTCTAGAAGAGTGACCAGTGCTTTTAGCTACTGAGGCAATTCTTCAGCTCTAAAAATAATTCTTTTTTTTTTTTTTTTTGGTTTTTCGAGACAGGGTTTCTCTGTGTAGCTTTGCGCCTCTCCTGGAACTCACTTGGTAGCCCAGGCTGGCCTCGAACTCACAGAGATCCGCCTGGCTCTGCCTCCCGAGTGCTGGGACTAAAGGCGTGCGCCACCACCGCCCGGCTCTAAAAATAATTCTTAAAGACAAAATCCCCAGATCATTTCATTCCTTTAACTCTCTTCAGTATCATCCCGTTTTATTTATAATAAACAGAATTCTCAAATGGACGATAGAGTCTATAACTAATCTGCCCCACCTTACCGGCAACTGCCCCACCTGACTTTGTCTCTTGGGTAATATTCCTTTGGTCATTCTCTTCTGGCTATAGCAGAATTCCTCAAATGTGCTGTCATGTTCTCGCCTTGAGCCTTGGCTGTAGAGCAATGCCCATAGGCAGGGTGTGGGCCAGGTAGGAAGAGAGCACATGGTATCGGAGGAGGAAAGTGGGAGAACCATGACAGAGAACTAGACTGTATACAGACTATTCTGTAGCGTTTGATCCTGAAACCTTGTGTCCCTAGTTCAGGCATTGCTCTCATTTTCACCACTGGAAAGGACTCTGTTCCATCACTGGTAGTGTTATCTAATCAAAAGTCCATGTGTTTAGAACTATGTAACTTGGAAATCTTACCATAGAAAGCCACTGCTGCTGTATCTCATAAGGTATCTGTGATGGTGTCCAGTCCTAAGCTTGTATTTAACTAGGACAAGCAGCATTATATGTAGGAGTATGTGTTTATAAAGGAAGTTGAGCAGAGTATTTCTGCTTATGAGAATTCTTACAAGGTCTGTTAATAACATTCAAAGAAGAATAAAAACACATAGCAGATTTAATGTCACTCAGCAAGGGAAAATATATATGTATTTATGAAGATGTGTTTTCTTTAATAAGTAAACATTCTGTTAACCAGCTTGATGGTATACAGAAAGCTGAGCTGAAAGTATTTGTAGATACTCCAGACAGAGCCTGGATATAGCAGGTGCAGGCTCCTCATACAGAGCCAGTGGGTCTGACAGCCAAGAGGGGCTGCCTCTAATCTCAGTTTCCAGGAAGTTGAGGCAAGAAGATTGCCAGTTTGAGGTCAGCTGGACTACATGGTAGGACCCGCCCATAAGTGAAGATTTGTGAATTATTTATTTGCTTTGAAATGCATGTAGTCCAGGCTGGCCCCACACTCTTTTGTGTAGCCTAGGGTTACCTTGAACTCTTGAACTTCCTGCCTTCATCTCCCACATGCCAGGATTACAGACTTGGCCACCACACCCAACATAGGTCATGATTGTTACTCAATTGTTTCAAAGGCCTGATCTGATTTTTTTTAAAAAACTTACTAGGGTTGATGCTGCTGCTGCTACTGCCAGTGATGGTAATGTAAAGTGTTCAAACCCTGTGGCTGGGACGACTGCAGATAATGAAGTCATGCAGCAAGATCTTATATTTGAGGGTCAGAAAAATAATCAGGTAAGAAATGCTAGAAGCATCGTTCTAATTGTCCCATGTGTTCCTTTGACAGCAAAAGTTATAGTTGAGTAATTTTGCTAACATACTTGTCTCTCTTGTATACATTCTCTGTAGAATTTAGGAATCATGTTAGGTAGAGAGGAAACATAAAGCACCTTATTTTTATTATTTTTAATCTTTTGTGTATGTTTGTGAGTGCAAGCTTATGCATGCCATGGTACATGTGTGGAGGTCAGAAGGCAACCCTTGGTGCTAATCTTGGCATTCAGTCTTGTTTGAGACGGTGTGTTGTTTTGTTCCTGTATACACCAGCCTGTTTGGCCCAGGAGCTTCGGAGGATCCACTTGTCCTCTAGCCGGTTTTGCTGTAGGCACTGGGATGGCAGATTTGTACTGCTGCGCTTTACATGGGTTTGGGATTTAAACTCAACTCCTCGAGTTTGTGTGGCAAGCACTTGTACCCAATTAGCCATCCCCCATCCCAAGGGCCTTTTTGTTTTAGACAGGGTCTTACTGTATAGCCCTGGTTGGCATGGAACTCTACATAGACCAGGCTGTCCTCCTCGTACGGGGATTAAAGGTGTGTGCCTTCATGTCCAGCGTCAAACACATTTTGAAAGTATTTCTGGGAAGGAAGTTTATGACTCCAGCTGAGGTAGCTAGAGGTATTGTGGTTGAGCTTTATTAGTTTCAAAGCTTTCTGTATTTCTTAGTACTTTTGAAGAACATAATATAGTAAAAATTTTTTTACCTCTTTTCCCTTTGCAGTTCTTAGTTGAAAGTAGGCTCCTGTAACAAAAGACAGATTTAAATGAAAACTTTTTTTTACTGTGAACTTCTTAGGGGTATCGGTGTTTTGCATGTACCACATGGTGTGCTTAGTTGAGGCCCAGAGGCCAAAAGAGGAGGCATTGGAACTCCTGGGAAGGGAGTAAAAATTGTGAGCTGCCATGTGGGGTCTGGGGATTGTTCCTAGGCCCTCCTGAGAGAGCAGCAGTGCTCTTAACTGCTGACTGTCTCTCTAGCCTCTCAATATATACCCTGGCTGGCCTGGAACTTGCTATGTAGACCAGGCTGGCCTTGAACTCACAGAGATCAGTTTACTTTTCTTTCCTTCCTGAATTGCTGGGATTAAAGGAGTGGGCCACCATGCCTGGCAACAAGACACAAAAGATGAAATAAACAAGCTTAATGAATTATACCTCAAGTACAGGTGGGAATTGGAGGAAACAGTGAATCTCTAAAGATGGCTTAACTAGCACTGGTGTCCAGAATCGAGGATGGGTGTGTAGGAGATGACCAGGAAGAGGCATTTGAGCCATCCAAAGGATTTAGTTCTGTTAGGGCAGAGTGATAGAAACCCTGGCGCTACAGCCACCGTTCTCTTCCTGACGCAGGAGATGTGGTACAAATGAAGATGCCTTATGTGCGAGATGTTCTGATACAAAGGGTGGTGCTTGTTTCCTCGTTTGTCACTGTCTAAAACAATCAGCTCAGTAATGTCTGAGAGGCCTGTGCTGTACGGCACGTTCAGAATGCTACAGTCAAGATCTGCAACTATAGGAAACCCGGGAACACTTTTGAAAATGGCTGAACTGTTGGTTGTGCTGCATAAGGCACTGGCATAATTGTTTTAAAGAAATACTTCAAAGTCCAAACCTAGAAGCTGGGTTTGTGTGTCAGCGGTACAGGACGTACCTGGATTTGATACCTAGGTCTAAAAGAAAAACAAAGTATAAAAGCAGCACCTGAGCCATGTTTGTTGGTTTGTTTTTTGTTTTTCAAGACAGGGTTTCTCTGTAGTTTTGGTGCCTGTCCTGGATCTCGCTCTGTAGACCAGGCTGGCCTCGAACTCGCAGAGATCCGCCTGGCTCTGCCTCCCGAGTGCTGAGATTAAAGGCATGCGCCACCACTGCCTGGCCTGAGCCATATTTTTTAAAAGACATACTTATGTATTTTAACACATTTATTTAGTCTTTTTGAAACTGTGTATCTCTGGCTGGCTTCTAACTTGCTGTCTAAACCAGGCTGGAACTCGAGGCTCTGTCTGCCTTGTGAGTGCTGGGATTAAAGGTGTGCACCACCATACCTGGCATTTTTTAACACTTTTAAATAAATGAACACATAAGGGGGTTTTCTTCAGTGTGTTACCATTGTAAATCGTACAGAAAAGTAGGTGCAGTAAGCAGCTTAGAGCTGTCACACTTACCCATCTTTTTCTTTTCATGTAGTCCCCAAACTTACGTTCCTTCGCCTCTTACGTATGTGCTGTCGTGCTTTGTGTATTTTTACTTTTGTATGTAGAAATTGGCCTCAGTTACAGAACAACCCCTGTTTCATTAGTGCTGGGATTACAAGCATGAGTTGCATCACATGTTTTTTTCTCTCTTCTGAAGATTTAATTTTAATTATGTGTATATTTGTGGGTTGAGATGTTCATTGCCCACAGAAGCCAGAGACATGTGGAGGGAAAGGTTGACATCAAGTCTTCTCATTACTCGATGCCTTACAGTCTCTTACTGAGCCCGAAGCTTGCCACTCTGGCAGACTTACCAGCCAGTAAGCCCAGTGGACCCTCATGTCTCAGCCTTCCCAGTGCTGGGGTTACAGGCGCACACTGGATTTTTTCATGCTTGCAGAGAAGCATGTTAGCTAAGCTGTTTCCCCACACGTCACTTTTTATTTTTTTTTATTTTTTATATTTTGGTTTTTCGAGACAGGGTTTCCCTGTGTAGCTTTGCACCTTTCCTGGAACTCACTCTGGAGACCAGGCTGGCCTCGAACTCACAGAGATCCGCCTGCCTCTGCCTCCCGAGTGTTGGGATTAAAGGCATGTGCCACCACCACCTGGCCACTTTTTATTTTTAAATAAACAATTGTTCTCATTAAATGTGTTAATTTGGGAGGTTGCATTGTTTTGTGTTTATATCATTAATGCCTGCCTAGAGGATAGTTAGATTCTCATACTTGCTTTTGTATTCAATATGCTGCTGAAGATTGAATTGGAGAGTAGGACACAGTTCAGCCTCATGGAGATTCAGTTTTTTCAGACAGACACTTTTCATACCAAACAAAACTGGACACATGCATGGTAGCTTCTAAAGAGTTGGCAGGATGGTCAGTGGATAAAAGTGCTTGCCACACAAGCCTATCCAGTTGAGTTCAGTCCACAGAACCCACACTGGAAGGAGAGAGCCAGTTCCTGAAAGTTGTCCTCTGATCTTTACACGTGTGCTGTGGCATGTGTGCACACGCAAACACATCCTAATAGGAGTAGAACAATTTAAGAAGAGTCTAGGAATTGAAGTGTTTGTTGATGTTAAAGATGATCAAGAGCATGAAAATGTGTTATACACATTGTAGTAATACTGAAGAGAATTGGATTGTACTTTTTTTTTTTTTTTTTTGGTTTTTCGAGACAGGGTTTCTCTGTGTAGCTTTGCGCCTTTCCTGGGACTCACGTGGTAGCCCAGGCTGGCCTCGAACTCACAGAGATCCGCCTGGCTCTGCCTCCCGAGTGCTGGGATTAAAGGTGTGCGCCACCACCGCCCGGCTGGATTGTACTTCTAAGGCTTGTTCCTTCACGTAGCTTAGGCTGGTCTGTAGCCCGGGAGCAGCTCAGAGCTTGCATCTTACCACCTCTGCCTCTTGAGTGTTGGGATTATAGGCTTGTGCCAACACACCTGGTTCTCTTGGATCATTTTTCATTTGTAAACGCATTGAAAAGTAGGTGGTTCTGTGCTTCTGAGACTCAAGTGGCCCCTGTATAGAAAGAAGTTATTTCAAATGTACCCAAGCCAGAGCCCTTCCTCTGCTAGACAATGCTCTACTCCAGAACCAGCACCATAATTTTTGAAGGAGAGAATTCTAAGGAAAGAAGATACTAGTGATTATTGCTTACAAGGAGACAGAAAAACAAGGGCCTTGTAAGTATATATCAGCTTTGTGTACAGAAACTGCCAGTTCCTACAGACTGTTGGAGTAGTGGGGGAGGAGTGTCTGCTGATTTGTAATCTAGTGTCTTGATTGCAGCTGTCTGTACTGTGAGTGTGGGGACTGGTAAACAGTGGTGGTGTTCTTTGTCAGTCTGTAGGTATACTGTTAGAGCCTTGTAGTGACCACGGTGACAGTGAAGACGGCTGTCCTGAGAGGTAAGCCCCTTCTATTGTTGCTGATAAGTCAGTCATTTGGAGAATTGGAACCTTTTCACAGAGTTTTGGTTGAAAACTTTGGGTAAATGTCCATTAGAGCCCACAGTTAATCTTAAGAAAACCAGGCTTCTTATTTTAATGGTAGGTTAGAGTATATTAATAGCGACAAGTATTTAGTTTCCCAGCTGCAGACAAACATTAGTTATGAATGTATATTCAGAGAGAACACGGCCTTCTTAGAGATGACAAAAACTTGATTTATAGAACAGTTAGAATTTATCAGTACTGTAAATAGACATGTCAGTGAGCTGATAGTTTGGGAACTGTGGCCAGCCAACCAAAAATTGATGAAATACTAAAATGGATGAGTATGGGATATTTTTTGTTCCTGCTACTCATCCTTACTGTGTCCAAGGATAATCTTACCCATGTGGTGCTTGTTTACCCCATCACTGCAAGATGTCTGAGATAGTGAGATCCACCAAATGTAGTCTCCACAGATACAGTCCCTTTGAGGAAAAGCCTTGGCAGAGTGTTTTAATCAGCGATAGGAGGCTTTTCCAGTCACTCAGGTCTTGTTGCCCTTTACATCATTCTTTCAGAGGCTGCCAAGAAGTATATCCTAACATTCTTAGCAAGGTGATTTGATCTCTGAAAACGATCAATAATGAGGGCTCTGATAGAGCGTTACTGATTTGCTGATAGCCTGTTGGTCAGGTAAAGTTTTGTTAATGCTGTTGTATCTTAATTGTGAGTAGGAACCTGTTGTTGGAGGGTAAGTGAATTCTTTGGAGCCATGTCTCTGGAGTGTCCTCATACTCTGAAGGTCCACAGATTTCCTGCTTACGGAGCTCCTTGTGCTTCCTTTCAGGAGGCAGGACTGATCTTCTTCCAGCCCAGGGAGTTTTGGAGCTATGGGCTGAAGATATAAGATTAACAGGCATCCCCAGAATGATGACATCGGGATATGGTAGAACAATAAGTATCCATTTAGTGAGGACCCAGTCTTTTTGGAAAGCTCTTTACTCTTCAACTCATGTCTAGGTTAGCAAACTTGTTGTAGATCCAGAGTACTTTGGTTAGGTGGATTGCATTTTGCATGGTTAATACTTATGTTTTTCAGATTTAGATAATTAGGTCTTTGAGAGTGAGTCTAACCTATTCTACCATTTGCTCCGACCCTAAATAAAAGAAAGCCTTGAAGCAGTGATGGTGTACACCTTTAATCCCAGCACTCAGGAGGCAGAGGCAGGCAGATCTCTTGAGTTTGAGGCCAGCCTGGTCTACAGAGAGAGTTACATGACAACCAGGTCTATACAGAGAAACTCTGTCTTGACTCCTCACCTTCCTCCAAAAAAAGCTTGTCAGAGAATTCAGTTTCTCAGGCCACCAAAGATAAGATACTTATAAGGAGATAGCTTCTTTAAGTCAAGGCTTGTCTTCCAAGTGTTCATCACTATTATGACCACTTAAAAGTAGCATTTAAGTCTATGTATTATAAATTGACATAGATCTCTTTGAGGAGCATTTCCACTGTGAGCATATTGATAGCTTACCCTATTAATAACAAATGCTTTGTTGACTGGCCAAAGAGGTAGAGGTCATTTGTGACAACTTAGAATATGGTTCTTACATAGGGATTCATTTTCTGGGAAACTCAAAGGTGTATGAAGTTGTGGTGTTTTTTTTTTTTTTTTTTTTTTTTAATGTTGTATGTTAGGTTTTGTGGTGAGGGTCTAAGAAGCAGTAAACTTGTTGAGTTACAGTAACCTCCTGTGATAGTGCACAGCCGTAAGGGACAGATCCAAACCTTTGTAAGTCTTTGCATGGAGAGAAGAGTGGGTTAAAACTAGTCCTTACTTTATGGATTCCTTTTCTAATATGCATCAGTTCTTACTGGCTTCTATATTGTGGTTTTTAATTTTCCTTTCATAAAGATTTTTCTTTTGGGGGTGTTTTTATGTGGGGAGGGAGTGGTAGAGAGTATTATTCAATTTTTCTAAACCTGAAGTGAGTCTGTGGATCTTTTCAGTATTGTGTGATTTTCAGATATAGGGCTCCAAAGAATGGGCATGTGCCCTCATGTCACTTTCCTCTCACATTTAAATGCCAACTGTATTGGGAAGAGAAGGATCTAGGTAAGAAGTAATAAAAGTAACCTTTTTAGTTTGCATATGCTAATAACTCTGCTTGTGTTTTTAGGAAGGAGTATTTGTTATGTGACAGTGATAAATTGCCGCACTTGATTCTGGTAAGAACTATCTTTATGTTATAGTTCTGTTGCTTAGATTAATGTATCAGTTATTATATCTGGCCTCTAACTCTTGCATTGGATAAGTTGAAAGGAGTCATGTATGTTATAGTTAAGTATCAATTAATGTGGTTACAAGATTGTGGGTTATGAAAGTACTTTCCTAAATTTGAGATCCAAATTTGGTTTCCTAGTAAGACATTATAAAATGCAAATTTGCATTTGAATAGTTTGCTTGGAGCTGAAGAGATGGCCTGCTCTGGCTGCTCTTCCAGAGGTCCTGAGTTCAATTCCCAGCAATCACATGGTGGCTCACAACCATCTATAACGGGATCTGGTGCTGTTTTCTGGTATTTAGATATACAAGCCAACAAAGCACTCATACATATAAAATACATAACCAAACCTGAAACAACAGCAGCAGCAACACTGACTCCTCTTCCAGAGCATCTGAGTCTGATCCCAGCACCCACCCCCACGGCAGTTCAAACCATCTGTGCCTCCAGTCTCAGGGCATCTGATGCCATCTTCTGGCCTCCTTGGGCACAAGGCACACATGTGGTGCACATAGCATAGGTGCACGCAAAACATTCACACGCACACATACACACACACACACACAGAAATGGGACAGTTGGCTTTGTTGGCACAATAAAGTAATGAAAAATACATATTGTGTGCTGATTGTCTCTGAGCCAGTTGTGAGAAGTGTCATGGTTATGAAATGCATTCTTTATTTTAAAATGCAGGATTCCAGTAGCAAGATACATGATTTGAATGCCAACACTGAATCAGAAGTGACCGACGGTCAGAGTGTTGGTGTTCAAGGAGAAGCAGCATGTATACAGATTGCACATTTAGATCTGAAGAATGTTTCTGATGGTGATAAATGGGAAGGTAATTTTACTCACACATGACAATTTCCCAGCCCCTTTATTTGTAACTGAAGTAACCCAGAGCAGTGACAAGACTCCTACTTCTTCTGGACAATGCTTGTCGTCCTGCTCTGCTCTCTCTTGAAAACAAATGAAGCTTGTTGTTTTTGTCTTTGGATTTTGTTTTGTTTTCTCAAGTATAATAGTAGAGCAGCTCTTTCATGAGTAGAATATATATGATTAGCTCTGAGAAAGGATGCTGCTGCTGGGCATGAGGGTACATGCCTATAATCCAGCATCTGGGAGAGAAGGAGGATCGTGAGTTTCAAGACCAGCCTGAGCTATATCCTGAGACCATCTCAGCGCCCCTCCCCAAGGCACTTCTCTCAAAGAAAAATCAAAATTGGTTAAAAATAAAAATCACCCCAGAATGGACTTGGTTAATTATTAAATCAGATACCATCATTTGTTCTTTGAAAGTTCAGTGTATTAGAGTTTTGGTGCTTTTACCAGTTTAAATAGGATGTTTAGCTACTTTTTCTTACAATCATCAGTAATAGCTTTTTATTTTTTAATTCTTTAAGGGTCCTTCTAAGCAAAGATTTACTGTAGATTACTAAAGTATTTGGGGGGAGACCCTAACATTTGTACAAAGGAATGAAGTTTAAATTTAACAAGCAATATGGGCATAATTATTTTTTAAATTTAGCAAATGTACACTGAATTTTTGCTAAAGGTTTTACATTAAGAAAAACCATAAATTGTAAACAGATATTGGACTTAGTGAATTATTTACACATTCAAGTTTTTCTTGGAACAATACTGGAATCCACAGTTTACTCTGGAGTCCGTGAAAAGACGACGGTTAGTGAGATGGGTGGATGATAGACAGCAGGTGCAGTGAGTGCTAATGGGGACTGTCAGCGGTCGGCAGATACTCACTTACCTCTGCTGTATTTCACCAACCCTCAAATGTCGGCCACGGGGGAAGGACACGCAGCCAGTTTGGATCCAGGAGTCTGAGTCATGAACCATCCTTGTGAAGAGAAAGTGAGACAACTCAGGACTCTGAGCCCAGTTTCTGTTGATGTGCCTAGAGACCTGGGATTGTCTCTTGACAGGTTATTTGGTGACGTACAGTGGCGGTACCTGAAGGGACAGTGCCAGTGCCCGAGTTCCTTCTGCCAACTGACCACAGTTTCAGTGTAGATTTCGTTGTTCTTAGTCTTCAGTCTCAAGTCCGGGCATTTTAAAACGTCCTACCAAATCCTTGTCTGTGCCAATTTTAGTGTGATCCTCCCCACCCGAGTTCTAGATCTCTGATTGTGAGCCCTAACTTAAACTGAATCAGGAGGTTGGTGTCTGCTTGACTTATTCAGAACTTCTAGAATTAATAAAGAAGCTCCCTTGAGTTAGGAGATGTTAGCCTACTGGTGGTGGTGAAGAACACATGTCTGTTACTGGAAAGCAACAGTGGCTAAAAGAGCACCCTTGGGAACCTTGGTAGGAAAGGAGTCCCTGAACAAGAGGGTAGGATACGATGAAGCACTTTTGTCTCTTCTGGTAGGAGATGCAAATAAATAACCACTTAGGATCTCCGACTGGAGGCTCTGACCCTGAGTTAAACCTGCGAGAATGAGCGGTTTCCATTGTTGGAGAGACGGGTGTCTCTAGCTCCAGCTTTCTGGAGGTTCTCAAAGAAAGCCCAGTGCTGGTTTCCCTCTGTCGGAATCCACCTGGAGCTTGTGAAAGGAGGAGGAGCAGGTCTGCTTTCCAATGCCAGGGCTGCCTCGTTACCCACCTGCTCACAGTCGGGGTAAATCCATGTAGGTCTCTTCCAGAAGGGGATCGGAGACCTTCAGAAACTCAACGCTAGTGGGTAGGTGAGTGAACTGCCTAACGTTAGTCATGTTGGTCTAACTTTGCCACAACTGTGAATATTGATTTTCTGCAATTAGGTGTTGGAATATTAAAAACAACAACAACAAAAACTTAAGATACTAAATTTCTTTAGACCTTGTGTACTTTGAAATCTATAGACATATTTTGTTTGTTTGATGTGACTGTAGTCGAGGAATGGGGATGACTCCACAAATTGGGGCCCAGCTCAAAGGGTAGTTGGCAGAAGACAGTCAGCAAGCAGGTTGCATTTGTCTGCCACAACCAATATGAATTGGTGGCAGCCGTTCAAAGTCTTAATGGCGGTGGCCATCATCTTTCCCTCCGTCTTTCTGCTGCTGTCTCTGGGATGAAATACAGTAGTAGTCTTTTAGGAAGCATAAAGCCTGAACAAAGGGAGAGTTTTGTTTGTTTGTTTTCTCTTGTTGGTCCTGGGGATTGAACCTAGAGCCTTGAAGATGCCAAGAAGCACTCCATCAGTTAATGATACCCTCAGCCTTTTAAGGGAGTTGTTTCTTTCTGTCAGTCTTACTAAAGGCTTCAAAGTGTACTTGGCTAAGATGGTTCGGTTCTTCATCCTGTGTCTGAGATTAACAGTCACTTTTGGGTTTGCCTTACTTGCTGAAATAGAAATGTATGTCTGCTACAGTGTGGTCAGTAGTCATTCTTTGAACGATGTTTTTGAGCAGAATGCCTAACTGGTCTTAGGGAAATGGTTTTGGTATCCTTGGCTTTGTGTTATGTGTATGGTTTGTTCTGCCTGTGCTGTGTGTTCACTTTAGTATTTTTTGCCATTTTTTCCATTTTATTAGCGTCATGCCTTATCACTTTCCCCCTCATTGATTTCAAAACAATGCATCTGCAGAGAGATGGGGAGGGTAAGTATGGCTCACCATAGTTAGTCTTTCCTTTGTGTGGTTCACTTGCTTTGTCTTGTCATTAGCCCTTCTCCTGCTGTCCCCAAATTTTAGGAAAACTTTCATGTTTAAAAACTAAGGAAAAAATGTTTTTGTCAATATTTTTCTCTTAAAACATGGCAGTTTCTCATAAAATGTTCATTATTAATGTATTTGCTGGGACACAGGTACAAGGGTTGCTCTGAAATCACTGTATTGCTGAGTTTATTGTGGGATTACATACTTGTTACCCAACTTTTAGTCACCAAATTGATCTAGACTTCAAAAGCAAGCTAAATTATTTTCTAAAAAACTGTTAAAAAATAATGCTTTAAATGGCTAATACATAACATTAAACTAAATTGCTGAAGTGGTTGTCCTGATTATTGTCTAAAGAAAATGACAACTTTTAAAATTTTGATATTGTTAATCCATTATTGCATTAGTTTTTGCTTTTACAATAGCTATATCATCAAGATTCAAAATTTTAGTTTTAAAGTCTAATGTATAGCTAGGAAGCCTCTCCTTTCCCGTAATCCAGTGATGCTTAAAATTCATGTTATATTTGGCTTAGATTTGTAGATGGTTTGTGTGAGAAGATACATAAGTTATATTAACATGGCTTCAGTGGAAAGATACAGGATCACTGTAGTCAGAAAAATGTGCTTAAGGAGAACCAGCACGGTTTTGTTCTCACTGAAATACTGTTGTGGGAATTTAAGTAAGAGTGTGTGTGTGTGTGTGTGTGTGTGTGTGTGTGTGTGTGTGTGTGTGTGTGTGTGTGTGTATCTTAGAAACCCCATAACAGAAAAGTAATTACCACTATTTTATTGTCAACAGTTTATGTTTATGTCATGTTATTTAACATATTGTGAACAGGATTAGTTGACTCCTCACTTCAAATATTAGAATTCTTAGAGTGTTAGTTCTGTTTCTTAGTTCTGTGTAGTGTGGGGAAAACTGTCATATTTTAACATACCAGCCACTATCTGATAGAGAGTTCATATGCCTAGTGAGTGAGTGTTCACTGTTTCTAAGTAAAGACTTGTATTTGAAAAAATGTTTTTCTGTGTAATGTCTTTAGAATATTGAGTTAGGATTATGTTAAATAACATCTTTAGAATTAAATTTAAGAAACTTAATAGTAGTGTTGCTTTGTTACTGGGTTCAGGCATTTAAGGTGAATCTCTTAATGAGAGGATATGACAAATGAAGCTTGGATAATTTTAAACCCCAGCAGGCATTATGAATATGCTAGTATCTCTTGCTTTGATGTTTTCATATATAATGAACCCACTATACAATGTTGTAGACTCAAGACTCCCATAATCCCGCCCTTGTGTTTGTTTCACAGAGCCGTTTCCTGCATTTAAGTCTTGGCAGGAGGACTCGGAGTCTGGAGAAGCTCAGCTGTCTCCACAGGCTGCAAGGATGACTCACCATCCCCTGGGAGAGGACTGCCCTCCAGTATTATCACATCGTAGTTTAGACTTTGGACAAAGCCAGCGTTTCCTACATGATCCAGAAGCGTTGGATTTTTCATCCAAGGCGCTTTCCTTCACTAGGTGTGTGATAGCACATATTTGAGAGGCAGTTCTCATTCTGTACACAGATGCTTCCAGGCGCATTGTTTAAAGCCGCTGTCCCTATTCCTGAAGCATGTTTTGTAATTCTCTTGCTGTTGCATTTTGAATTTATTGAGGTTTATGTAGTACTTGGGGTGAACTGTTAGACTGGGCATTTCTTCATGGTTTAGTCCTCTTTCATCTATTCATTTGTAATTGAAATGTAGAACTCTGAAAGGAAAGAAGCTGACCAGTTTCCAGTGTTCTAATTGAAACTTAATTTTAATTGGGTTCCTCAGCTGTCTTGGAAGCAGGAGAGGGACTGTGGTCTTGGCATCCTCTTCAGCATCATAGACTGCACCTTCTTCCCAGAAGGAGCTGACATGTACTGAGTGACCAGGGTGCCTGCTGCCAAGTCAACTCTGACCTCCATACTCTCTTTCTATGTGCGTGAGAGAGAGAGGCAGGGGCAGAGAAAAGATTACAAAAGGAAAACAACAGCAAAATCTCAGAAATGTCCAAGCTGACAGAGGCTGCATAGGGAAAACCTGTGAAAAAGGGGACATTGTCTCTGCCGTAGTCTGACGCCTTCATTCATTTGGTTCAGCAGTGTCTGCCTTCCAGATTGAAGCTCTAATGCTTTTTCAGCTCAGGAAGTCAATAGAGGAAAGAGCAACAGGTCTTCTTCTGTGCCTTACTAGCAGGTGTCCTTGACATTGCAGCTTGTCATTCATGATTGACAGATTAACTCTGCTGTTGAAAATGGAGGCTCTGGTTACTGTTGTTCAGATAAGTTTAGAATGTGTTATAGCATGTGTATGATGTGTTGGGGAGGGGGATTCTTTGTGTGAAAGTGAGAACAACTTTGTAGTCAGTTTTTATGGTGTTGAGGATCAAACACAAGGCTCCCTAGATATGCTTACTATACCGACTGAGCTACATCCTAAGGCCTAAGATTCTGATTTACATGTATTTTGTTACTAGAAAATTTCTTTTGTTTAATAACATTGAAAAGAGTTTCATCATTTTAAAAGCCAACATTGAGGTGGGGGGTGACGAGAGAGATGGATTGGGGTTAAGAGCACTTACAGTTCCTCGTACCCATATTGTGTAACTCCAGCTTCAGGGGACCCTGTGCCTCTTGTGGCCTCCATAGGCACCTGCACTCACATGTACACATTGGGCTGCAAAGATGGCTTGGTGACTTACAAGCATACCATCATGATCAGTCCACATGAGTCTATTAAATGGGTAACAGGATTTATTAAGATATAAATGGAGGAAATACACTCAAGTAGACAGAATGGAGTAGACAGCTGAAATAGTCCTCTGATCTGACTGGGAGCAAATCCAGGCAGGAGCAGGGAGAAGGGGCATGGGACCCTTCTCCAACTCCTTTTTAGAGGTCACGTACCCTCCTTTGGGCTGTATAGCCCAAGGTCATGGACGGAGCAAATGCCACTACAGCATACTGCTCTTGCAGAGGACCCAAGTTCCATCTTCAGCACTCATATCAGGTGGCTCACAACCACTTGTTTGTTTGTTTTTTTTTTTTTGGTTTTTCGAGACAGAGTTTCTCTGTGTAGCTTTGCTCCTTTCCTGGAACTCACTCTGTAGCCCAGGCTGGCCTCGAACTCACAGAGATCCGCCTGGCTCTGCCTCCCAAGTGCTGGGATTAAAGGCGTGCGCCACCACCGCCCGGCTCACAAACCACTTGTAACTCCATCTCCAGGAGGATCTGGTCCCTCTGGCCTCTGAAGGCACCCGAACTCTTGTGCATACCCCCTAACCCTCATACACAAAACTTAAAAAAGCAAGCAGCTAACATAGACTTTGTATACTTCCAAATGCTCTAATATTAGGAAACAGCTTTGGATATTTTTTTGTAGGAAAAATGCAGCAAGCAAACATCATTGTAAGTGATACTAAATAGGAAATGATTCAACAGTACCATTTTTTTGTTTGCTTTTAAAGAGCCTTGGTGTAGGGCTGGAGCACATGTACTGCTCTGCCAAAGGACCAAGGGCCAGTTTCAGCACCCATGTCAGGCAGCTTACAACTACCTGTCTCAGGCTTCAGGAGGATCTGCTGCCTCTACCTGTCATGGGCACTGGTGCACTCCCATACAGACAGACACACACATATAATTAAAAATAATTTAAATTTAAAAAAATTTCATTTATTCATTTGAGATAGTGTCTCTCTATGTAGTTCTGGCTGTCCTGGAACTCACTTTGTAGACCAGGCTGCCCTTGAACTCACAGAGATTCCCTTGAAGACACTATGATATTTTTAAAAATTTATTACTGCACCAGGTGGTGATGGTGCACGCGTTTAATTCCAGCACTTGGGAGGCAGAGGCTGATGGATCTCTGAGTTTGAGGCCTAGTCTACAGAGCAAGTTCCAGGACAGCCAGGGCTGTTATATAGAGAAACCTTATCACAGAAACACACCCCCCAAGTTATTATTTCATACATGTGTGCATGTATGCGTGACACACACACACACACACACACACACAGAAACAGAGAAGAGAGAGAGTGCTTCCAGCTCTTGTGGGTTACGGATATCAAACTCAAATCATTAGGTTTGAGCAGCAAGTGCTGTACCTGCCAAGCCATCTTGCTAGCCCCTGTGTAGTAGTCTTAGAAGTTACTCACTGCTTTACTGTGGAGACAGTATTTGGAATTTAAGGTAGTGAACTGTGTTAGCATTGGTGAAGTTCAGAAATGCAAGATATGATCTGAAGGCTTTCCGGGGGCTGCATGGTTTGCGTGGCTTCCTATCCCTGTTGTGTCCCTCTTTGGGAGGTTTTTAGTCTCAGCACTGAATGTAAACACAGGTTTTAATCTCTGGGAGAATGTGTGTGCAACACCCCTTCCTTCCTTCCTTCCTTCCAACTAGTATTCCCAACTACAATTCTCTGGGGTTGGGACATAGCTTAGTGGTTAAGAGTACTGACTGCTCTTGCAGAGGACCCAGGCTCAGTTCCCAACACCCACATGGTGGCTCACAACCATCTGTAACTCCAGTTCCTGGGGATCTGATGCTCTCTTCTGGTTTCCAAGGACACTAGGCACACAGTGATGTATGGGTATAACAAAACACAGGCAAAACACCCATACATACAACATCAACAATAATAATAAACAATACAAACCTTTTCACAGGGTTCCCGGTAACATACTACACTGCCTTCTGGCAGGCTGGATTAAGTTGCCTAAACTGACACTCAGAGAGTCAATAAGAAATCTTGATCATTTAAATACATTTTATATTGCCCGCCCTAATTTTAATTATGTGTATATGTGTTTTTCTGTGTGTGGGTTTGTGCATGTGAGTACAGTGCTTGCAGAGACCAGAGGTGTCAGATCCCCTGAGATTGGAATTACAGATAGTTGTAAGCTACCACGTGGGTGCTAGGAACTGAACCTGGGACCTCTTAGAAGAGTAGCCAGTGCTCTTAACTGCTGATTCATCTCTCCAGCCTAAGACTCTTTTTGTTACCACGTGTGATAGCTAATTTATTTATTGGCTGTTCTTTAGTATTAGGGATTTAATTTCACTGAAAATTATTATTACCATTATTATTGTATTACATGCTCATGCCACAGTGCTTATATGGAGACCAGAGGGCAAACTGCTGAGCCTTGGCGCTGGCCCTCCCTTCACTTTTAAGATGTCCTCACTAATAGTAACACATCAGGACAATAAGTAATGCCATGTTGACACTTGAAAATGTAACACACCGTGTTGGCCTGTTGTTTTAATTCAGAATTCGAAGGTCATCCTTTAGTTCAAAAGATGAGAAAAGAGAAGACAGAACACCTTATCAGTTGGTCAAGAAACTTCAGAAAAAAATCAGACAATTTGAGGAACAATTTGAAAGGGAAAGAAATAGCAAGGTAAGTTTGTAGCACTGCCTAGTACAAGCTCAAGTTCATATTAGAGCTGAGAGAGGAGGGTCTTAGAACAAGTGCTCCAGCGCTTTCCTCAGAACACACCTGAGATGCTAGGGAAGGAGTAATGATTGTGGACACCTGAGAGCCAGCGGGTCCTTAGTTTGTCTTGATTTCTGTGACAGCATTCTTAACGTTGTACCAGCGTGTTTTTATGTTCTCATGTGCAAACAGTTTTTAGAATTCTTAAACTAAATTTACATTAACAGATCAAAGTTCTGCTCTGACATAAACCACAAGTTACAAAGGGGAGGGAGGAAATGAAGAAAACGCGTGTTTTTAATAATTAGATAATAGTTAGAACCTGTATGTAGAGTCGAATGCCTAGGGATGAAACACCTACCTTCAAACCTGTCTCCTTCCAGTTGTCTGACCGTGAGAAGCTTGATATCAAATTAAAGTGAGAATTGAATGAATTAACGTAACTATTGTATATTACAAACGTCAGTGATCTTTCTCCATAACTTTGTAGCCCTCCTACAGTGACATTGCAGCCAATCCGAAGGTATTAAAATGGATGACAGAGCTTACAAAGTTGCGGAAGCAGATTAAAGGTATGAGTCTACACTTTGTGGAAAATTTACGTCTTTAAAACATAAATCTATAAAAAATGTAGTTATAAATTTGATTATTTTAAATCTTGGAACTGGTGCATGCCCATAATCCCAACTCCTCCGAGTTTGAGGCCAGCCTAGTCTTACAGAGCAAGTTCTAGGACAGCTTGGGCTATACAGAGAAACCCTGTCTTGAATAATAATAATAAAATCTATTTTGGAACTTTTTTTGGAAAAAAAATAGATTTCCTTTTATTGTTAAGGCCAGTAATGTATATTAAGAAATGGGAATCTTAATGTGGGTGGTTGTGGCACACGCCTTTAATCCCAGCACTCTAGAGGCAGAGGCAGGTGGATCTCTGTGAGTTCGAGGCCAGCCAGGTCTACAAAGTGAGTTCCAGGATAGACTCCAAAGCTACACAGAGAAACCCTGTCTCGAAAAACCAAAAAATAAAAATAAAAATAAAATAAATGGGATTCTTTGTGCTATGTTCTTTTCAATGTTTTTTATTTGTTTGTATGAGTATTATTCTTTTGAAAGATACCCTAGATTATATTCATGGGTGCACTGATCCTATACAATTTATCTGAAATATATTCTAAATATTGAACTGCTTTGGGTTTTGGTAGGTATTTCATTAAGATCTTTGTGCATGGGTGGGGGTAAAATTTTATCTAAGACAATATAATTAGGAGCTGGGAATAAATATTACTCAGTGGTAGAGTACTTGCCTACCATCTGTGAGGCCCTGTGTTCCATCTCTAGTCCCTAGGCTTATTGAATTTATGAAACTATAAAAATTAACTGGTAAGTTGTAAATTTTTCCTAAGCCATAAATTATGCCAGGTTTTTTAGATGTTAGTATAGTGTTAATATAGTTAAGTTCTATTTATTCTGTGTTAACTGAGCATGCTTTAATAATTACCACTCCTTTAAAAGTTACCTGTGTGAGGAAAAGATTGACAGTTTGGACCATTGCTTTGCTTTGCTTTATTCATTTGAACTTGGTGGAAATTTTCATAACTCTTAAGATTTGAGACACTGTTCCTGCTGTTATAGGCTTCAGTTTTGTGGTTAAGGTCATTTCTTGAGGCTCTTTTTTAAAGGACTATTTCCTTTTCTAGTTCTGTAAGCATTTCCTTATTTGAACCACTTTCCAGCCGTTAATTGTTCCCATTAAATTGATTAAATAGCCTCATATTCCAGTTTTCTTCCACTCCTGCTGTCATCCTTTGCACAGACCAGAATTGTCTTTTAAGAGTATTGTTACTCTTTTATTGTATTCTTCCATTGGGTTTCCCTTTCTACTTAGATTTACTCTAAGTCTAAACGCTATACCATGCCTCTTAAGAGCCTGTACACACTGCCCTTTGTAGATTTTTATCATGTTAATGTCTTTTTTCCGTTCACAAACTTGGAAAAATTTAGGGCTTTTGATCAGGCTATTGCCTCCATTGGACACAAATGCTTTTCTCCCCTTAGTCTTCCGTGCTTGGTCTAGTTAAATGTGGAATGCCCTATTCATTCCATATTCAGCTAGAATGACACCAGTCAGAGAGGCTTTCTTTGATATTGTGGGTTTTGTTTTGTTTTTTTTCCCCCCAGACACGGTTTCTCTGTGGATCCTTGGCTATCCCAGAACTCTGTAGATCAGGCTGGCCTCCCAAGTGCTGGGATTAAAGGCATGTGCCACCACAGCCCAGTGACAGAGGCCTTCTTTGTTGATCCCATCCAGTATTCTTCCTCCACAAAGCACACTCTTTAGCACTGGGACTCCCACCACTTTTATCCCTTAGTTGTGTGCAGGCTAGAGTTCAGTGTCAAATACCTTCCTCAATAGTAAAAACTCAGTTTTGTTTGTTTGAGACAGGGTATCTCTATGGAGTCCTGGCTGTCCTGGAACTCCCCATGTAGAACAGGCTGGCCTTGAACTCACAGAGATTCACCTGCCTTTGCTTCCCTAGTGCTGAGATTAAAGGTGTATTGCCACCACGCCCAGCTCATGCTCAGATTTTTAAGACAGGGTCTCTCATTGAACCTGGAGTTCACTGAATGGTTAGCCCAGCTGGGCAGCAAGCCTCAGAGTGCCTCTCATTTCTACTTTCCTTGGGCTGGGCTTATGGGTTTGCATCCCGTCTCTGCCCTGGTTTTTACCGTGGGTGCTGGAGATCTGAAATCAAGTCCTTGGACATGCACAGCAAACACTTTTCCAACTGAACCATCTCCCCAGTCTCTTCTTTTTATCTTCTTCATAACACTTAGCATTTTTGAAATAACTGAAACTATTAGTAAAATGGTTTTTCCCTCCTTGAAAAGCAGTATGTACTCCATGAAAACGTCTGTTTGTTTACTTCTCTTTGGTGCTTATCAAAGTATCGTGCTTTGCAGTGGGCTGCTTGTGAATATTGTTTAAAGGACAAGTAGAATAGTTCTCTTGCTGTGTGCATACTGTATGGTAAATATGGGGCTTTGAAATATGTGAGCCTGTATGTTTTAATTCTTAATCCTCTTCTGGAATTTAGATGCAAAACACAGAAACTCTGATGGAGAATTTGTACCTCAGACACGCCCTCGGAGTAACACTCTTCCAAAAAGTTTTGGCTCTTCTCTGGACCATGAAGATGACGAGAGTGAAGGGGAGCCCAGAGGCATTCAGAAGGAGAGGAAGCCATCTAAGGAAGCTACTCTGGAACTTATTACAAAACGATTGAAGGAAAACCGTGCTGAGCGCCACCTTCCCGAGGATATCAAGGTAGTGCTGAGCTGTGGTCTGCCTGGGGTACCTTTAGAACGCCTGAAACAAAGTAACTAGCACAGCAGGGGAGAGAACTGGGTAGCCTGACTTCTCTACCTTCAGATTTGCCATTTCAAACTATGCTTTTAAATCCTAGCATGCTATGTATTAGTGCATATTGCATATTGTTGGCAAGATGAATGTGTAGAGTATAAAATGGCTGAGTTTGAATGGTAGCTGTGTGTACTGAGTTCTTGGTATTAGCCTGTGGGTATCTGGCATAAGCTATGTAGGTTCTGCCACTTGGTTTTTTCAACAATCCTATAAGAAATATAGTTGTGATATTAGCCATTAAAAAAATATTATCTTGCCAGGCGGTGGTGGAACATGCCTTTAATCCCAGCACTTGGGAGGCAGAGGCAGATGGATGTCTAAATTCAAGACCAGCCTGGTCTACAGAGTTCTAGGATAGCCAGGGCTACACAGAGAAACCCTGTCTTGAAAAAACAAAAACAAAAACAAAAAAAGAAAAATTATCACTGAAAAGCCTGGCATGGTGGCACATATCTGTAATCCAAGTACTAGAGAATTGAAGGCAGGGGGTTTGGGAGTTCAGCAATATAGTGAGTTTGAGCCCAGCCTGGGCCACATGACACTCTATTTAAAAAAATAAAATAACAACAACAAAAACACAAGTGAGCCGGGCGGTGGTGGCGCACGCCTTTAATCCCAGCACTCGGGAGGCAGAGCCAGGCGGATCTCTGTGAGTTCGAGGCCAGCCTGGGCTACCAAGTGAGTTCCAGGAGAGGCGCAAAGCTACACAGAGAAACCCTGTCTCGAAAAACCAAAAAAAAAAAAAAAAAAAACACAAGTGATCTAACTGTTAGCAGGATTTTATGAATTGCATTTTTTTAGGACCCATTACTCTTATGGATAGTATAGGTATGTGTGGATTCACACGCACATGGAGGCCAAAGTTCAGTTTCCTTCCCTGTGTCTGCCTTACTTGCTCAAGACAAGAGCTCACTGCACCTGCATGTAGGCCCAGCACTCCATATTGCCTTCTGTGAGGAAGTCAGGCAGAGTGCTTGGTAACCAAGTCATATGTGAGGTGAGATTACTGGGGAGATCGTCTCAGGTGAAGTTTTGTCCATGTCGTGGTGAACCCAGACACACTGGCAACAGAGTACACCTCCCTCATGATATTAAGTTCCCTTGAACGGGCTGACTTAGTCAGTCTATCCCTCCTTCAGCTTTGTCTTGTTCTTACAAGTCTCCTCCTGCTGCAAGTGATTTGGTTGCATTAGCTTGATTCAAATTTACAATCCTAGATTTAAGGTTCAGACTTGAAAGTCAAATGATAGTGTTTTATAGAGTATGCACTCCGTTAGTGCCTACTGCATGAATATAATCTGAAGTGGTATTTGTTATAGGGGCGACTGTCCAGTCACTTGTTTGTAATCTCTCAGTTCCTCTGGTAAGAGACTAAGAACTGTTAGCCATTCCTGGAAATAGGTAGAATTTATTTGGTCTAGTTGAAGGGTATCTTGTGGAACATTGGTTCATTGAGATAATGGATGAGTCTGTGGGACAAAAGGAAAGGTCTGGAATTTAGATGCAAAACACAGAAACTCTGGTGGAGAATTTGTACCTCAGACACGCCCTTGGAGTAACACTCTTCCAAAAAGTAACACTCTTCCAAAACACAGGTAGGGAGTTCTGCCTGCTTTGCCATTCAGAATAGTAAAAGATAAGATGGGTGTATTACACTGTAAAGAACATGTCTACCCATACAGAGGGAAACATGGATCATAGAATAGAGGTTGCAAATTGACATTTTTTTAACTTTCTCTAGCATCTTTACACTGCTAAGGGGTTTCCTTAGAGTAGAGACACTGGGTCATAAAATCTGTGTATGTGTTGAAATGTGTGTCTGTCTCCACTAGTCTTTTTCTTTGGTGCCTCATTTGTCTGTATGTTTGTCTACTATTTATCATCCATCCATCCATCCATCCACCCACCCACCCATCCACCCACCCATCCACCCGTCCATCCACCCGTCCATCCATCCGTCCATCCACCCATCCATCCACCCATCCATCCACTTTTGGTGCCAGTTGAATCCAGGGGCCCTTGCACAAGCTGGGCCCATGTGCCACTGAATACCATCAGCAGTCGTTGGTGTCTGAGAAAGACTGTCATCTTGCGGGCCACATTGAACCTGACTTCCTGCTGTTGCCTCTTGAATGCCGGGATTATAGGCCTCTGACCACAGTGCCTTGCCTGTGTACACTAGTCTTTTCTTTCTTTCTTTGTGTGTGTGTGCAGGTGCGTGTGCAGGTGTGCGTGTGCAGGTGTGCATGCCACAGCGTACACAGGGAAGCCTGAGAACAACTTTCAGGAGTCCTCTCCTTCTGCCATGTGCTCTGCAGATTGATTTGGATTAAACTGAGGCCCTCAGGCTTCTGGGCAAGTCTTTTAGACAGGCTGAGCCAGCTTTCTGCCCATAGTTACGATTGGAAGACTTTGTAACATTATAAAATATCAAGCAGTTAGGAAAGTTTCCTGTGTGCCAGCTAGGCACTGTTACAAGTGCTTTTACATGGATGAATTTACTCCTTTGAGGAAGAATGGAGTATTACTGATTTCTATATTGGGATATTGAACACGAGGTGGCTAAGATACCCAAACCAGCATTCATAACTTATACAAAATATAAAATTAAGCCTTAAAAAGGTATTCATTGACATACTAGGGAGGTTTGAATTGTATAAGAGTCTGAAAAATTTTGCTGCAAGTCCATCATCAAAGAGTGCATTAGCCTATGTTTTGCTGACCGTCTGCTCTTTCACCTAATTACACTGTGAGAGTGAGGAGAATAATGACACCAGTACTTTTCCCCTTCCCCCCATTCTAGAAAATGACTAAAGATCATTTGATAGAAGAGAAGACATCTCTGCAGAAAAGCCTGCTTTTCTATGAAAGTCAACACGGAAGGCCGGTAATTCCTCCTCACTAAGATGCTTTGCTTTTTCCCTTTACAGAAGAGCATGGGTCCTGTTGGGGATCTGTGTTCTTCGGGGCTGCTTTTGTCCAGCCTTGCCTGCTAGAGCTGGGAGATCACCTACTTAAAAAATTACATTTGGGGTGAGGGAGTCATACTGCCTGTTTTTGATATCTAGGTTTCTGATAGTAAGGTTACTTGGCTTCACTTTTTTTTTTTTTTTTTGGCTTCAGGTGACCAGGGAAGAAAGGCACATTGTTAAGCCTCTCTATGATAGATACAGGCTTGTAAAACAGATGCTGACAAGAGCTAGCATTACTCCCGTCCTTGTAAGTAAAGCAAACAAATGTTTGGTTTTGTTTTTAAAGACAGAGTCTCACTTGTAGCCAAAACTGACTTGGAACTCACTAGCTCAATCAAGCAGGACGCTTGAGTTGTGTAATTATAGGCAGGCATTGCCATGCCTTGCCCAAGTATTTCTTCAGTTCATTTTGCCAAAGTATATTTAAGAAAAGAAAGGGGAAGATGAAACAAGAAGAACTTTGAGTATTCTTGAGACATACATGCCAAGGCTGAAAAATTGTTGAGATTATGAATTTTAAAGGATAGAAATGCCAATGACTATTTTCTAGGCACCTTGGTAAGGACTTAGAGGCGTATGGCACTAAATCTTGACAAACAACACACGAATTAGAATATGACACAGCTCCAGGTAGTGCTGCTGTGTGCAGATTTACCTACAGAAATGGCAGAAGTAGTTCTTGTATGGGATACTCCTCGCCTAGTCTCTACTTCAGTTCTTGTCTCGGGATGCTTTTGTGATGACCACCGTGAAAGTGTACCTCTGGTTACTGTCTAATAGAAATGGGTTTGAAACACTTACTCATGTAAATGTGTGCCTTGGTAAGAGTGTGGGGCTCAGAGGACAGATTTGAGGGAGTCAGTTCTCTCCTACTACTCATGTTCCTAGGGTTTGAACTCAAAGTTGTTAAGCTTGGCAGTAAGGCTGAACCATCTTGCTAAAAAAAAGAACCTATCAAGATAATGCCAACTCCCAGGTGTCTGCACAGGCCTTCAATCCTAGCACTAGCCGCAGGCGATCTCTGAGTTCTAGGCTAGCCTGGTCTACATAGGTAGGGAGTTCCAGGACAGCCAGGGCTATACAGAAACCCTGTCTCAAAAAACCAAACTAAATAAATTAAACAATGCTAATTCACAGGGCCAGAGAGATAACTGAGCAGGTAAAGGTGCTTGCCATCAAGTCTGACCTGATCTTGACACACACATGCTGTGGTACATCCACACTCTTTTCTCTCTCACACACACACAACAAATGACATAAAATACCTTAAATAATGCTTACCTGTATTGGTGTACATTAAAAAACAGAACAAAACTTACTTTAAAATGGGGTCTTGCTGTGTTGTCCCAGGTGGTTTTGAGTTGTGAGCTCATGTGATCTTTTAGCCCCAGCTATCTGAGTAGCTGGGACAGTGAATATGCCAACATGAAGAAAAATGAAATCTATAATACTTAAATAAAAGTCACAGCACTATTCCTGGAGGATTGTAAGTTTGTTTGATGCCAGCTAGAGCAACTTAGCATGAACCTGTCTTCAAATTTTCTTAAAAATGGGGGAGTTCTAGGATGTGGTTAAGTGGTGTAATGATTACCTTGCATGCTAGGATGGACAATATCTTAGGATTTGGTTTAGTTTAGTATTGGTTCTAAAGAAGAATCTGATGGAGTCCTCAGACTCCAAAATATAGTTGAGCTGGGTGTGGTGGCACATGCCTGTAATCATAATATATGAGAGGGTTGAGGTAGGAGGATCTCATAATCCACATATCCAGCCTGTGCTACATAGTGAAACTATCTCAGACAACAGGCTGACCGTTATCATCTGTACATCACACTTTGTGAATCTGTCAGTTATTACCCTTACTATATCATAAAATAAAATTAAGAAAAGTGAAGCTATTAAAGAACTCACATTTTAAAAGATTGCTTTAAGATTTTGGAAATACTTTGTGTGTGTGTGTGTATACACATTTTTTTTTTTGAAAAAGATTTATTATGTATTCTGCATGTATGACTGCTTGCCAGAAGAGGGCACCAGATCTCATTATGGATGGTGGTGAGCCACCATGTGGTTGCTGGGAATTGAACTCAGGACCTCTGGAAGAGCAGCCAGTGCTCTTAACCTCTGAGCCATCTCTCCAGCCCCCTATATATTTCAGTTTTATTGAAAAGTTTTTCAGACAATATATTTTGTTTGTATTCTCCCCTCCCCCAGCCTCCCAGATCTTCTCCACCCTCCTAACCACCCCAACTTTGTGTTCTTGCTCTTTCAAAAACAAAGAAAGAACGAAAGAAAGAAAAACAACAAAAACCAAAAAAGTAGTTGGCCAACAGAAAATGCACTCCATGTTTTTATGCACTTTCTGTTTTATTTATTTATTTTTTATCTTAACTGATTTTCTGTTTAGTTTCTCTGTTTTGAGTTTTGTTTGCTTGGTTTTTCCGGGGGCTGCTGGGAACTGAGTGCCTCTATTAGCTAAATGTAACGTGATAGGAATGTGAAGCAGCACTAACTACTTGAAATCTGTGAAATATAAAATGAGGTGTTGCCGGTTGTTACAGGGATCTCCCTCCACGAAGCGCCGGGGTCAAATGTTACAGCCAATCATAGAAGGAGAAACAGCTCATTTTTTTGAAGAAATCAAGGTAATTGTATAGAAAAGTCATTCCCTAATTACGTTGCTGACAAGAAAGTCAGAAGTCATGGCCTGTGTCACTCTGCTTGGTTATCATGTTAGGAAGAAGAAGAAGATGGTGTCAGTCTGTCTTCTGAGTTAAGTGACATCTTGAAAACAGCTGTACATACACAGTCATTTTTGGAAAACTCAGAATCTGATGCTGAAGAAAATCAAGAAAAACTAGCTCGGGATCTCCGCTTATCAAGTACTCGGGCAGCTTCTATGTAAGTACTCGGGCTTGTGATTTTTAGCTTATTTCATAATAAAACTTACATATCAAGATACCCAGTATAAACAGCTGAATGCTTGGAGGGGATTACTATTAAGAGATTTACCAAAAATTGCTTGTGTGAGATACTTTTATAAGTATGGTTTACAAATACAGATTGTAGTTCCTGTTTCCTTCCCTTTTTTTGTGTGTGTGTGTTTGGGGCGCTGTTGGTGGTAGTGCTGTGGATGGAACCCAGGGTTTTGTGTGTGGAAGGTAAGTACTCTTATCTCCAGGCCTCATTTTACTTGGTTTTAAAACTGTGTGAGAGGGTACCCTTTGCCACTTTGTGTGCGTGTATGTGTGTGTGAAAACAACCTTAAGTGTTGGTTCTCCCCTCTGCCTTGTTGATGGCATGTTCTCTCTTGCTGTGTTGTGCTGTAAGAGTGCTGGAGTTACAGATGTGGGGAACCGTGTTTGCCTTTTCATAGGGGTTTCAGGGTCAGGCTGATACATTAAGCCTGACTTGCTGAGCTCATCTCCCCAGTTTGTGGTTCCTATTTCTTTATTAAATATTTCAACTAAAAGATTGTACTCAACTTACAACAGTTATAGGAACCAACCAAGAACTTGCCTGTTTTTTATTGGCCTGCTTATCTTTAGATGGATTTATGACAATGGTTCTCAACCCTTATTTCACCTTAAAATTAACTAAGAGGTGTGTGTGTATGTGTTCATGTGCGCTTGTGTGTAAGTCAGAAGACAAACTTGTTGTTTGTCTTTAAGAGCCATCCCCCTTTTTAAAAAAGACACATGTGTTTTTGTACTTTTTAAGATTTCATTTTAATTATGTGTATCTTTTTATGGATTTGTGCACATGTGTTGAGTGCCTCTGGAGGTCAGAAGAGTGCATTGTGACCCCTTGTTGTGCAGTTACAAGCTGATTTGAGCTGCCTCATACATGGTTGCTGGAAACCAAACTCGGGTCTTCTGCAAGAGCAGTATGTGTTCATTAACTACTGAGCCTTTTCTCTAGCACCCATTCATTTTTACATAGTTTCATATGCATGGATGTTTCTGCAACATGTGTGTGGCTGTTGCCCCCTGAAGGCCAGGAGAGGGCTTCAGGTCTCTGGGACTAGAGTTATAGATAGTTTTGAACCACCATGTGGGTGCTAGGAATTGAACTTATCACTGTTATCACTGCCTACATTCTGGCTGGCCAGGGCTCTTTGAAGAAATGGGATTATGGGTGCACATTACTGCGTCCAGAGGTTTTATGTGGGCTCTGAGGATCAAGTGCAGGTTCCTCAGGGTTGGGTAGCAAGCACTTTATCAACTGAGCAGTTCCCACAGCCCCAGAACAACTTTGTGATTTAATTGATGTGTAGTGGAGTGTAGACATTGGTATGTTTCTGTGAAAGCCAATCAGCTACAGCAAAGGTTAGAACCACTGTTAATATAATGAAGAAACTGTACCCTTTAGTAATGTTCTGCTTCCATTTTAATTTTAGGCCTGAATTACTGGAACAGCTTTGGAAAGCCAGAGCTGAGAAAAAGAAACTACGTAAAACGTTACGGGAATTTGAGGAAACATTTTATCAGCAAAATGGAAGGTTTGTTAAGCATTGTAGATGTTGACATCTTTCTTCTTTAATTCACAAAATGTATGTTAAGATAATGGAATACATGGGATTAGAAACACAGGCACAGAGGCTTCCGGTTTGATCCCCAAGACCTACATGGGGAAGAAAAGAACCAGCTCCTAAAAGGTGTTTTCTGATCTCTACACACATGTCATAGCACATACGCTTTCATGCTCCCACACACTAAGGAAGAATTACAGACACATTGCTTATAGGATATTAGCCCTGAAGTGTTATTTTTAACTCTAAGGCTATAGCTTGGTGCAAGAGCATTTGCTTAGCATGTACAAGGCCCTGGGGTTTCATCCCCAGCACTGCAAAAGACAAAATTTTATATATATTGAGGCAAGGTCTGTCCTGGACTAACAGTAGATCAGGCTGGCTCAGAGATCCACTGCCTCTACCTCCTGGAATTAAAGGCGTGCACCACCACTCCCAGCCAATTTTATAACATTCTTTCATACTCTCAAGACCTGCTGTTATTAAAGTCAAGGAAAAGTCATAACTGGAGTAAGCATCTCAAATATTTTAAGGTTTTCCTAAAGCAATTCTTGTTTGTTGGCAGTGCTGGAGCTCAAACCCGTGAGGCAGACATTCTCCTACCGAGCTACATTCCCAGCCCCCAGTGACTTTATATTGCTTACAAGTGACCTGTCTCTGACAGGATCTCATTATGCAGCCATGACTAGTCTGGAACTTGCTGTATAGACCAGGCTGGCCTGGAACTCAGATTGACCTGCTGGTGCAGAGTTAAAATGTTGGTGTAAGGTTAAAGATGGGAGCCACTGGCCTGTTGTATGTATCTCTTCTCTTAGGAAAGATCCCACAGGAGGAATGAAATCCCTGACTGGGATTTTTTTGTTGTTTTTTTGAGACATGGATTTTCTGTGTAGACCTGGTTGTCCTGGAACTCACTCTGTATCCCAGGCTGGCCTTGAACTCAGAGATCTGCTTGCCTCTGCCTCCTGAGTGCTGGGATTAAGCACCACTGCCTGGCTGGATTCTTAATTTTTATCCTGAAACAAGCTCCAGTAGTCATTGTGCTGGGGAGGGGTGCAGGCAGGTGGACCCCTGGTGCTCACTGTACAGCAGCCAGTCTAACTAAAGACTAGCAAGCTTTAGGCTCTGCCGGATACCTTGTTTCGTGGAAACACTGTGAAGAGGGATAGAGGATGCCAAATGTCTTCCTGAGGCCTCTGCAAATTCCCATGCACACACATACACTTCAAGAGAAGTAATGAGCAGAGTTGAGGCTTAAGTCTCAGAGTAACTTTGGTGGCCCTACCGAACCAGGAGCTGTTACAAATTCCAAAGTATATTTTCTTTAAAAAGAAGCTGGGGCCAGGAGATAATTTTAGAGTTTCACATCTATATCATGTGTGAGTTAAAAAGTCCGAGTACTGGGGAAATGGCTCAGTCAGTGATGTGCCTGCTATGTGGACCCGGGTTTGATTCTCAGAGCCCACACCAGTTGGTGGTGGTGTCTGAATGCTGTATCACTGGGCTTGACAGCCAGCTAGCTTAGCTACTCAGCTAGCTTTAGGCAGTGGGAAACCCTGCCTCAAACAAGGTGGATAAGACAAAGGTTTACCTCTGGCTTGCTCTCATGCACACACATGTACAGTGTATGTATACACAAGAAAGTATAAGTGCTATAAAGGCATTTTCCATGCACCTTCTTTATATTGAAAGAAAACAACTTATACTTGAGGTGATTTGATGCTGAAGTGGAGTGGTTAACTAAATGTGTAAAATGACTCATGGTAGCTTTCTAGCACTTACAGACTACCCTGATGATTGTAAGAAGTATAGAACATTATTTAAGCAGTTACTAGAGATATCCATCAAAAATAGCATTTTTAGAATGTTCTTTCTGTGTGAATTAGTCCACTAGCCTTTTGCCCTGCAGAGAAGCTTCTAGTTCAGCCTGAATTTGTAATATTATGCTCCATATTAGGACAACTTTTAAGTCAGATTTTATCTTCCCTAGGAATGCCCAGAAAGAGGATCGTGTCCCAGTGCTTGAGGAATATAAGGAGTACAAGAAAATTAAAGCCAAGCTTAGACTTCTTGAAGTTCTTATCAGCAAACAAGACTCTTCAAAATCCATATAAAATATGTTCCCTGAAAAGTGACATCATAAAGTCAGTTGTGTTCCTTGAAGTTCCTCATGTGTACTTGGCTCGCACTGAGTTCACCCTGTCAGGCACTCAGAGACCCTTTTGTACTTGTTTGTGGTTCACTAGGAAGGAAGGCCGTTCCTCAGACCACAGTTTACTAAGACGCTCCACACTTAGCAAACATGCAGACCCCTCCATTGTTTACTACAGACACATCTGTTAGCAAAAGACAAGAATTTTATTCTTTTCACTTCAAGAACTTTGGAAATACAGAGCTTTTTTGTTGTTTACTGTTTGTTTTTCCTTTTCATTACTGAAGAAAATTGAGAGGAAAATCTTCACACTGAGTTCTTCGGTTGCCTTTTTCTTACAGAATGACTGAAAATGTAAAAGAAAAGCCTATAAACATGACATATGCAACTGTATTTTGTTTTTCCTAGAAAACCAACCTGAATTTTCAAATCCTAGTGTGGAACACCTTTCTGTGTAATTCCCAGAGTGACACCCACCTGCACAGATAGTACTTAGCCAGAAATTGCAAATCCGTGGTCCTACCTGAACGAAGGTAACACTGGGTAGACCACAGAGCAGCCTTGCTTAGTCATTTGAAACATTATACACATCACTCACAGAGCTGAATCACATCCCATGCTGCCTACAGGACTTCAGTTACTGTCTACCAGCAATGATGTGACTTGTCTGGATCAGATCCTGCGCTGTCCCCCACCCACCTCCAGATAATGTGAGAAAATAGCTGTGCCAGTATGGAGGGAGGGACTTGGATGGTGCTCAGGTTTGTGTATTTCATTCATCACATGGCCTCGGTTGGCACAAGAATGATGACACTCAAGTAAATCTGTTCTTTACAAGGGCTATACCACTGCAGCTTTACATGCCCATTCAGGGGGCTGCCTTCCCCTCTAAGATGACCACCTCTCACCCAGGCGCTGGCTGTCTGAAGCAGCCACTTACAGGATGTGTAGTGGTACACCCCTTACCATAGACTCTTGGCATTTCTTTTCCTTTGGCTTCGCATGGCTTGTCTTCAGGTAATCTGCTAATCATTTTTTACGGAATAATAACTTCTTGTGTTAATGCAACAGATGTGGGTCAGGCTTAATCTAAGTGGATCATCCCCTCCCCCCTGCCCCCGTGCTTTTTTCAACTGATAAATGTCTCACTTTGCCCATGCTTTGCATGTAATGACTCATGCATGATTTTCTTAATATTAATAGTTTTTCATACAAATGGAATTTCACAACATCTTTAATAAGGTGAGGAAAGCATGAACCTCCAACTTCTGGCACTATTATTACACAGTAAGAATGTGAGGTAGCTTCATAATAAATAGTGTCTCTAGTACTTCACATTTCACTTGTGTGTGCAATGCCTTTTTTGGGGGAGAGGGAAAAGTCCAGCGGTAGTGAATGTGTAGTGGAAGTTTTTTTTTTTTAAAAAGCACTAAATCATCCAGCCTTGTTTGTGTTGTTCCTTTTGATATTGCTAGATCATTCATAATGTATTTTTAGGAAAGTAATTAAGAATGCCAAAAAATGTATCATTTGATTTGAACCCATCATGTGGTGTACTTTTTAGTTTCTTTTGGTCCAGACAGGATTGCTACGTGTAATTTTATGTGCACTGTATATTTTTATGAATGTTTTATTTTGTATACCACATGCAAAAATGTCCATGTGCACTATTTAAATGTTTTAAATAATATATTCCTTCTCTATAACGCTAAATCTATTTGAGTACAATATTTTTCTAAGTCTGTAGCCTGACTGGTCTCACTGACTGGTTTTCATTCCAGCTGCGTCATGATTGGTCCTTGGGTGTTAGTTGTGGCTGAGGAGTGCAGTGGTGACACACGAGTGTGTGCTGTCGCTGACTCGTGGTTTAGCAGTGGTCATAGAATTAGGCACCTGCGAGAGTTCTACTTTGGTACAAATAAAAATTATATCTATATAGAAGTGTTATATAGATATATGTATGTCCACCAGTACAATTACATTGCTGTGTTTGGCACTTCATTGTACAGACTTTTGTAATAAAAGAACTTTAATGTTCTAAGTCATTGTAATGTATGTTCGTTTTTCTAGGAGGTATTGTCTTAGGCTTATTTAAGTCACTACCCAGTGATGATGCAGAGGACACACTAAGGTTGCTCAACAGTTTGGCCAGCATGTTCTGGGGGAAAGTCCACATACTGCTTCTTAGAGCTGTTTAGGGAGAATAGGCAGACTCCCTTCCAGAAGGGTGTCATGTATCTGGTCTTGAAATCGCTCTGTTGCCCAAGACCTTGAACTCCTGTTCCTCCTCTCTGCCTCCTAATGCCAGAATTAGTCATTTCTTGTTGCAATGAATTACCATATTAAGAAAACTTGACCCTCCTTACTTTGAGGAAGATGGATGGGTAGTTATTTTTAAATTCCTTTATTTTACTGGGCATGGTGTGATATGCACCTGTCATCCCAACTACTCTAGAGGCCATGGCAGAAGGACCCCTTGAGCCCAGGAGTTCAAGGCCAGCCTGGGTGACTTTTTTTTTTTTTTTTTTCCCCAGGGTAGGATGGGGTAAGACAGGGTTTCTCTGTGTAGCCCTGGCTATGCTGGAACTTGTTCTGTAGACCAGGCTGGCCTTGAACTCAGATCTGCCTGCCTCTGCCTCCCAAGTGCTGGAATTAAAGACTTGTGCCATCACTGCCCAGCTTTTTTCTTTAAGTTTTGCTTTATTCATGTTTTAAATATATACATTGAGCATTAATGTGTAAGTTGAGTGCTATGGTTGAATGTGGTGTTGATTTGGCCCACAGAACAGAACATATGGCTGTTCTGGAGGGGCTTATGTAGCTTAGAAAAATAATATTCCCCTCCAGTTTGTAAAATACCAGTCATACACAACTTCCCAACAAGAAAGCTCTCAAAGGACCTGCATCTGTAATTTCCAAACAACTTTTTATGGCCTTAATATGCCATCTTCTTTATTTCTGGGAAACTTGAAATGCTGTCCTTTAGAAACTGGATGAATTCTGCATTTGAAGATGATAGTGAAATTTCTGTAGTTAGCTGCTGTAGTTTTGTAGTTGACTTTTTGTAGGCATTTTGGAGTTTGTAGAATGGAGATTATTTTATGTATGTTGGTCATATATAATACTTTCCCAGAGTCTTATGACTTAACTTAGCTCTGGCCAAAGGAAGTGAGACCCTGGGACACAGTTGAGACCACCAACGGTTCATCTGTCTGCACCTCCCATCCAGCTATTGGAGATCTGCCCCCAGTTCTTAAACTCTGCCCCATGACAAGAAGCATTAACTTTACTTCCCTTTTATACTCCCAGAATTTAATAATAAATCTTGTAATAAAAATCCTGTGAGTATACCCATGTGCATATTATAGGAGGTAGTTAGTGAACTTGTGGATTGTACAAGGGTCTCCATTCTGATTGATGGAAATCATCCTGTTAGCACTGGTTGCTGCTTTAGTGCCTTTAAAATGCGTCTCTGCTGGAGCTGGAGCTCAGTGCCTCCCTCACACTTGCAGGGCTCTGTACCCTGTCCCTAGCACAGTGAAAGAACAGCCAAGTAGCCAGAGATGGTGACGTTTTAGGAGAGAATACAGTAAGTACCTAACAGTCTGTGCCAGAGCACTGGTCTCAGCGGGGTCTCACCTCCACTATTACAGCATTACAGTCTGTGCCAGAGCACTGGTCTCAGCGGGGTCTCACCTCCACTATTACAGCATTACAGTCTGTGCCAGAGCACTGGTCTCAGCGGGGTCTCACCTCCACTATTATAGCATTACAGTCTGCCAGAGCACTGGTCTCAGCAGGGTCTCACCTCCACTATTACAGCATTACAGTCTGTGCCAGAGCACTGGTCTCAGCGGGGTCTCACCTCCACTATTATAGTATTACAGTCTGCCAGAGCACTGGTCTCAGCGGGGTCTCACCTCCACTATTATAGCATTACAGTCTGTGCCAGAGCACTGGTCTCAGCAGGGTCTCACCTCCACTATTATAGCATTACAGTCTGTGCCAGAGCACTGGTCTCAGCAGGGTCTCACCTCCACTATTACAGCATTACAGTCTGTGCCAGAGCACTGGTCTCAGCAGGGTCTCACCTCCACTATTACAGCATTACAGTCTGTGCCAGAGCACTGGTCTCAGCGGGGTCTCACCTCCACTATTACAGCATTACAGTCTGTGCCAGAGCACTGGTCTCAGCGGGGTCTCACCTCCACTATTACAGCATTACAGTCTGTGCCAGAGCACTGGTCTCAGCGGGGTCTCACCTCCACTATTATAGCATTACAGTCTGTGCCAGAGCACTGGTCTCAGCGGGATCTCACCTCCACTATTACAGCATTACAGTCTGTGCCAGAGCACTGGTCTCAGCGGGGTCTCACCTCCACTATTATAGCATTACAGTCTGTGCCAGAGCACTGGTCTCAGCGGGGTCTCACCTCCACTATGACTGTTGTAGCTTTCTCATCACTTGGTTTAGTTTCGAGCTGATGTAGTGCAGTTCCTTCTCCAGCTCCACAGCATATAAAAAGAGTCTAGGAGAGAGTTTAGTTAGAGATATGCATGGTCGTTCTGTGCAGTAGACAGTAGCTTATTAATGCCTGTTGTGATGTGCTTTGACAGGGAGCTAGGATGACAAGCTCCTGATGACATTTTCCAGGGCAGTGATCTGCAGTACTGATGGGAAGCTGGGAGAACAGGCCTGCTGCGCCCTTTCATCTAGAGGTGGAACATCTGCCTCACCTTTTCAAATGTATGTGTATGCTTTACCTGCATGTATGTATTATGTCTACACCATATGCATGCCCAGTGCATATGCTCTCCTGGGATTGGAATTCGAATGTGAGCTGCCATGTGGCTCTTGGGGAAGAGCAGCCTGTGCTCCTAACCACTGAGCCAGTTCGCCAGTGTGCTGGTCTCACTGTCTAAGCAAATGGAGTTGTGTGCTTTAATTTTGGAGCCGCAGAGAATGAAAGAATTAGGTATAGCAATGTGGTTCTGGCTCAATAAAAGAACATATATAACATGCATATCCTGGTGTCCCAGGTACCACACACAGTTGGTACATGTTGGTGCATGGAGCAAATGCTTACTCTCGAAATTCTTGCTGAGTGACAGGCTGGTAGTCATCTTGAATTTCTGTAGAATAATACTTTTTTTCAAGCCTTTCCTTCCACGCTTTCATCTGCTCTGCCCCTTGGATCTCCTGTCAATTTAGAGGACAGGTACAGGCAGTAGTCTGTATGTGTCCGAGACTCCCAAGTAGACTACTAAAGATCACAGGCTTCCAACTGTAGATGTAACCAACCGTCTTATTAAATAAAAAACACAGAACCAATGCAAAGAAGAAAGCCAAGAGGTCAGAGCTAAGAGCTAAAACCTTACCCTTCCTCCTGCGGTGGTCCTACCTCTCCGAAAGAGAGCTACTTCCTGTGTTAAAGTCTTTATATAGACTTTCTGTTCTGCCTTCTCATTGGTTGTAAACCCAACCACATGACCGCCTCGTCACTGCCTGTCTGTATAGACCTCCAGGTCTTCTATGGTTGGTATTGAGATTAAAGGCATGTGTATCCAATGCTGGCTGTATCCCTGAACACACAGAGACTTACCTAGCTCTGCCTACCAAATGCTGGGATTACAGGCATACGCCACCACCACCCGGCTTTCCTATGGCTTGCTAATAGCTCTGACCCCCCCGGGCAACTTTATTTATTAATATACAAATAACATTTTAATACAAATAAAATATCACCATATCCAACGGCCTGGTGCTTGGGTGTCTGCGTCAGCAAAGTCACCACACAAGCCTGGGCTGTGAGATGTGCAGCACAGATGTTAGGGTTCGGGTCTCATCTACTGACTTCATTCTGCTGCCTCTTCCTTTTGCATCTGAGTCTCTTTCTGGTTTTAATTCATCTGTCAAGGCTAATATTCTTTTGTCCATCTTCCTCCTTCAGTGCTGAGTGTTGAGCCCAGGGTCTCCTGCGTGCTCTGCACGTGCTACACCCCACCCCCTTAAAGTGTACTTGAGAATGCATCTCTGCCCGCCCTGCCAGCAGCTTTTCTGCCAGACTTGCACAGATGTGACCTTTTAAATAATCCCTGCCTCGGTTAATGGTCTGTGTACCAGTGCCATGTACCACAATACAAGTCTCTCACTAGAAAACGTATTACTGCCCCTTCCTGACCTAAAGAGTCCTTCCTATGAACTGTTCTTACCAGCACTGACTTTCAGGTACACTGTTACCTTCAGTGTGTGTGGCACACATGCAGTGGTGCATGTTGGGATAACTTGCAGGGCCACGTGGGTCATCAGGCTTGATAGTAGGTGCCTTTACCTGCTGAGCCATCTCTCCCTACCTCATTTTTCTCAGCTTTAGGGTGGAAAAAAATGAAATGTGTATGGTAATAGGAACAGCCCTAGGGAAGGAGAAAGGGGTGTACCCAGGTGTGAGTCAAAAGTGTTTTTGTAAGCCAGGTGTGGTCGCACGCACTTGACTGCTGGTATTACAAGAGGCTAGAGCACCCGGGGCTGCATAGCAAGAATCTCGAACGGAGCTAGGGTAAAGCTAGCTCAGTGAGCACTCAGGAAGGCCTGAGGGCTTGTTCAGATCTCCAGCAGCCAGGTCACAAGCTACACTGTGACATCATGTCTCTGTAATCAGCCCTGTGGGGGCCGAGACTTGCTGGCCAGCTAGTCTAGACAAACAGTAAGCTCCAGGTTCAGTGAAACTGTCTCAATCGAGGAAATCCGAGGGGCTGGCTTTGTCCTCCATCTGCACACCTGAACACGTGCACCCACGCACACCCAGGAAAGGAATGTAGAAAACAAGGATACTGCGGACTAGGGCAACTTCCTGTGAATTTACTAAGTGTATTTAGCCCAGAAGTGACTGCAAGGCAGCCAAGTAGATCCTACAGAGTGCTTCTGATCACCTCCAATATGGTCCCTGACCGGAAACTTGCCAGCTGCAGCTCCTGAGTTTGGGCACTAGTACTGTTAACTACTAAATGACCAGGCTGCTCATACTGTGGGTGCAAATACACACGTAATCTTTTTACAATGCTGGCTTGGTGGTGCACACTTGTTTAATCTCGGGGCTGGGAATGAAGACGCAGAAGGACCTTTGGAGCTTACTGGCAAGCAGTCTAGTCTACTTGGTGAGCTCAGGCCGATGAGAGACCCTGTGTTAAAGGGGTGGATGGCCTTCCAGAGATAACATCTCTGGTCTGTGCACGTATTCATCCACACACGAACATACCCACACATACATGCACAAAAACATCCTGAGATTGGTCAAAATTGACATGGGTCTTTTTAATAGAAATGATCAATTAACTAAAATTCTATAAAGAGATCTCCAGTATTCTTTAAGCAGCTTGCTGTGCCCTGTCATAAATGAGAAAGGCTCCTGATTCTGAGAGGTGTGTTGGCGGTGACAACTGTTGGTATAAATTATTTCTATTAATCAGAACTAATAAAGCTATCACCTGTGTTTAGAAAAATCAATTAAAATCTTACAGGTTCAGCCGGGTAGTGGTGGCACACGCCTTTAATTCCAGCACTCGGGAGGCAGAGCCAGGCGGATCTCTGTGAGTTCGAGGCCAGCCTGGGCTACAGAGTGAGATCCAGGACAGGAACCAAAACTACATGGAGAAACCCTGTCTCGAAAAACAAACAAACAAACAAACAAAAATTCTTACGGTCTCACTAAAGCCTTCTTTTCTGGCTTGATGGGCCAAATCTCCGGTGGTTTTCCTCCTGTAAATGCAAAATAAGCCTGAGAGTAAGAAAAGGCAGTGAGCCATGAGCAGCGAGGTCCACAGCAGGGGCTGGACTGTCTGTTTTCTCGTGACAAATGCTGCTCATTAAGAAAATTCTTTGGGACTAGCTGTAAAATAATTCACTGTCTTTCCATTAGTAAACGTAGGCATCCTGTTAAGCACAAGTCCTGTTCCTAAGTGTGACTGTAAATGCTTTTGATAGTTGAATGAGCTGTGTACTGCATGCGGACTAAAGTTGCCTTATACTTGTGCAAGGGACTTTCCTGTCTTCCTGTCAGCCTTCCCAAGTGACAAAATATGGGCTGGGCTCTGTTTTCAATGGTGCCAGCCGGATCCAGGGCCTCTGACATGTCCAGAGCCTCACAAGCGGGCACGTCCTCTGCCACTGGACGACTTCTCAGTAGTCCATATTGATTTTAACGGAGAGTTTCCCCCGCAGAAATCAAAAGGTTTACTGGATGTCAGAAAGAATGTGTTTCAACCTTATCTCATTGTTTCTCCTGTAATCAGGTAGATGTTCCCACTTTAACCTCAGTTTAACTTAGGCCTTCTTGACTTCATCATGATGCAGAAGCAGAAACCAGACTTTAAAATTTGGATTTCGGTCTTCTCCCAGGGGGGCAATATGTGGTGAGATACTCTGAATATTCTGTGCAGGGGGCAGAGCTCTCTGTGAGCCCCGGACATGGTCATGGGGGGAGCAATCACACTCGACAGTTTGCTGTGTTGCTAGTGAATTTTAGAGATACAAAGCCAATACATTACACGATACAATACATAACTATCAAAGGGGGATTCTGTTAGCTGACATTGCCCCACAGAAGACTGATGTTAGTATTCTGAGCATCTTTAATATATGCAGGCTAGGCTAGGACCCTTTGGTAGGTTAGAGATGCTGAATGCGTTTTCAACCTAATAGTTTCACAGGCATGTAACCCCACCCCACATTGAACATCTATGTGGTGCTTTGAGAATGTCACCACAGGCTTACACATATGAATGTGGGTCCCCAGTTGGTAGAACTGTTGGGAAGGATTCAGTGTGGCCTTGGAGGAGGTGTGTCACTTGGGGTAGGCTTTGAGGTTTTAAAAGCTCACATCATTCCTAGTCCACGCTCTGCCTAGTGCTTGTGGATCAGATGTGAGCTCTCAGCCACTGCCCCAGTGCCAGGCCGGGCTGCCTGCTGCCATGCTCCCTGCCATGATGGCCATGGCCTCACCTCTGCAACAGAAAGCCTCATCTTTCCTCTAAAAGTTGCTTCATTTGTGACCCTTCACAGCCACAGGAACGTGACTAAGACATTTTGTGTGGAACTTGAAAGTGATAAAAAAAAAATTCAACGTCTTACATTTTCTTGTCTTCACTGTCTGGGGCTTTCTTCAGTCGGAGTTTCTCGAGAACATTAAGGTAACTCTGGGTTAATTAAAAAGAGTTTAAAATTCATCAGAAATTATTTCCCGTATTCTTCACCTTCAGTCAAGACACATGAACTATGACGTATTGGTTGTAGGAACTCCTGCCTAAAAAGACGTCTGGCACTGTGCCGTGATCCTTTCACCGTGCCCTCGTGAAAGCAAAGGGTGCTCTCAGGGACATCACTGGGATGTGATGCCAAAGTCTTAAAAATATCAACACAGTGGGGATGGGTGGGGACGGGAATAGGAGGGGTCAGGTGGGGGGAGGATGGAGGGAGAGACAGCTGGAATCTGGGGGGCAAGATAGAAAGCTAGTGCAATGGAAACCCCCAGGAATCTACAAGGGTGACCCTAGCTAAGACTCCTAGTAATGGGGATCTGGAGCCAGAATTGGCCATCTTCTGTAACCAGGAAAGGCTTCCAGTGGAGAGACTAGGACACCAACCCAGCCACAAACCCTTCAACCTACAATTTGTCCTGTCTGCAAGATGTGCTGGGGTCAAGATGGTGCAGAAATTGTGGGAGTGGCCAACCAATGACTGGTCCAGCTGGAGACCCAGGCCATGAGAGGAAACCCACCCCGACACTGCCTGGAGGGCCAGGACCCAGAGACTAGACAGCCCAGAGACCTAGGATAGAACCAAACACGATCAACAAAAAGAAAAAAAAAATGAATGAAATGATTCCTAATGATACTCTGCCATACTCAGACAGGAGCCTAGCATAATTATCATCAGAGAGGCTTCATCCAGCAACTGATGGAAACAGATGCAGAGACCCAGAGCCAAACATTAGGTGGAACTTGGGAGATCCTGTGGAAGAGGGGAAGGAAGGATGGTAGGAGCCAGAGGGGTCAACAAAACACAAAATCAACTAACCAGGGCTTATTGGGGCTCATAGAAACTGAAGCGACAATCAGGGAGCCTGTGCATGGAAACTGAACCGACAATCAGGGAGCCTGTGCATGGGTCTTACCTAGGTCCTCTGCCTACAGGTTATGGTTGTGTAGCTTGGCCTTCTTGAGGGACTCTCAGCAGGGGCAGTCTCTGATTATTTGCCTGTTTTGGGGGACCCTTTTCCTCCTCCGGGGTTGCCTCATCCAGCCTTAACATGAGGGGACGTGCCTAGTCTTACTGCAACTTGATGTAGTAAGCCATGTTTGGTTGATGGTCCTGGGAACCTGCCCTTTTCTAAAGGGAAAGGAGGAGGAGCAGATCTGGGGGAGAGGGGCAGTGGTGGGGGACGGACTGCAGTCAGGATGTAATATATGAGAGGAGAATAAAAACACTTAAAAATGTTAATATAGGAGCTGGAGAGATGGCTCAGCAGTTAACCTGAGTTCTGTTCCCATCACCTGTCAGGCGGCTCCCAGTTCCAACTCCAGCCTCGGGGATCCAAGGCCGCTGGTCTTAGTGGAAATCTTACACTCAATTGAAAAATCTTAAAAAATGAAAGTGTTAAGATGGACTGCTTTAAGTATGTTAACACTTCTACTGTGTACAACCATCATACTCAAGATATCAAAGATAAAAACCCCACAACTGAGCTGGCCGTGGGGAGGTCATCTTAACAGTATTCTCTTAAAGACAAGCTCCCAGACACCCCACAGGACCACAGCTACTGACCTCTGTGAAGTGCTCTTGGAACTGCCAGGGTGTACAAGCTAGTCAGGAGGAGTGCTGGCTAGTTTTCTGTCAATTTGGCATAAGCCAGAGTCATTTGAAAAGAGGGAGCCTCAATTGAGAAAATGCCCTACTATATTGGAGTCTATGGGGCATTTTCCTGATTAATGATTGATGGGGAGGGCCCGGCCTGCTGGGGGCAGTGCCATCCCTGGGCCCGTGGTGCTGGATGGTATAAGAAAGCAGGCTGAGTGTGCCAGTAAAAACATCATTCCTCCATGGTCCCTGCTTCATTCCTGCTCTGACTTCCCTGGATGACAGACTACAGACTGTAAGCAGAAATAACCATGTTCCCCTCCAAGTTTATTTTAGTCATGGTGTTCTATCACAGCAATAAAAACCATAACAAGGTAAGAGAGGAACTGAAAACGAGCTAGATGTCAAAAAGGACAGGGCAGGTTCTACTGTCCAGAGCAGGAAGGAGGAAGAGCTGTGAGGACGTTTCAGGGGTACGAGCGATGTGAGCAGGAGGCAGAGTGAGAACGTGGGTTACACAGACAGTCCTCAGGTTAGCAGGACTCTGGAGGCACAGGTAGACTGCAGTAAGTTCAAGGCCAGTCCGGTCCACACAGCAAATTCCAGGCAGAGGTGCCTATAGTGAGACCGTGCCTTGGAAAACCAAAAGCAGACAAGCAAAACCCAACCCAACCGACTAGCCGGGACTTACACTATAATATACAGAAGCAGGAAACGTAGAAACTCTAGATCCTGATAGTTGAAGGCACGTTGGGACTGTGACGGGTGCGGAAGGCTCGCGAGAGCTGAGTGAAGAAATTGGCCTTAGTTTGATAGGCTCAGGTAATCTGCTAGACCCAAAGTGGAATGGCCTGGGGTCAGGTTAGAATATGTAAGAGGATATTAGCGTATGGGGAAATGAAAGCCCTGATCTCTTGGTGGCAGAATTTAGAGGGTCCTGGAGATTCCACAAGTGTGAGATGTAGTGGGTAGCCATTCCAGCTTTGATCTGGAAGTTCCAACCCCCATTGAGGCTTTCGGTAACTGTCATGCCTACAAGGCAGGGCCAAGGGAGGGGCCTGAAGACCCGAGATCCGGATGCCCTGCCTTCTCTTGGTTCCTGAACCCTGGACGCTAGAGGTAGACCAGAGCAGAGTTCTCCAGAGAACACAGCCGGACTGCACTACGTCTTCCCCAGACCCTGCAACCTACCTATCCCTTCATTTGTAAGTTACGCCACTAAATAAACCTCCCTTTTAACTACGTAGAGTGGCCTTAATAATTTCACCAATAGTGAGCAAGACCTGCATCTTCAGAGAGAAATTGCAAGCCCTGAGGACAAACTATCGGAAAGCCAACAGGACAGGAAGTCCAATGTTTGAGCCCGGAGAGACTGAATAATACTGCGTGTACATGGGAAGGAGAGTGAGGAAGACGGAATACAAAAGCTGAGTTTGGTTGTGGAAATTTGCTAGTATCTAACTTGACAAACCTTTGGGAGCAACGAGATAGTTTCCATAGTTTATCACCTGACAGTGCTTTGTATTCAGTATTTGGGATGTGGAACTCGGAGATGATTTTGGCTAAATTGTTGAAGCCAGAGGGGCTGGGGATGTAGCTCAGTTGATAAGAGTACTTAGCTTGCATGTATGAAGCCAGGTTCCATGCCAAGCAACACATGGGCGTGGCGGTGCATGCCTGGAATCCTAACACCCAGGAGGTAGAGGCAGGAGGATCATATGATTATTCTTGGCTGCATAGTGACTTTGAGGCAGCTTGTGAGACATGAAACCATTTCTCAATAAGACCTGGAGGGCATGTGTCTCTTGTCTCATGGAGGGTTTAAGTGATACAAAGTCCTTTAGAATTATATTTAGGCCGGGTAGTGGTGGTGCACGCCTTTAATCCCAGCACTCGGGAGGCAGAGCCAGGCGGATCTCTGGGGGTTCGAGGCCAGCCTGGTCTACAGAGTGAAATCCAGGACAGGCACCAAAACTACACAGAGAAACCCTGTCTTGAAAAACAAACAAACAAACAAAAGTAGAATTATATTTAGGAAAGTAAGCTAACTAACCTTCTTAATTATTTTACCAAGTTCAAAATCGGGTCTTCTTCCTATCGAATAGTCAGCCTTCACTTCAGAATAGGTGTCATTAATAATGGCCAGGAACATGTTCTGGGGAGAAACAGTCGGATGATTTTTCAATAAAAATTTACTTTATCGGTGGGCATATATTTCAGTGTTAGAGTGCTTGTCTAGAATGTCCTGAGTTTGATCCCCAGCATCCCAACACACACACACACACACACACACACGCACGCACGCACGCACGCACGCACGGGTACTGCGGCAAATGCCTATAGTTTGGCTACTTGGGAAGCTGAGGAAGCGTCACGAGCCGTCCTCCAGCAAGGCCGTGCCACCTGAATCTCCCCGAATAGCACACTAGCGGGGACCAAGTGTGCAAGGCCACAACTCTGTGACTAGTCTGTGATGAAGACGAAGGGTGAGCCGTGCTTACCAGCAGTACAAAGAACACACAGAAGATGAAGGTGATGAAGTAAATGGGCCCCAAGATCCAGTTGGCCTGCTGGATCCCAGCAAAGTTGAAGTCTCCGAGGACGATCCGAAACTGCGCAAATCTTCGACGGGAAGAAAGGAAACCATCAGAAAATGTTCCATCTCTTCATTTATGCCCATGACAACTTGGGGTTGCTAATGTCTCCGGCTGCATAAGGCATATGCTCTTGACTTTCCTTTTCAGTGCTGAGGACCAAACCCAAGACCTCATGCATGCTAGGTCAAGTGCTTTACACCGAAAGCCACAACCCAGCTCCTCCCCTCTGGCTGTAATTATGCTGCCACAGCATCCTAAAATCAGACAGAGCATGGTAGAGCTCCAATCCCAACACATGGGAGGTTGAGGCAGGAGATCAGGAGTTCAGGGTCAGCCTCCGTTATATCTCAGGTGTAAGGTCTCTGTAGGCTACATGGCGCCCTCTCCCAAAGGGGGCGCTGTGCAGATGGCTCAGCTGGGAAGGGGCCTGCCATGCAAGATGAGAACCTGAGCCTGGGTCCCAAGCACCTGTGTAACAGCTGAGCACGGAGGTGTGCACATCTGTGATCCCAGTGCTGGGAGGGGGGGGACCCGGGGTGGGGGGCGGGAGCAGAAATAGGTGGATTCGCCAGCTGCCAACAAGTGAGCTCCAGGTTCAGTGACAGACTGAACCTGGAGTCTCAGAAAACAAAACTGAGGGGTGGAGAGGTTTTAGCAGGTCAGGGTGCTTCCACCAAGCCTGAGAAAATAGATGCCCATGTCCTCTGACCTCTACATGCATATCCCACCCCCCAAAGTGGAGAGAGACCAAGGAAGCACCTGATGTCACACCTGGCCTCCACCTGTACATCTGCCTGCACACACGTCTACACGTGCCCACACAAATCATGTGCACAGCACACACATACACACAAGGAGAAAAAAGGTGCTTCCATAGCTGGTGATGTAGTTGAGGGAATGGTGAGTGTCCTGTCCCTTTTCCTGTCCCCACACATACAGTGGAGTAGCACTGAGCCACAGAGGAGAGTGGAATCCAGTCACAGGCAGGAAAGTGGACGGAAGAGGAGGACATCGTGTTAAAATAAGCCACAAGCAGAAAACCAGCATGGCTTCTGTCTCATGGATGGGATCCACGAATAAAAGATGACCTGAAGTGGAAGAGGGGCCGCCATCTTGAAGGGGTAGAGGTGCCGTATGAGTACTTCCTGTTGCTGTCCAGGGGGAGGGGTCCACATTATCTCCCTCATACAGACCGAAGTTGTCCTATCTACTCAACAGGAGATAAACTACACCAGACTGGACATGGTGGCTTGTCCCTATAATTCTAACACTCAGAAGGCTAAGGCAGGGGCTTTGCTGTGAGCTTGAGGTCAGCCTGGGGGGCAGTGTCAGATCCTGTCTCAAAGACATAAGAAATGGATCATGTTTCTCTTTTCTTTCTGAACCACTGCCTCATGTTTACCCGTCTAGCTTCAAACCTGCTACGTAGCTAAGCACACCTTTGATCTCCTAGTTCCCGGGTCCACCTCCCCAGTGCTGGGGTTACCAGTGTGAGCCACCACACCAGGTACATGTGCTGCTGGGGACTGGACCTAGGGGTTTTTGTGTGCCAGGCAAGCACTCTTATCAACTGTATCCATGAAAAGTTTCATTTTTATTTTTATTTTTATTTATTTATTTATTTTTAGATTTTCGATACAGGGTTTCTCTGGAACCCGCTTTGTAGACCAGGCTGGCCTTGAACTCACAGAGATCCACCTACTTCTGCCCTCCAAGTGCTGAGATTAAAGGTGTGTGCCACCAATGCCTGGCTTCCCTTAGTCTCTTGAGACCTATGAATATAGATGTGTGACTCACACTTTCCTTTTATAAAGCTCTTTTTATGTGTTAAAAAATTTAGATGTTTTTGTCATTTTGAAACGGAGTCTTGCTATATAGCCCAGGTTGGCCTTGGCTCAAATCCTTCTGCCTTTGCCTGCTGAGTGCTGAGTCACAGGCATGCACTGCCACAACTGTCAGAACGCTACTGTGAAGCACAGGTTTGGCGCATGAGCAGGAGCCGTTAACAGGGAAAACAATATTCTAGAGATGAAGCCTCTGTGGGAAGCAGGGATTCCCTCTGCTCAGAGGGTAAATGCTATGGGAACACTGGGACCCACTTACATTACATAGTCTCCTTTCCGGTGAAAACTTATTTTCTAATGACCTACCAATGATTAAAAACAGGTACTACCACCTAGTTTGATTGTCCAGAGACAGACTTCATTTTGAGTATAATGGCTGTGTAGCCTTAAGTGAACTGTAGGGCCAAGCTTTAGAGGAATTGTTTATCACAGTGTTCTTCATCACTGTGGTTTCCCGGTGAGGAAACATAAAGACACCTGTGCTAAGAGCTTACATGGAATTTTGAAAAGTGGAAAAGTCATCAACCTGTGACCCAAAAACCAGGAACCCCAGCTGGGCATACGCGGAGAATATAATAAAGAACATGATGGCGAACCCCACGATGTCCTTCATGCAGCGGGACAAGGTTGACGACAGCTGAGACATGGTCTCATTGAAGCTTATGAATTTTAATATCTGAAAGAGATAGAATACAAGAGTCAATATGTCCAAACAGAGCTGCTTAGAATCAGGAAACTTAATTTCAGAAGAATTCTTCAAGTAAAAGGAGACAATGGTAATCAAGGGTGTTTGAAGATGTCAGGGATCATTTAAAGGTCAAATTAATATTTTAATTACTGTTTTTGGATTCGTATAGATGGTTGTGGGGAGAGTATACCACAGGGATTCCCTCTGCTCAGAGGGTAAATACTGTGGGAACACTGGGACCCACTTACATTACATAGTCTCCTTTCCGGTGAAAACTTATTTTCTAATGACCTACCAATGATTAAAAACAGGTACTACCACCTAGTTTGATTGTCCAGAGACAGACTTCATTTTGAGTATGATGGTTGTGTAGCCTTAAATGAACTGTAGGGCCAAGCTTTAGAGAGTATACCACAGAGCACAGGTACAAGTCAGAGGACAACTTGTGGGAATTGGTTCTCTTTCCCAGGGATTAAACTCAGGTCACCAAGCTTGGGCAAGTACCTTCACTTGGTACTTTGGTACGCCACTTTGCTTTCAAAAATCACTTACTGCTGGGCGGTGGTGGCGCACGCCTTTAATCCCAGCACTCGGGAGGCAGAGGCAGGTGGATCGCTGTGAGTTTGAGGCCAGCCTGGTCTACAGAGTGAGTGTAGACAGCTAGGACTACACAGTGACAAGCAAAAAAAAAAAAAAAAAAAACCAGAAGAAAAATTCACTTACTAGTGGGGATGCTCCCCCTCCATACAAGGTAAGAGTTTTACTGATACACGTATGCTATTGGATTATGTAATAAATGAGATCTAAATACCTTTATCCATGCAAAGAAGATAGTGATAGCAATGATATCGTTATAGTAAATGTGCCAGTATGCGAGGAAATAGAAGTTCGGGTAACTTTCAGTGTTTTTCAACAGCCGTCCAAGTAAGAGAAAATTCTGCATGTTACAGTACGCATAGAAAGAGACAGCCAGGAAACACAGCTAAAGAGGAGACAACAAAGGTCAAATTGGAGACATCTCTGTCTCTGAACTTCTCTCAGCCTTTGAAAAAACACATGAAAAAGTCCATTAAATGCTTAATAAAAAGACGGAAAGATAGGATATGGGTGTTCAAAATAATTTTGTGAAAAGTGCCTTATCAAGTCTTTTTTTTTTTTTTTTGTATAAAACACAAGGGAGACACCTGTCAATCAACACATCCTGTGACTACTCAGAAGGAGACTTGACCCACTTTGAGTCCGAGGACATACAAATGTCTCCCTCGGCAAGCCTCACTGCTGTCCTCTGTGCTTTTACCCTGAGCCGCTTTTAGAATTTTCTGGATCGCCGTCCGTCTCTAGCCCCAACCACAGCACGATGAGGTAGCCGGCAGCTTGCTTAGCAGCCCCGTGATCAGTGTCGTGCTGTCCCTTTCCTTCGGGTGGGAGGTGACATTGTCTCCAGCTGTGGAAGCCTTGGTAAGTGGTGAATCCACCTCTACACGACCATAGGCTGCAACTGCAAGTGAGCGAGTGACCGGGTGACCGCAGGCTTTACTTGGAGATGAGGAAGCCCTTCAGGTGGAGGCAGGCGCCCACCCTCCCGCCTTCCAAGGGTCTGGATGTAGCCTACAGGAAACTGCAGCCCAGCTTGCCGAGTAGGACAGTGTAGTGGGTATTTGTCCCACCCGTGACTTTGGAGTACCAGCCCCTAGGGTGTGGCCTCTTGGCCAGCTTAAGACTTGGGGAGCACGTACAGGGGTCCCTTCTCTCTCGCACTCTTGGAGGGCGGAGACCGAATCAGGCGGCGTGAAAGCAGCTGGGACCGGTTCTCAGTCTTCCAGGACTCTGCGACTGAATTTGCCATAGCCTGCATTAGTGAGTTGTTCCCCGCAATGTAATCCTTTAATAAATAGTTCCTTTCTCAGTAACCGTGGACTTTCTGCACTATACCCCAAGGTCATAGGGGGAAGGAATACCCACTACGGGACAATGCCTTGGCCTCCCACTCTCCTTTGCAGCTTGTCCTTCCAGCTGTGGTCTTGGGTGACCTTTTCTCGGCTTGGCAGGGTGCCAGTCCATGCAGAACACAGCTATCACAGAAATGGAAGGCGCTCAACTTGCACTTAAAATAGAGTCACTGTGGCTCATAAAAAGAAACACTACTTCCTGGCCATCCTCACCTGCCTGCTTGTCACTGTACGGTCTGAGTGAGGGCTTCTGCGTCACCCTACCCAAAAGGGGAGTCTTTCACATGTGGAATACTAAAACAAACAGACAAAACTTGCAATGGACATAAACAAACCTCCTTAGAATGCTGTACTGAGCTCTCTGAACGACAACTTTGGGTCCAGGTTACCTGAGGCACTGGAGATTTATAATGTTTCCTTGAAATGTTTCCTTGGACAGAAACACTTACACAAACCTAACATTTAATGCCCTGCCCTTTGTAGACATTCCTGGGGATACTAGAAAGGTAGATGGGGCGCTTTTTCCTTTTTGGTATGTGATGTGTGCACCTGTGTGTGCAGATGCACACACCTGTGTGTGCAAGCAGAGACCCCGGGGGCTGCTGGGTGTTGCGCTCCGTCACTCTCTTCCTTATTCCCCTGAAGTAGGCTTTCCCCTGGATCTGGAGTGGACAGCAGGGCTCAGCAAGCCTCCTGCTTCTGCCCCACACAGTGCTGGGGCTACACGTTTGCGTGGCCACTCCCAGCCTCTTTACGTGGGTGCTGGGGACTCGGACTGGAGTCTTCATGTTTAAACAGCGAGAACTCTTACCCACGGAGCCATCTTCCTGGGCCATTTTTTTATTTTAATTTTAGATCAGGTCTCAGTATGTTGCCCAGGCTGCCCCTGAACTTCTGCAGCCTCCTACCTCCGGCTCCCAAGCAGCTGGGGCTATAAGCACTCCGTGCTAAGCCTCACACGAGTGCATACTGGGAGTGTGGATATCAAGACCTCTTATGTGCATTCAATATCAACACTGGCACACACTTCAAATTCCAGCACCCAAGAGGCAGAAGCATGGCAGATCTCGGTGAATTCAAGGCCAGCCTTAGTCTACATAGCACGTTCAGGGACAGCCAGGGCTACAACAACCCTGGAGAGGGAGGGGAGGGAGGAGAGAAGGGGAGCAAGAGGGAGAGGAGGGGAAGGGAAGGAGGGAAACAGATAATTTCTTATGGAGTCCTGTAGGCTCCTGCTGACCCTAGGACTAAATCAAAGAAAACAGATTTCTCTCTTTTAGGGGTGTAGGATTAGATTGCCCTATGACAGTTCGTTTTTTATTTGATACTTGTAGCTTTTGAAATAAGTCTTGGATGAATAGAAAATCCTGTGTTCTATATGTCTCCTGGCAGGAGCAGATGTGATTCCCGTATATCATACAGTGGGTATATACTCACCACCAAAAGCAGCAGTTCTAGCCAGTTCCAAATACTTTTGAAATAGGCAGACTTAAACTCATTCATCTTTCTCAGTTCTTGTGTTATGAAGACAAAAAGGAAGATACAAAATACGATTTCACAGGAGGCAATGAAGTAATCGTAGTGGGTGATGTATCTCAGGAGCTTCACGGAGTAGAACTGCCACGAGGTGAGGAGGCCGCCTGTCGCAGGGAACTCCGCCACCAGCCTAGAAGATGAAGTTTGTGAGAACATTTTAAGTGCTTATGTTTTAGTGTTTAAGTTGCTGTAAAATTTCTAAATCAATAACAACATATACCTCAACGCTAATCACAGATTTTGTACAAAATGTGTTTCCTTGGGGGCTGGAGAGATGGCTCATTGGTTAGGAGCACTTCCTGCTCTTCCAGAGGACCCAGGTTCACTTCCACATGTGGGCTTACAACTGGCTGTAACTCCAGGAGCTCTGACATCCTCCTGTGACCTCTGTGGGTACCGCACATCCTCATGGTGCACATACATGATGCAGGCAACACCCATGTGTATCAAATTTTAAATTGTTCTTTAAAAAAGGAACAAATTTCAGAAACGCAGAGGCAGAAGCAGGAGGATAGTCAGCCTGGGTTATGGAGTAAGAACTTTTTTTTTTTAAATCTATTTCCTCAGGCTTGCAGGTTCAATTAAAATCCTTGCACTGAAGTGCAGGGAGGGCTGGGTGGATAAGCACTATTTCCCTGGGCTGCCCCTGCTGCTGCCCTTAGGCCTGGTGCTTCAGGGAGACCGTGTCTGACAAACACACTATGGTCCGGTTCTGCTCAAGCAACACTGGCCTTTAGCTCCAGTTCCTCAGCTCAGGTTCCTGCAGCTGGATGTGCACCCTGCTCCAAGGGCAGGGCATTGCCAATGGGAAGTTCAAACAGCTGACTGAGACAGCAAGCAGCACCCCTCCACGACCTCAGCATCAGCTCCTGCCTCAGTGATGGACCATGATGATGAAGTGCAAGCCAAATTAACCCTTTCCTCCCCAGGTTGCTTTTGCCCATAGTGTTTTTATCACGGCAATAGAAACCCTAAGACTTATGACAAGCATTTTACCAACTGACTTACCTCCCCTGCCCATAAACCAAAAGACTTTAACAATTTGATTTTATGAACAAATTATGACGGCAGATCTGTACAATTCCAGGATGACAGACATGGCTAGAGACACCATATAGAAATAAAGTGTCCGTGGTAGAGATGACTCCATAGGTCAAGGCGCTTGTCACACAAGCTTGACGACCTGAGCTTGATTCCTGGAACTCCTCCACTGCGGGAGGAGAAAATGGGCTCCCCAAAACTGTCCCGATCTCCACACCTGGCACTCTGGTGCACACCTGAGCACGAGCACACAAACACACACACACACAGATTATTAAACCTAGCACACTGTGTGTGACTCGTGTTCCTAAATATACCTTGAAATCATGGAACAATCAGGACGATGTTGCTTTAATCTCTGCTGTACCCCTGGCAGAAGAACATCGTATTTATCCTAAAGCTATGACTTCAATCTCAGCAGACTCCAGTGGAGGCTTTGGAGCCTTTTAAAATTCAGTTTGCCGCCGGGCGGTGGTGGCGCACGCCTTTAATCCCAGCACTCGGGAGGCAGAGCCAGGCGGATCTCTGTGAGTTCGAGGCCAGCCTGGTCTCCAAAGCGAGTTCCAGGAAAGGCGCAAAGCTACACAGAGAAACCCTGTCTCGAAAAACCAAAAAAAAAAAAAAAAAAAAAAAAAAAAAAAAAAAAAAAAAATTCAGTTTGCCAAGAGGAAACTTCTGAGCCACTCACCTGATGACGCAAAACAGATTGACGTTAGCGTTGTATAAGGAAAAATCAATGAAAACCACCCTGGTCCCTCTTGTGATCCAGCTGTTGAGTCGAAGATCAGCGAGTTTGGCTTTGGTTTCGGATTTTGATTTTGATAATGTGAATATATACCCTCCATCTCGGTACACACCGACAAATCCCCAGTGCCAAGGGGCGTTGGCAGGAGAAGGCGAGTACTTCCATCTGTCAGACAGCCAAAGAACAGTGGCCTGAGAAACCGTGGTGGAAGCATTCCAAGAACTTAAGCTAACCTTGATTTACGGAGCAGCTTCAAAACAGCTGAAACAGAAAGTTCAAAGTGGCCGAGACAATTGAGTTAGCACCAAGGTCCCAGCGTGTTTTAGTGCTTATCACAGGCAACAAATACATCCAACAGTTTGGTGGTACATTTGTGGCACATGTGTGCCTGAATTCTCATACACACACACACACACACACACGCACGCACGCACGCACGCACGCACGCACACACACACACACACACACGCACACGCACACGCACACACTATTTTGGGGAGGGGTTGGTTTTTTGAGACAGGGTTTCTCTGTGTAGCCCTGGCTGCTCTGAGAATTCCTTCTGTGGACCAGGCTGGCCTTGAACTCACAGTGATCCACCTGCCTCTGCCTCTGCCTCCAGTGTGCTGGGATTAAAGGTGTGCACACCACTGCCTGGCTAATTTTTTTTCAAAAAATGTTTATAATTAAACCTTCTGGCTTTTTACTTATAATTACAAGAAAACCAAAAGAAGAACACCTCAACTCCCCATTTTCAGTCTCCCTATTCAGTCTCCCCCAAACATATCTGAAAGATGTGTGATTATATTTATGAATTTATTACATTTATAAAAATTACATAAGCCCTCAGGAATGCCCCAAACTCAACCAGCCTGGGCTATATACATGGCGATATCCTGTCTCTGAGTAAGAAAAAAATAAATCCCCAAACTCATACAAAACTAAGTCAACACACACAGAGCCATTACTCCTGAGATTGGAGGAGGCTATGGAAGAAAGGACATACCATCAAACTTCGTGATGAAAATATCGACTAATGGTGAAAAACAGTCAGGTATAACGAAGACTGAGAGGCTCAGAGGAAGCTAGGATGGCAGGAACAGGAGGAGGCAGAAGGGGGCTGCGGTGACAGATGACCTGCGCCGTGCAAAGACACACGCTTGTAAAACGTCAGCACTACGAGGATGTTCCTTAGAAACAGTAAGTTCTTACCAAACGAGGTAAAAGTGCAAAGAATAGCTGTTTCTAGAGCGTAGGATGAGCAGGAAAACAGATCACAAACATGTGAATAACTGTCATAAATACTAAATACAGAAAGGTTGGTCCTATCCCCTGGCCATGATTTTCATTGGACGCCTGACACACAAAGTGTACACCAGAAACATCTTTGTCCAGAGGAGGTGGTGCCAGGGGCTTTGGGCTTTCACATTTCAGTATAAGGTGGTGGGTCTACATCGACCCCCCATAATTACCATGAACTCTAACCTTCGACAACTGCAAGCCCCCCACAAACTTCTGTTAGCTGTTTGGCACCTTAGCACAGTCACAGAGCAGGAGCTAAGAGCATCTTCCGCCCGCATCATCGGATTCGATCACTAAGAGCATAACCGCCTCCTTCTAGTCCTGGAGCCACAGACATCACTTAATAAGTGGGGCGCAGTGAGGAGGGAGGAGCGTGGCGGAGAATCACTCGGTACCTGCGTAAAAGCCAGCTGCTGGGGCATGAGTCTGTAATCCCAGAGCTCGGGGGTGGACACCACTGGATCCCTGGAGCTCTTTGGCTGATCAGCCTAACAGAATCAATGAGCTCCAGTTTCCGTGAGGGACCCGGTCTCAAAAATGAAAGATGGAGAGTGATTTAAAAAGACACCTCTTTTTGAAAACATCTTTAAAAAGATTGATTTATTTATTATGTATACAGCACGTATGCCCGCAGGCCAGAAGGGGGCACCAGATCTCATTACAGATGGTTGTGAGCCACCATGTATGTGGTTGCTGGGACTTGAACTCAGGACCTCTGCAGTGCTCTTAACCACTGAGCCATCTTTCCAGCCCTAGAAAGACACCTCTTGTTGATATCTGGCCTCCTTATCGACACAGACAGACAGGCAGACACACACGCAGACAAACTGATGTTTTACTCTGCATCCAGTATGACTATACACTTCATACACCACGTCAACCCTCCCACCCCCATCAAACACAGATATCACACGAGGTGGATACTCTTGTATTCTAAGAGCTGCTACTGGCAAGGCTTCTTCCCATGCTGTTCACAGGGAAACCCGCCGCAGCCAGCAGCTCCCAGCTCCCGTTACTCAGAAGACAGACATATTGAGGTAATTCTGTAAAGACACGAACAAGGGCACCTGCTAGAAGAGGTCACCAGTTTCGTGTTGCTTACTCTGTGTCCCGCTTGAGGCCAAAATCGGAGAGGTCCTCATTTTCAGCCGTGTACTTGTTGTAACAGTCGCTCATCAGCGACTGAAATGCCGAGAAGACCTTGCAGGTGTTGTTGCGGACTCTCAGCTGCCGCACCCTGGGGACTCCCAGAAGCACGTTCTCATAGTAGATGTGGCTGCTGTTCTTCAAATTGTGCAGCTGCTGGTTATTGTACCACGAGTCCCAGTACAAGCCTTCCAGAAGGGGTCCTTCCATGAACTTCACAGACAGAGGCAGGTATCGCGGGAAGAAACAGAAATACCTTCATGGCAACAGAATCTGTAGTCCCATGTGTGATTCTGAGTGTAAGTATTGACTGAGACACCACTTATGGCGATGACCAACGCCGCTGGCGAAGGCCACAGTGATGGCTACTCCTCACTCTGTCCCTGTTCCGTTCTAAGTGATCCCAGGCCCAGGATGGCTTTCCCCTGTTCTTGTTGTCGGCCACTGGCCACACAGACAATTCAAAGGGGAAGCATGACGTCCAGTCCTCCTTTCCTACGAGGCCAAGGACTTAGGACCACTTATCTCACACTTGTCCTTTCTTACTAGGTTTTTCTCGTCACTGTGACAGAATAGCGGCCTAAACACCCAGAGAGAGGGAAGATTTGTCTCAGTTAAGTTTCAGTCGCCTTAGCAGGAAGGGAGGCTCAGATCATGGCGGCCGGGAGGCAGAGGGAAACGCCTGAGCTCTAACTGCTTACTCTCCTCTTATCGGTCCCACCAGAGTGGATGGTGCTGTCCACATTCGCCGGGTAGTTAATCCTCTCAGAAAAACACCATCCCAGGCACACCTAAGGGTCTGCTCTGGCATGAACCTAAGTTAACCACCGTATCCGCCCACACTCAGAAGATGACTCTCTTTCATGAATTTCAGCTCCGTGATGTGACGTCCTCTGTCCACTCACTTTCTACTTCATCTTCTCTATGCTCACGCTGCAAATTCAGCTCCACGTGAAGAGCACACAGCACCTGGTCCCCATTCTTAGAATCCCTTTATCGACCCTTTAAAATGCATCCACAGTGCCATGAGTGTGGGAGAGCCTTCCCGCACTGCCTCATCCTTTACGTCCCCATGTCTGTGACATGGAGACCGGAGGCTGCTCCTCCTTGGTTGCTCTTCCTGCCCGATGACACTTGCTCTGTGTCACAGAAACCCTGCGTATCCCAGTGCGAAAGGAACCACTCTCCCGTATGATTAAATTAAACACATTGCTTAAAAAAAATTATATATAGTCTATTACTGTCATATACAGCAGAGGGCTGCATATATAAATTATGAATATTATCCTTTCTGGGCAATTAAGAATTTGTATTACTGTCACTCATATGGATTTTATCTACACAGTCGCAGGCTGACTTTAGTGCTCACACAACAATTCTGTGTTTTCCAAGGGAAATGGGAATATCTGAGAAAGTATCAAAAGTTTGAAGTTATAAAGAACAGTATCACATTGTGAACATAAAGATTAACAATAAACATCACTGGTTGATTTTCTAATAAAGAATAATACTCATTTTTATTAATTCCTTTAACAAATATTCCCTGAGCATTTTCTACATGAGGCAAGGGCTTATAGACTATCTGTGAATTTGTCTTTTTTTTTTGTTGTTGTTGTTTTCTAGAGCTGGGGCCCAAACTTACTTACTAGGCAAGTGCTGTACCCCTGAGCTAGCCTCCAACCCCTGGCTTATGGGCTACCTAATGCTACTTCATCAGGTCAGACATCTTACCTTCCAAAAATCAGTGATGCTTCGAATGGACCTAAAGCTGCTTCTTTCGTCACCTGGAAGGGACGTGTCCACAAACAGAGATGACATCACTTTGTTTAAGTAGTACATGTGTGGGTTGACCATCCCAAAGGTCACTGCGGAGAGAATGCCGTGTTTAAATCTGTCATTTAAAATCCCACTTCAGCAGCATTCAAAAATATTAATTTCCCCAGCTTTAAAAAAATTCAGCATTGTCTAAGTATAATTTTATATTTATTTATCTTGTGTGCCATGGTACAAATGTGGAGGACAATTTGTGGGAGCTGGTTCTCTCGTTATGTGGGTTCCAGGGATCCAACTCAGGTCACCATGCTTGGCTGCCTAATGCTCTTATCCACTGAGCCATCTCACCAGCCCTGTTCTATCTAATTATTAAAGCCAGAACTATACAAAGCAGGTAGACGTTTCCCTCAACCCTCATACTCAAGGTAGACACGGGTCCTTCAGGTTTTATGCATATATGTTTAATAGTCTATCTTTAAAAAATGACGTCAAATTAGTCTGAGATGGTTCAACAGTCAACAAACAGTCCTTTCCATGAAAAGCCAACAAGTAGGAGGGAACAGAGAGAGACAACCACACATGTGTGAGTGAGCTCCCATCCACACACACAGACACAAATGCTTTTTTGTTGTTTTTTTGTTTGTTTGTTTGTTTGTTTGTTTTTTCGAGACAGGGTTTCTCTGTATAGCTTTGCACCTTTCCTGGATCTTGCTCTGTAGACCAGGCTGGACTTGAACTCACAAAGATCCACCTGGCTCTGCCTCCCGAGTGCTGGGATCAAAGGCGTGCGCCACCACCGCCCAGCCTACAAATGCTTTTTTACTGAGGTCACATTATATCCACGACTCCACTGTTGGTTTTTTTTTTTTTCTCTACATTAAGAATAGGCTATACCATAGAGTGAATGGTTAAGGCAGAGAAGGGTTATAGATCTCATGGTAAGGATGCTATCTTTTACTACATAGTTATATCATAATTATGGATCATTTGGAGTGTGTGTGTGTGTGTGTGTGTGTGTGTGTGTGTAGGCTAGAACTCATCATTAAGAGGCATTCCCTAGGAGCCAGCCCACCTTGGTTGTATTTTTGAACCAGGACCTTTCATTAGCCTGGGCCTTTCAAGTAGGCTAGGCTGGCTGGACAGCAAGCCCCAGGGGCCTGTTCTACCTCCCCAGCCCGGGGGTTGCACTTCCACCACGCTCTGGATTCTGGGGACCAAACTCAGGTTCTCAGGCTTGTGCGGCAAGCACTTGGAGTTATCTTTCTAGCCCAACATGTGAAACATTTAAACCCATGCCTTGGAACAGAGTAAATGTGTTTAAACGTTTTTAATTAGTAGTGTTTCTTTCTCCCCTTCTATAAACTATTTTTTCTTTTGTTGCCAGAACTCCCCAGTTAAAACAAAACAACATGTGGGTCAAGCATCATCAAGCCTGACAACCCGAGACGCCCACGATGAAGGTGGGCACCAGCTCCACAAGCCTGTCCTCTGACTGCCACAAGTGCCGTGGCGCATGCTCACAGCAAGCAAACGTGTCCGCCATTCTTTAACAGTTACATTTATTTCACTGCATGCTCTACAGTGGTTAATGAATCCCCTTAGTGTAGACTTAAATGTTTGCTTTATCGTAAGTGTTCAAAAATCTCTGAATGCTGGGATTATAGATAATCGTTTAGCTCATATGTTCTGCTTTCTAAATGCTTGGTAATAAGCATGTGTTTGTGTTATCTTTATAACGAAGCCTTCATTAACCAGTCAAAGGTACCGTATCAAGTTAGCTACAGTTGTCTTTAATCTCAAACACCTACCCCTACAATACCAGTTAACTGTGTAATTGGTATACAGGCTACACATTGGGAGATGAGAGAGATCCTGTAACATTAGCTTCTAATTATGTACATTGCACAGTTTAAATACAAAACGTTAACAAGCTTTTCACATACTAAGTTGATGCCGTGGACCCATGGTGGCGGGGGGTGTATAGCAGATTGAGAGGTTCTCCCTGCCCACCTTAAAAATTGGCATTTATTCGGCAGAGATGTATTTTATTATTAATTATGCAGCAGTTTAGTGAAAAGGATGAGACTTATGATCATCCCCAAACTTTATGTTGGTTCCTATTTGTACTTTATATTTATGGAACCAAACCAATACATCTCTATGGCTCTGAACGAAATTAAATTCAATTGTCAGCCCAGGGGACTATGTTTAAATAGATTCTCTGAATCAAAAAAGAAATCATATTCAGTGTTGACTACGGAAGCTTCCCATTACACCCGCAGCTTAGTTTTGCCCCTTAAAAGCTGGAAATTTTGTCCATCATAGGACAATCTCTAAAATTGGTCCGTTTTCTGGGTTTTTATTTTTCACTTCCACATTTTAACTACTAGTTCAACCAGCATTTTTAAAATCTACATCTGTATACTTACATATACATAGAGTTATTAAAAAAACAAAGTAGAGTAACAACTCCTCAAGCGTGGTGTTAACTTCTGCCTCCCGTCTGTAATGCAGGTCATGTTTGGAAGTCCCTGGAGATGTGGAACAAAAACTGTCTTTACATTACTGGGTCACTATAACTTGGTACATCAGTAACCAAGATGGGAAAAACGCAACGATTTTCAGCGGCTTCTGGGTCCTTCTTCTGGGTCTTACTTCTCCCTTGAGACAGGGGCAACTGCTACATTCCGCTATGGGCGGGCAGTCTCTAGGGCTGTACACCGATAGGTTTGATATAGTGTTTTCCCCCACCGTCCTGTTGAGACAACTCAAACACCTCCTTCGGTCCCTAATGCTTTCTCCGCCCTCACTGCAGCTTCTGGGGAAGGCAAGGGCCGGGTGCAAGAAGGGGTTCCAGCTGCAGCGGCCAAGGGCGCGACTCCCTCGGCGACCCACACCCCCGGAGGTGACAGCCCGGCAAAGGACTTCACTCTTCCCTGGGTGACAGCGCTGGAGTGCGGATGTGGGGGCAGAGTTCCCGGGTACCTGGAGCACCTACCCACGGGCCCTGGTTCCCCCTTCTCTAGGCGCACCCACCCTCACCTCCTCGGTACCACCAAGTCGAATCGGCCATCGTGGACAGGACCCCACGGTCCGTTCCACTCGGCCGCTTCCAGCCGACCCCTCGCCCTGCGCCTGCGCAGTAGCACCGCGGCGCGCTAACTGCGCTCGCCCTCCGTGCACAGGCGGGCGGAAGCTAGTGTGCCTGTGCGACGAGGCACTGTCTGGGTTGTCGCTACACCTTCCAGGAGTTGAGTTGTGGCTCTTATCTCCTGCCGGAGGTTTATTTATAGCTCACTTTTCTGCATGCAAAAAGACAATAAGTCTCACTACCCACAGCATTAACTAAGTGGTCAGCCCCTCCCTTTTGTCTTATTGATTTAATAGAAATAACTAAATTAACAATATCACAAAAACAAAGGCTGATGGGCATGGTGGCCCAATTCTGTCATACAAGCCTTTAGGAGGCAAAGACCATAGAGGATCTGGACTTAAAGGCCAGCGTTGGCCTATATCTGGAGACCCGGCCTCAAAAAACAAACCCACTGAGTTCTAGTTCAGTGCTCTCACAATTCACTTAAATACGTCCCCGTGGGGATGCAAACACTGGTCCTTATCTAGATGTGCAGCTGTGGTTTTGTTCGTACATGATATGACCTGGCGTGTTATAAACTAAAACTTTAACAGCATGCAATGAGATGAAAAGCGATCAGGAGGTGAGAGGCATGAGTAGGCAAAACTTTAGAAGTTTGTACTGTGTGTATCTGCATTATTTATTATGAAAATGGAGAAATTTAAAGTATTCATCATGTATTAGGGGTCTCTAGAGGAACACAATTGCTAGAATGAATCTATATATAAAAAGGGATTTATGCCGGGCGGTGGTGGCACACGCCTTCGATTCCAGCACTCGGGAGGCAGAGCCAGACGGATCTCTGTGAGTTCGAGGCCAGCCTGGTCTACAGAGCGAGATCCAGAAAAGGTGCAAAACTACACAGAGAAACCCTGTCTTGAAAAACCAAAAAAAAAAAAAAAAAGGATTTATTTATCTGTGAATTACAGACTGTGATCCAGCTAGTCCAACAATGGCTGTCTCCCAATGGAAACTCCAAGAATCAGCAGTTGTTCAGTCCAAAAGGCTGTATGTCCCAACTGCTCTTCAGTGTATGTCAGAGCGTCAGAATCCCAAAGACGTAGGCTCTAAAGCCAGTGAAGCAAGAACAAGAGCAAGCAGGCAAACAGCAACTTTTCCTTTGTATAGGCAGCTGCATGAAGGTGTGGCCCAGATTTAAGGTGGGTCTTTGGACCCCAGATGATCTAATTAACTAAAAATCTCTCACAGGTGTGCCTAGCGACTTGGGTTTTTAGTTAATTCTAGCTACAGTCAAGGAGACAGCCAAGAATTACATCACACATCTTAAACACCTTTTCTAGCAACTGTATGTGATCTGTGTTGTGTAAGGGCATGCTGGAGAGTTCACCTAAGGCTTCCCATGCTCTGTCATTGAGCAGATGTGGTCACTTTTGTTTTATGCTATGGTTGTATGACTGTACCATGGAATTTAATTGTCTTCTTAAAGGCTTGTTAGCTGGCTCCGTGCTTTTGGCATTATGAGTAGTGTTGTTAGGAGTCCCTTGTGGGTGTTTTTGTACTCTTTCTTCAGCCCTGGGTATCATCAATTCCATTATTGGTTTTTCTCCTATCAACCCCAAATAATATTTCATAGGCTTAATCAGAGGTTTTTCCTTATTACAAGCGAGACGGGACATTTCCTCCACAAAAAGACAGTGGGAATTAGAGGGGCATGAGAGGGGAAGGAGCCCCTCGGCCAGATCTAGTGCACCCTCCTTGCTGTCTGAGAATCAATAAACGTCAACACAGTTTAAAAAAGCCAACATTGCCTGCAGAGATCATGTATGTTTTTCTTTCTTTCTTTCTTTCTTTCTTTCTTTCTTTCTTTCTTTCTTTCTTTCTTTCTTTCTTCCTTCCTTCCTTCCTTCCTTCCTTCCTTCCTTCCTTCCTTCCTTCCTTCATTTCTTTCTTTCTAGACAGGGTTTCTCTGCGTAGCTTTGGAGCCTGTCCTGGATCTCACTTTGTAGACCAGGCTGGCCTCGAACTCACAGAGATCCACCTGGCTCTGTCTCCCGAGTGCTGGGATTAAAGGCGTGCGCCGCCGCCGCCGCCGCCGCCGCCGCCGCCGCCGCCGCTGCCGCCGCCGCCGCCACCACCCCCCCCCCCGGCTATCCTGTATGTTTTTCTAAAGACATCTCAAATAACAATATTAAAAGAACAGTGGATGAGCCAGGTGTGGTCATTCACTTCTGTAATCCAGCACTTGGGAAGGGGAGGCAGGAAGGTCAGTAGTTCGAAATTGTTCTTAGCTGTGTAGCACATTCAAAGGCAGCCAGAGCTTCATGAGACCTCCTCGTCTCACAAAAGAGGGAAAGAAAGACAATTGGGCAGGTAGTTTAGGTCAAGTGTGGTATTTAATCTCCATTGTTAACTTGATACGTTTGGGAAGCAAGGTCGTCATTTGAGGAATTGACTCCACCAAACTGGCCCATGGGCATGTCTACGGGGCATTTTCTTGATTGCTAATTGATGGAGAGCAGCCCACCCACTGTGGGCAGTGCCACCTCTGGGCAGGTGGCCCTAGGTTGTATAGGGAAGCAAGCGGAACTGAAGCAGGGGAGCAAGCCAGTAAGCAGCATTCCTCCGTGGTCTCTGCTGCCAAGTTCCTGCCTTGATTTCCCCACATGATGGATTGTGACCTGGGATTTGTAAGATGAAATAAACCCCATTCCTCTCTAATTTGTTTTGGGTCACTGACCTATCACAACAACAGAAACCAAATCAGGACATCCAGAGCTTGCTGCACAAGTCAGGACCTGAGTTTGCTCCTCAGAACCCAAGGTGAAAACTCTGGGGAGGTGGCTGAGAACTCAGGTACCTGGGCTCACTGGCCAGTCAGCCTAGACTACCCAGTGAGCTTCAAGACCAATGGGAGACCCCATCTTAGCAAACAAGATAGATGGTTCCTGGCGAATTGAGCCTCCACGTGCACTGGCACACACATTTCATGCTCTCTCACACGTACATATATACACCCAACAAGACATATACACACAAAACAAACAACACAACAACGAATGAACTCTGCTTACTTAAGGCCCGATGATTGTGACTTATATCAGCACCCATCCCTAAATCTGTCTTTCAGAACCGTCAAACATACTGCCTGAATATTCTGCCTAATTTGTCCCTAAAATTGTCTACTTTTAGAAACCATGGTTAAACCAACTCAAAGGGATTGAGAATGGTGCGTAGATATGGGTGAGGTGGCACACGCTTGTATGTCTGGGCACTTGGGAGGCTGAGGCAACTGTGAGCTATACTTTGAGACTGTGCTGAAGAAGAGGAAGAGAAAGAGGAAGAGGAGGAGGAAGAGGGAGGGGAGAAAGAAAGAGAGGTATTCTATAACTTTGGGAACATGGGGCATTCAACAGCCACTGATGTATCTTTGGTGGATGCAAATCTCAACCCTGTTACAAATACTCCCTGGAGAGGCTTCCTCTTTCCTCAGAGTTCATTAAAGACCCACTGCTCCTGGCCTCTCCCTCAGATAACCTATTTGGCCAAGGTGATAGATTCGTAAGACAGGCTAGGACCTCTGGAAAGTCTGTGACAAACTGTGGCAGGTTCTTCCTAGTTACTTCACAGAACACATGGCAAAAGATGCAAAATATATGTCCCTGATGACCCGGGAGCCACCAAACCAGCCCCAGAGTACCTATTTTTTTGACTTCTCTTACACACAGAAACATGTTTAAGTCATGATTTTTTTGGGGGGGGGGCATTTTGAGACAGGGTTTCTCTGTGTTGTTTTGGTACCTGTCCTGGATCTCGCTCTGTAGACCAGGCTGGCCTCGAACTCACAGAGATCCACCTGGCTCTGCCTCCGGAGTGCTGGGATTGAAGGTGTGCGTCACCACCGCCCGGCATCATGATATTTTTTCTTGTTTATGGAGACAGTAGTCTGATCTTGCAGAAGCAGTGTTCTCTTCATGTAGAGAGAGAGGCCGTCCTCAGCCAAGACTTAAGTTACTTGTTTGATGTGGAAAACAGAATATTTCAACAAAGCCCCCACACTAGTGGAGATGGGACAAGTGTTAGAAGGTAAACAGCTCTGTGGGATGTTACAGAAATTCTCCTTATTTAAATGGTTAGACCCGAGGTTCCGCACAAGGACGATGTAGAGCTGGAGGACAGAATGGCTAGGGAGGAAGGGTTTCTTTCCCCCTTTGGGGAGAAGGCAGGGGAGGCAGGAACTCCAGGTGGGGCTTGAAGTCAGAGAGTCCTCCTTCAATTACCTGTGCTCCCAGCTGGGACTCAACGAGAGCGAAAGCCAGAGAGCAGCCTGGTGCAGAGGTGGGTTGAAAGCAAGGGTCAGCCAGGCTGTGGCTGCATACTCGCCTCTACATTCCAGCATGTGGGGTGTGGGGGAAGACGTGGGAGCTTTGGGCCAGCCTGGGCTGCATAAGGAGACCCTGACCCAAAAGAAGGAGACAGGATATATATATATATATATATATATATATATATATATATATATATATATATATATATACACACACATACATATATATACACACATATATATACACATATATATATGGATTTTGAGGTGGCTTAAACTTTTTCCTCTAGAGCAATTTCTCGGCTACTCTCTAAATATAACGAGCATCCGTTATTTCCTCTCTCTCTCTTCTTGTCAGTATTTGTTTTCCCTTGGTTAACATGACCCCCCCGCCCCCCCATCCAGCGTCTCCATCCTAATCCCCAAGATCGGGTAGACAACAAGGCCAGGCTACAGTGTTGGGTTGTTTTCTGGATTTCCAGGGAACGGAATGTTTTTTCTTTTCACTAGGTTCGTTCAAGAGCTAGGAACATGGGCCTGGGGATTCTGGTACCTCCTTTTCTGCTAACAGTCAAAACAGCCTACAGAAGCATGAAGCCCAGCACAGTAAACAAGAGAAAAGAGAAACCCATTTCGGGGTTTTTGTTTTGTTTTGTTTTCTTTTCCTGAGACAGGGTTTCTCTGTGTTAATAGCCCTGGCTATACTGGAACTCTCTCTGTAGACCAGGAGA